TAGGTTGCCTTACTATTGTAGTATACACGCTAATATAATATATTTTACATCTCTTACTTTAAGCTATAGACTACTATAGTAAAAGATAAGAAAGAGCTTTTATTCTTTAAAATAATAGAAGACTAGAAAGAGTATAAGATTAAAGACATTATTACTTATTTTAGTAAAGGGTTATAAACTTAGTTCTTAATAAAAATAAAAAAGGCTAGCTAGCTAAGTATAATACCTAAGAACTAGAAAAGCACCTAGCGTACGCTAGCTATAAGTTATAGTCTTATTAAAAGACTATAAAATATACTTATAAGAAATAAAGAAGACTATAAGGCAACGGCTAGCTATATACAAGCTAATTATTAGTTAACTACTCTTACTATTTTTATATAATTGCGCACTATAAACTAATTCTAGCTTTAAGGGCGCCTCTTAGAGCTATAAACCTAAAATATACTATTAATAGGCTATTACTTAGCTACCAGCTACTTATTACTATCTTTCTTTATAGACGTTCTCTATACTTTTTTATTCTTCTTCTTAATACTATCCTCCTTATCCTCTTTCTTACTACTAGGCAAGCCTTTACTAGCTAGCATATATCTACTATTAGCTGCTAACTAGCTACCTACTAGCGCACTCTTACTAGATGCTACTATACTATTGCTACTAGCTGCTACAACTACCTTACTACTACTAGCTATAGCACTAAGAATAGTCTTAGCGCTACGCTAGCGCTTAGCTAAGGTTAGCAACTTAGCGTAGAACTATTGCTTGCTAGGCGCTACTAAAGGTAGTAGCTAAGAAAAGACTACTACCTAGTTAATTTAGGCTAGCTTAACTAGAGCTGCTATAGTTTATAGAATTTACTTAAGCAGCCCCCCTTTAAAGAGGCACATTTGCGTTAAAGAGTAAGTTAATGCGTCCTAGGCCAACGATCTAGTTAATCGTCACTCCATATACAGCTTCGTCTTTAGGATTTTAAGAGGGCCGGTCTCTTAGAGAGCTAAGAAGCTCCCAACCGTTAGCACCTCCACCTATAAAGCTAAATACGGCGCCGCCTACTACGCAACAACGCAGGCCCGCTAGATCGAGCAATTTATGCTCGAAATAGGCCTCTAAGCCAACATCTAGATGTTCGTAGACAACACCTCCGCGATCAGCATTACGAAGAAGCCTAAATTCAGAGAGCGTTCGAAGCACTTCGACGTTAAGTGGCACTACTTTTGTAAAAGCGTACTAAGCGGCTTGTTAACGGTACGGCACGTAAAGTCTAAGGATCAGATCGCTAATATTATGACAAAGGCGCTGCCTAAGGTAGCGTTTAAGAGGCTGTTGCCTCGCTTGATAGGCTGGCAGCCGTGAAAGGGCTGCCGAGGATGATTTCAGTGCATCGCGGTGCGCCTACGTAGCGTATTTAAGGGGAGTGTCAAGCATTAGAATCCGCCACACTGTGGCCCTTCCGCCCCACTTGGCCGTACGGGCCTGTAATTGGTCAGAAGGCACAAAAAGCGGGGCCTGGCACTAGTATTAATACGGATCCCTAGAAGGGTTGCGATGTATCTATTTCTTTCTTAGTACACAACACTCTTTCGCCTACACTAGACCCTATTCAGCCTCCTACTCCTTACAGTGCATTACGGTATATAACCGCCACGTATAGCCTCCTTTAACCTTTACAACTAGCAATTTATAGCTACTAATAAAGGCTAAAGCATAAATAAAATAAGGTTAGAATAGTTAAAAAAGGTCTTTATTTTATAAATAGCTTTAAATATCTTTTCTAATATAAGATTATTAGTAGTAGATAGTTATAAAAGCTATAAGATAGATAGATTTATAAATCTATACTTTTAATATAATATTTACTTAATTTATTTACCTTTTTATATATCTTATATTCTTTAACTACTTAATTTATTAATCTTTTTTTTATTAAAAAATAAATACTAAAAATTAGCTAGCTTAGTAAAAGATAGTAATATAAAAACAATTATTAATAAACAAGCTTTCTTATAAGCTTACAAACTAGCTTAAAATAAAGTACTTTCTATAAAAAACATCTAAAACGGGTAGCGTACTACTAGTTTATAGCTAATTAATAAGCTTTACTTATTAATAAGCCTCTTTATCTTACTAAATCTTAACAACTAGCTATTTACACTAAACAATTCTAATATTACTAAAATTAGTAAAACTATAGCTTTAAAGGATACTACTTTTTAAGCTGTTACAATTGTATAAACTACTCTTAAAAAGAGAAACGATTTAACTAGCTAACTAGCTAAATATTAGCAATTACATTCTACGTTATCTTTAAGGCGGCTTTTATTCTAAAAGCTCTATAAAGCATTCGACAAAAAGGTAGTTAAAAGCACTCTATTTAAGCAAAAAATAAAAGTATTAGAGGTAACGATTAAAAGCCTACAGCCTTAGAAAAGGAAGGCTGTGGTTATAAACTTAAATTTAAAATTCGCTATAATTAAGGATATACAGAATAGCTAGGCCGCTGTAGGAAAAGAAGTAATTAAAGTAGGCGATAGCTCTAAAGAAGAGCTTTTAGATAATATATAATTTGCATGATTTGGTTAGGTATTTTAATTGGTATAATTGTTTTTGTTTTTGTATTTTTTTTGATGCTATTAAATTATCACGATTTTTAGGTGGCCTAAATGGGGGGGTGGCCTAAATCCCTATGGTCCCACTTATACATTGTCGGAGTCGTTGTTAAAGAGCTTAGACGTAGCTATTGTAAACTTAGGCGGAAAGTTCGTTGGAAAGGGGAGGGTGACCTGGCTAGAATTTAGCTATGCGAAAAATAAATTCAGTTTATAAAAATAATTCTACTGTAGTCGCGTCGGTGGTTTAGTGGTAAAATCTGTCGTTGCCATCGACAGGCCCCGGGTTCGATTCCCGGCCGACGCATTTTTGACATTTTAATCGGACCTAACCGGTCGGTGGGTCTACTCCTATAGTGTTCACGATCTTTGTGAGACTGAGACTATGCCCCACATTTCATCCAGCGATCTTTTTGATCCTGACAAATCTCAACAAAAATCCTATGGTGTGGAATGCCGTATAGCATGGCACCTTTCCGTTACTAGCGAGCATTATAGAACTTGTGCCTTACCGTTGGTCACGAACAATTTCGCACCGCTATTCCAGAAAGCTTACGAGAGGGGGTCCGAGTCTAATTTTTGCGTGAAACAAGCGGCGTGTGGGTCTGAGAATGCTAGGCCGTTGCCTAGGCATTAGGAACCACTACGAGACAAACCCGCAGAAGCATATGGACTATTCCGATTACAACGTTGTACTGCATTGCGCTGTCCCTAACACATTTCAAGAGCAGCTCGAATGGGGCAACCAATCACAGATGAACAACTAACCACCTGCATATAATATTTCAAATCCCCTCTTTTCATCATTCTTGCGCATCCCCTGATTGTTGTTCCGTTTCTCAGCTTTGATATGAGCACAAGCCCACCCCTTTCCTAAATCTTCTGTCTGGCCTGAAATAAAAGTCGGAAAGCTATGACTAGCTGTGTGATCAGCTTTGCCGTTCCCCCAAAGCATCTAGACCGTGGTAAACCCAAGCGTGTGGATGAAACAGGCCTATTTTGGCCTCTCGAGAAGCACAATGTCGTCCTTCACGACCTGAAACCAGAGCTTCTCGGAAACAAAACGCCCATACCGATGTCAAGCCAGCTCGAAAATCGAGGATTTGCTGTATTCAAACACAAAAGTCAAACGCTGGGCCCGTTTGATCAGCAGCTGAAATGGAACTCTTCGTACTTGGAGGTGAGGCCCTCTGAGATAGATCTGATCAGCTATAGCTAACTATCTACTCTGTAAACACCAGGAAACAGCACAGTGAGCTAGCTATGCATGAATCCAGACTGGTTAAGAATAGTGCTTACCTCTGCATAGAGCTATGAAAGAGCAACTAGGAGCCGATGATATATTTGTCTGGAATTCAGTCACCCGATCCTTCATGCCGAAAGCGGAGACGCCACCAGGAAGGAAGCCATTGCAAGCCAAGGCGATTTTCTATGTTAATGGATTGCAATTCGTGGGGTCAGTACGCCCGTTTTCACCCTGTGCACATGTTGATCAAGACGTTCCCAATTCCCGCCGTATCTGCAAAAAAGCTGCTTCATGTGAGAATGCGTTTGCAAAGTATTCTCGTATACAACAGATTAACGTCTGGAGGCCTTTGACTGGGCCGGTAGTATACAGGCCACTCGCAGTCTGTGACGGATCAACGGTGAAGAGAACATCTTTCGCCCTCACAACGTGCACATCCGAGGCTCGGGTTTCCGTTCATTACGATGGTAAGAGCAACTACTTCTACTCCGGCACTGTCTGAGGCTAACCACCCATTACTAAACCCGGGTTGCTTGCAGCATCTCAAAAATGGCATTACATCAAGCGCCAAGAAGTCGACGAATGCATCGTTCTCAAAAACTATGACTCGTGCGTTCTCCCTGGACAGGCAGAATGTACTCCTCACACTTGTGTTGAGGCCATGTGCGGTGTTGATGGGCCTGAGACTACACGCGAGAGCATTGAAGTTCGGCTGGTGGTTTGCTACCTTTAGTGCCAAATGGCAATTTTAGTCTCGCTGTTTAATATTGCAGGCATGCTTGAAGCCCACTTTCAGAGTTGTAACCGTACAACTTAAAATGCTTGGTCAGCAACCGTGCGGTCCCAGAAGAATGGAAACGTGGGTCATCGGCGAGAGGACAGCAGTGATCGTCCAGGCCATCGATAGGGTCGCGAAGACGCGATGGACATACCATTTAGATGGCGTCTGTGCGCATTAGTGCTTGAAATCAGGTGGAAGGCATGCGACTATGACGTTTGCTGCATGCTTGTTTAAAAGTCATCTAAGTTTTATATTCAACTACAAATATGCCTAACGGTGTATGATCTACTTTGGCGAAGAACCACGTGAGTCCGCAAGCGCGAAAAAGGGGTTATCGATGCTCGTCCCGAGCAAGAAAAAAGGCTCACAGGCTGGCGACAACGAGCGGAACAAGGTACTCCTTGTTGTAAGCCCACATGTACGTGGAGAGCTGGTTGGAAAATGCACCGCCTGTCCAGTAAGTTGAGCGGTAACCCTGCAGGGAATACTGCTGCTGAATGAAGCAGGCCTTGAGATTCTTAGCGGATGTGCGCATATCCATGGCTCCATAGTCAGACCAAGCCTGGATGGTCAGGTTAGTACCATTGGTGGCCGGAATGGTGCCAGCAGCAGCCATCATTTGCAGTGCCTCGTTGGCCAGATTCTGTGCATCCTCCACCGAGAATCCAACCCAACCGGCGGCAATCACCTGCCAGAGATCCTCGCCAATGTACTGGGTTTGGTGAGTCTTGTCGATGCGGCAATACGTAAGGATCAGAGACACTTTAGCTTACCTCAAGATAGTCGACAAAGGGAGGCTCGGGATAGGAAAAGGCATTGCCTTTAGCAGCACTAGCTGGCAGGTTGTAAACGAGGCCATTGGTCGGAAGGGAAAAATGTGACACTATGCCGGCGTGTACGACACTCCATGTGGCATTGTCAAACACTGCTGATTCCTTTGTGTCTAGGTTGAAAGGAGCGGTGTTATCGGTCGTGGGCTCTATAGCCATGACGAGGCGCTTTACCTTGATCACGGCGACCTTACCAGTGACAAAGTTCTTTACCGCCAACTGGACACCGCCTTTGTCGGCGAGACGGGAAGACGAGACCACAGTGGTGTTGACCATGACAGAGTCGCCCAGGATTGAGGCGATGGTATTGTAAATGTCTTGGTTGCGGCCAGATGTTGGGACATACTGGACATCATAACCCAGGAAGACAGCTGCTGTCTGAGGATCAAAAGTCTGCATCACATACAGCGCCAGCGCATCCAGCATGTCGGCCAAGCCGGCACCAATACCGGCCCAGATAAGCTATAATATCAGAATTAGATTATCAGAACAGCATCAATGTAATAAACAGGACAAGACAGCCAAGCTCACCAACATTGTTGTGTTCAGCTCATACTTGATAGCAAAATCTCTGAAGGACATCAGCAAGTCCTCCGGGATGTCCTCGGGAGCAGGCCAGTTTGCGTAGGATGGCAGGTAGTAATCGGAGTAGTTGTTGGCCACATCGTAGTATTTCTGGAGGGCGACCAGCTCGGTGGTAAAATTAGCGGCATCATACGCTATAGTCTCGCCGGTGCTGAAATCCACGTAGGAAGAAGTCGTCGTCAAGAAGGTCGGCGTAGTGATGTTGATGCCGAGGCGCTCAAAGAAAGCTTCCGTGCCAGTGTAATTGGTGTACGTAGCAACGTCATCTTCCGTTGTTGTCAGCAGAAGCCCAAAAAGTAGAGCTACGAAGGAAGAGAAACACACAGTCGTAGTTGACATTTGTTGACGGATTGGTCCAGCCGTTGACCCTGCCACCCTTAGGGATTGAAGATCGTTAGAGCTGTGCGCATGTAGAAATATACTGAATGTGTGGGCTCACCAAGTGGTCCTCCTTCTCGAGTACGATAACGGACAGTCCAGCGTCATACAGGTTTGATGCCGCATTGGCACCAGCGTCACCACCCCCGACGACAACAATATCAACCGTCTTGACGGTTGCGTTGGGGTACATCTGCGTGAGGTTGGGCGTACATACTGCATTGCCACCCGCAGCCGCCAAAAGCACGTCTGCAAGCACATTCTTCGGATGGCCCATTCTGAACCGATTATGGAACGGAGACTAATTGGGGCCAGACAAAACAGCGAGAAAAGAATGGAGCGCGAGCTAAATGTGAACAGGCCGCATGGACCGGAAGTTAATAACACCAATGGGATAACCTGGAAAGGTATGGAGTACGTTGCCACGTTTTGTGCTGCTTTGCATCGGGGATGTGACAGGTTTTTATCATTACTGCATGCCGCTCCCAAAACGTGGTCTGGCCGATCCGATGCTTCCTTTGGGGGCCGGCTAAGAAACTACAGGCCCAGCTGCTATCAGAGGCAATGGTCTGTATAGTTTTTCTCACAGAGTAGCGAATCCGATGTCCTGTCGACACTTACGTGGCACCTCCGCTGTGCAAAGGGGGCGAGTCAAATAGTCGCTACCAGGAGCCCTTATTCTTATCGATGGTGTAGCTCGAGAGAATTATCCGGAGAGGTGCTCCGTAGTCGAAGCAGCAATTATCGTGATATGTTGGCAGGAAGCGGTGCTAACGAATACATTGTATGCAGCCGTGGGTGGTGCGGAATATCTGCTACCCTGTCACATTCATATGGATCATTGTACGCGTACACAGTAAGATACAAGGGCACGGAGAACGCCATTGTCGCACATGAGATTTCCCTAATTTGTGGGAATTCAAGGTTTACGGAGTACATGGGGCAAGAAAAATCAGGAAGACAATACTTTATAACAGACTACTGATTGATGCTTTGCATCATTTATGAGTTTCGAGCGATACAATCCCCAGCAACTACTCCGTGCATAGTAAAACTGAAAGGCGACATATCTTTTAGTCTTGTACAATTAAACGATGCTAGTACGTTCAAAGAAGCTTCTTTCTGGATTTGCCCCGGACTCAAGTGTCGTAATGCGTCTAGGCCTGGGCTTCCCCAGATACCGACATGCAAGGTTACAAACGTTTGACTGGTAAGGATCTTTGCTCCGTCACGTCACTTTGGCAGGCCGGCCAGTACGCGCTGATACTCTAATTTAACAGACATGTTACAACCCTGAGAGACTGTATTTCTGCTTGTCACGTTCACCCCTGGAACCTGTCACCGTAAGAAACCGTAGACATTGTGCCCGTACAATATTGGTCCTTGGATTTGGTTCAGATCATCGTGGGCCGATCTTGTAATTTCAATCCGGGTGTCTGAAAATCACAATTGCTAGTCACAAGCAGGCCGTAGAAGGAAATGGTCGTCATGATTTCGCAACTTGCATAATGTTGTCTACAGATGATGAAGCCTTTCGGATGAACGTAGTCGATCTATATGTGATTAACAGCCATGAGAACTCCGTGATTTTGGAGGAGTTGTTTATGCCTTGTCCGTTAGTGGAACTCTTTTATTCGGGTTTCTTGATATATATTCTGTAGGCCTAATACGCTCCTAGACTTTTTAATAATGGGCGTACGGTCTGTTCGACCGCAATTGTTTGTTTAGACCTCGTCGCGACGATGCCTACAACGGTTGATAGAAAGCGGTGTATATTACCATTGCCTACTACGTCGGCTATCACCTTATTTGATGGTCCACAACCGACGAAGATTCGGGATTGAAGGTTGCCTAAACAAGCCGAGCCCCGTTTTAAGAGACAGTAAGTTGTTGCCAGTCCACAGAAAAGACCAAAGCGAGCTCAAGACACAAAAGAAGAGAAAAATGTACTCCGACGTACATTAACACTCCACGAACCAAATTATGATGACAGCGTCCAAACCTCCCAGTCTAAAGGGATTTCAACGAGGAATGCAGCCCTATTCACCGTAACGGAGGTACTGGACTCAGCCCATTCCACCATGCCTTTGCATACACGTGTCATACTCACCTGTTCATGCAGCACTTGTTGGTATATCAAAAGCCAAACAGCTGTAATGCAGCCACCTAGATAGACCTGAGGAGCGGGTAAGACTTGTCCCCTGCCTCCTCCGTCGCATGCCCTTAGGGAGGCGTGTTAGTTCTTGGGGAAACCCCCCTTGAATGGCGACGTTAAAACGTATAAATAAATAAATAAATATCAAAGGCCAAAACAGTCTGATTAGATATCCCTCAGATGGCACAACCCAGCCTTCAGCTACTGTGTTCGCCTAGCACTATTCAAGGCTATTTCAGCCTCCACAATCGGGCCATTAAACTCTTTCCTGGCCCACACGAAATAGTACACCAAGCTGAAGAGGACCAGGCCGCCCGTCACCACGACACTGTAGTTCATCGTCTGGGGTGTAGGGTTCATCATTGGCGGCCAAAAGCTGAAAAATCCGACAACGATGAGATAGCAGATGGCAAACACGTTGTTGGCAACTCCAAAGACACCCGGAACGCGAAAGGGGCCCCAGACGAGCTTGGCGCCAGTAGTATTAGCCAGGGCCGGCATATCAGTACTGTCGGGCATGACAAAGCCGGTGGTGGTTCGACGGTAGAGCAACAGGACGGCAGCAATAAGATAGGAGCTGTACAGACACGAAATTGAAACACTGGTGATGTTCTGGAAGGCAATGTACGATCCAATATTGATGAGCGACAGCAAGACGGCGATGACGGTGGTGATACCAACGGCCCAGACGGGCACGCTTGTACGTTGGTCGACACGGGACAGGACGCGCCAATAAGGCATTCCACGATCACGGGAGAAGGACCAGAAGACGCGCGACGTCGAGGCGAGCATGCCGACGGTGGCACAGGTAGCCAGGATGAGAATGATGGCTGACATGACGGAAGCCCCAGCAGTCGAGCCAGTAGCCTGCTGGAAGATGTACATGAAGGGATAGCCGAGCAAGCCAGGACCGGAGCTGACAGCATCGTCAAAGTTGCCCATACAGAAGACCATGGCGATGAGCATGGCGAAGCCGGCAGAACCGTTGATGACGAGACTGAGGAGAATCGACCGGGGCACGACAACGCCGGGATTGACCGTCTCCTCAGACATCTGGCTAGTCAGAGACGGAGGCCAAGGGAAAACAATGAGTGGGGACTTACATGAAAAGCGGCGTCGGTACCGACAAAAGCAAAGGCGTTGCCCATCATGCCGACCAGAAAGGACAGACCAGTTGTTGCGAACTCACCGTTGTTGACAAAGGTGGTGAAGACACTATGGGCGCTGTCGTGGGGACCGAGGACGACGAGCGGGATGAGGATGGCAAAGAATCCGACAACATGGAGGATCAAGATGAGGCCCTCAAACTTGGGCAGTGTCGAACTGACGAGGACGTTGATGAAGACGGCAAAGAGGAAGACGGCCCAAAAGAGCAAGGTTCCCTGCCACAAGGCCGGCTCAAAGGTGACATTGTTGAGCGAGGCGAGAGCGAGAATCATGTCACCGGTCAGCAGGGCGCTCGAGGCCACCGAAGCCTGCCAGCCACCCACGGTAAGCATGCCGGTCATGTAGCTGAGGAACTTTGCGCAGGAGCGAGGCGCCATCATGGCCACCCAGTGGTACTGTCCGCCAGACGTGGGCGCCATAGACACGAGCTCGCACATAGTGCTGAAGACGCTAAAGTTTCCGACCCATACGACGATAAAGCTGTAGATCACGCCTGCTGTGCCTCCATTGTTTAGCCCCTGGGAAAACAGCACGGTGACGGCCTCCCAGGTGATGAGAATGGTGCAGCTGAAGCCGAGGATGGACATAAAACCAAATGTACGCTGTGATCTGCGTCAGCTGACGAGCAACGGGCTTCCACAACGGCAATTGCTTGGCACGTACCCTGAGGACCTGCTTCTTTCCAAGCCGTGCGAGTTCGTTCTTGTCGTAGAAGTCAGACGTTGCCCGGCTGTTGGAGACCGGCTCCCCAGCCATGGCAAACGCCTCGGACTCGAAGCCTTTCGACATGTTGCCCAACTAGTAACTTAGAACTCACGGCCGGTCAACCAATGGACATGGACAAGAAATCAAAGGATATGAGGGAATTCCGGAAGGATTGACAACGCGAAGGGACGGCACGACAATGGACAGGCTTTGAGGCTGGGGACGCTTAGATAAAGGTCGGGAGAAAGAAGAAGGAAAAGAAAGGAGTGGGAGGGGGGATAAAACCGACAAAATGTGCCTAGACATACAGCCAAAATTACGGAGTGCATAAGTACAGCAACTTGCAGCTCGGCAGGGAAATAGGCTGACTGAAACTGCCATTGATCCGTAACATGGCTCCACGTCAAAGGTGTGTGTGGACTTGGACAATGCATTGGCAGAGGTGGACGTAAGACTGGTCTTCCAAACGACAGCGACTCAGTCTCCTTGTTTTTACATAAATGATTAGTCTCTCGAGTGCTTCCCATCTCCATCCATCTCTCGGCCGAACGACGCTATGAGTATGATAATAGCTAGGACCTCCCCCGTAAGCCGGCCGGCCCCACTATTTCTGGTGGTAACCCGTTGTAAGTGGAACCGATTAGTAAAATAAACTCGCCGAGCTAAGCGACTTGCTGCTGTGGGAGTAGTCCGTCACAGGTACTAATACAAAGGCCATTATAGCTGCCTGTTTGAGAACACGCGACAGTACTTACGACAATGAAGCCGGCAATCACGTGGAAAATTTTCGTATTATGTACAGGGTGAACTAATGCACAACCGAAGGCAATAAGCCGTCGAGGGTCTCATTCGCCAGTCTCACTTCATTTCCGCGCTTTGGACAGTTCCTTCGGCATGATGAGCACTTTGCGTATCCACTTGCCAAGTTTGATGAATCAAAATCGTCTGACTCTCCTGGCTCTCCTGGCTTTGTGTGTCCCAAGTTGGGTTCGCAGCGGCCTGGCCCTTCTTCTTTCCTGCTGTGACTGTCGAAAATGTCACCATCTCGTGTACCTCACTGACGTCCTGCGGCCACACCACCGTTGACGGCTCGTTGTGACTGCCCTGGGATCGCATCACAGAGTCACGTGTGCTTTTTTTCGCCGACCTCATTGCGCTATTGCTGGTAGTCAGGTCATAGCCGTACCTGTACCCACTACTGCCTCCGTTCGACCGTCCTTGGCGCCGCAGGTCATCGACGCGGACCTGGCCGGATTCGAGGATGTCTAGGAGGAATTTGAAATTGGGCAGGCAGACGGAAAACACCGCCAGACACTGCACGACAAGTATTGCGATGGTGGCTTCCCATAGGGCGAACGTGAGGTCGTCTGACAAGTTGAACGCCCGATTGGAGAATTTGATCTGCAGGGCGATCGCCGGCACCAGCCTTCGCCTGTCAGTAAAATTTCGATTAAGGATCAACGACAAAGTAGAAAAAATGAAAAAGCAGATGTCGGACGTACAAAACACGGCCACTGTACACGCCTATCACCAGGAATTTGTTCGACCACGACGTCTGCAGCTGGCTTATGCTCCAACACATCAAGGCTACCATTGCACAATCAGTAAAGAGGTTCGTCACGGAGAAGTATGTGTAGAATCCGACTCGGTCGATGCATTGTGAAGCCGGCACCGTGACCTAGGGCGCAGGAAGTTGGCATTGGAAGAAGACCACAAGCAGCGCTATGAAAGTCCAGATTCCAGAGACCACTTCGCAAGCGTAGACAAGCGGAAACAAGTCTTCCTTTGTTAACATCCGCAGGCCGGTGGCAAAGGCCATCTTGCAGCTACCGATGGTGAGCACAAACAACACATCAGCCGCGTATTGACTCTGTATTGCGTCAGCACATGCTAGGGACGAGCAAAGTGTGGGGATATCATGGAATCTGTCAGTGACTTACTTTAAAGTAGGACTCTCGATCTCCAGGGCTCAGAGAAATAAGGTGCTTGCCCAACCCACGCTCGCAGGCCGCATATACGGCAATGGACTGGCCGACAGAAAGCAACTGTAGAATTCGTGAGTGTCGGGAAAATCAAAAAAACAGACACATGTCATTCCCGCCAGGAAAATTGCACTTACTGTTCCAAGAATCGCCAATATGTCGTCGGCCTTCAAGGCCTTGATGATGTAAATCTTAGCACCCGAACGTACCGAGCACGCGAGGATATTGAGGGTGAGTAGAAACAAGGCGAGGACCTGGATCAGCGCCGATTTGTCGTCGTCGGTGATGACCTTTCGCGAAGAAGTCATAATGACGACCTCTCCTGCGCGAATATGGTATATTGGCGAGAGGTTTGATCACGCGCGGCAAATCAAGATAGAAACATCGACAAAGAGTGCGTTACTTGAAATAGACAGTCAGGTCGGACGCGGCTGGGAAACACGCTTATCTAACAAATAAGAGACTAACCGCGGCATGGCAGATAACCATGTACAGAGGGCTGGATGCGGAATGTTTGGAATGTGTTGGAACGACAACCTACGAGACTCTTCGAAGACACTGAAACCAGCCGAAAGCCTTGCTGTTCCGGTGGAGCATACAGCCTCCACAGGCAACGTGCGAAGGGTGACTTCGGTCAAGGATGAGAGATTAATATCTCGCCACTATGACCTGCGTTATTGGGGAGGCACTTGTATGCGGAGGTTACACGTAAGCGTGCTATGTACTTGTACATGGCCTGGATGACCAGCTTCATCTATTATTGGCCTAGCCGTTGGCTAAACCGTTTGGAGACTCCCCCACCAGTACTTCAGCTTCCTAATCTGGAGCCTGCTCTGCATTATTGCTACTCGGCATGAACTCGGTCTCCCCCAAAGGCAGGAACATGTTGGTTTCACATTCGGCTTTACCCTCCCGAGGGCCACTGTAAAGGATCGTTTCCGATAGATCCGTGACGTTCTAGACTCGATCCAAAAAATTCATTACGACTCTGTGAAAATGTCTGTTTCTAATTGAATTTGCATCACTTTACCGAAATCTCGACGCACGATATGTAAAATAAGCGCAGAGAAAGATGGGAGAACAAGAAAAAAAAAGCACTGGTGGCCAGGGGGAAGAGGGGCAAAGTAGGTAAGAATCAGCAGCTCTGTGGCCTGTGCAATATTCATGTACAGGGATATAGCGCCGGCTCGGCTGCTGATTATCAGCCGTCGACTTTCAGGGCAGCAATACTGCGCTAAACAGCCCTGCAAAATAGAGGGGCTCTAACCATCTATTATATCGCTTGGATCATTGCAAAAATACGGAAACAGCAGAGATCATTGTAAAGTCTAGCGCGTACGGAGTAGATAGCGACACATATGTACGGAGTACATGCACATGTAACTCGCAAAAAGAAAATACGATCTTTCGTCTTACTATATTACGCAGGTCTGCGCCCTAAACAGACGGGAAACTGCAAAATCTAACAGCCTAGTCTCCGTTCCTCCCGAGCAGCCGCCCCTGAAATTCTGGGCACCCGGAACTATGCCGTTTCAATTACTCGATGTGGACATACCTGCCGACTTCGGCGAAGTCATTAAGTGCCAGTGGACAGCTTACGAGAATCCTTTCCAGAGATTTTTCCGCCTCTACTGCCCGATTCTTGGAAACGGGCCCAATGCCCGAGCCGAGTCCATCAAGGAGTCGACCGAACGCCAGCTCGCCTGGCACCACTCTGAGCCTGAGGGCCATTGGATAAAGGTCGTCGACAGCTCCGGGAAGATTGCTGGTGCATCACTGTGGAAGATCTTTGCGACAAGCCCCCCCGAAAACGGCGATTCGGGCGAGGAAGAAGCCGATTGGCATCCGGAAGGAGAAGCCAGAGAATATGCAACAAAGGTCCTGGAGGCATTCGATGCGCCCAGACGCACTATGGCTAAGAGGCCGCATGTTTGTACGTACAGGACTTTTGCCTAGTCTACCGGTTACTTTTTTTTTTTTTTATTGTTGTTACGACATTATCAAGTACCGTCTCACTAACCATCGGCGCTAAGTTCTCAATATACTCTTTACCCACCCTGACTACAGACGCCAAGGTGTGGCAGACCTGATGATGAACTGGGGGCGGCAGAAGGCAGATGAGATGGGCGTGGAGATGTGGGTCGATGCTGGAAAGCTCGGCGTGCCTGTCTACGAGAAGCACGGATTTATGGTGGTGCACACTACTCGTGTGCAGTTGGCCAAGATCGACCCTGGCGAGACGTGGAAGAAAATGGACCGGGAGCTGCAGCCGTTGCAGCATTGGACTATGTGGCGCCCTCCATTTGGTGACTACAAGGAGGGCAAAGTCGTAAAGCCCGAGGAGGTTCCAGAGAAGCTATAGAAGCTGAAAGCGGATGTTTCGTTCTCTTACTTTGTGCGGTCGCAAGTCTGCTGGTTCTCTGTTTTGCATTCTTGAATTGGCACTCCCTATCGTATTTTCCGCCTCAGGTAGTACTCAACCGCACATTTGCATTATCTTCAAAGGAGATCTTTATAAGTAGCGGCCGTTCCACAAAGTTAGGAAGGTGTCGTATGATTGCGTAGTTGCTTAAATCCCCAATAAACTGCGAAATCAGATGTCTATAACCAAAAGTCGACAAGGACATCCACCGAGGTAAGTGACTTATTAGGTTCCATACACAACAGTAGCGTAGAGGCATTCGCTCTTTTAGATCACAGGTTCGCTTTTGGTACGTAGTTGACACTTTGCTTGCCGCCAAACAGAGATCTGTTACATCGTGAATATGGCGTCTAGCTTATCCTAGACTCATTTCACTCTTTGTGACTAAAAGCTAAGCAGCAGCCCAGTGTGGTGCAACAGAGGAGCCAGTTCAAAAAACGGCAATTTGTGAGTCGGTCGATAATTTTCTGCCACGATTTGAACTGCGCAGCAACGTTGACACAGCCAATATGAACCATTCCTTCATATGCATCATTGGGGAATCATACATCCAATCAGCCATTTCGTATTTCAGCCCAAATATGTCTCTGCAATGCGTCTTCATGTCCTCGGCACGGCGATACAGCCAGCATCTATTGATATTTCGAATCTAACTCAGCTTGATGATATCTCTTCCCATCTCAAGCCACGCCACAAAACCGCATAGACGCGCATCTATTGACAACAAAACATCGTACTCTTAAGATGTGCAAAATCTAAAGTTAGCAGAGTTTGTGGACGATAGCATCCCCTATTTTCCATACTGTCGCATACAGGAAGATTTAGCAAAGAACTTGTCATATCTCGATTCTGCCTATAGTTATCAAAAGAATTGCCGTCGGTGCTCAATTGTTTCTTCCAGCAGGAAAAAAACAGATAGATTTCGGTGCGCCTAAGTGATACCTTCCGCATAAACAAGGACAGCTCCGAGGAGCTTGGAAGTCCTCAACTTCGCGTCTTAGTGGTATGGTGACACCTATTTGACTAATAGGAGCTGATCATCTTTGTAGCTACTTTCTGCTTCTGGCGCCAGGACAACTGCAGTGTCCCTCAGTGCCTCAGGTTGCTTTACACAGATTAAATATCTGCGTATGAATATCAGTATATTAATTCTACTCCAACTGTGTTGAGGGTCTTGAATTTTGCTAGTTAATACATACACTCCAAATCTACCTATGCACATAAACGTCATTCAAACAGGCTGATGTTATTAGCAATGGTCTTAGAACCATACATTGTGCAGTAAGGCATTTGATGGCCTCTGCTTGCAAGAAAAAACTCAACGACTGTTCTATGTGCGAGAACATCATGCCCATGAAATCTCCATCGAACACGCTCCGTACGTGTTTCGCCCCCATGTCCAGGGTACATGAAAATAACGGGTTGCGATGACTTTGACCCTGAGTGACTGAAGGTGCTTCGGTACGCAATTGCATTTGTCTAAGACTGATCGTGGAGGGCAGGCCTGCATCTTCAGGTGGAGAGGTGGATGGACCTAACCTGAAAATAGCTGCAAAGCTGGTACGCTATCCACTTGAAGTCACCTTTTACGGTGGTACAACCACTGTGTGTGCCAGAGATGGTTCCAGACTTAGTAAATGAAAGCCTTACGGTTTCCCATCTTCAATTCTTGGACATAATCATCCAATGATACGATTGACTTCTGCAGCAGCGTGGGGAACGTGGCCATTTTGAGATTTTGGTCCTTAATCATCTTTCACCGAATGACTCTGTGCTGTTCGTACAGGTGACTCCTAACAGCACTCCGACGATTGCACTTGCGGCCTCTCGACCTGGCGCTGTATTTTTTGTCATTATCATCAAATTTGTAATCTTAGTGGGGTAATTTGTCAGAGGTAAGATAGCATTTCTTCGCCAATCGTTCTGAGATGAAAATGCGCCTGGCTTTAGCACAACGGCAAGGCGGATTCCGACTTAGGCACTTTATACATGGCGCTGTTAACAGGCACTGCACCGTGAACCGGTTAGAGGAGGCGAGCCGAAAGGGAACAGCGATATACGTATACCGTCCGCTTCCTTGCGTTTGCTTCCGCTATCCGTACATAAAGAAACAGTTTTGCAGAAAGGCTTCGTGTTCCCAAATAGGCCTGCTCTGCTCGTAGAACCTCCTTCGTGTTCACCACGTATTGCTCACGGCAATTCTGCAATGCCCCGGAAGATAGTTTCGGTGATATGTTTCTCCGATCCGAAGCCCCCCAACCAGTGGCTCGGGTGCCTCTCCCGAGACGCCAAACGCTTCTGCGGATTGCTGGCCCATTTTAGGCAACCGTTCTCAAGATGGCGTGAGTAGCAAACACCGAGTGCGCTAGCTTGCAGTGGTGCAAGTGCATATCCCGGTGCTAGTGGCCGTCTTCGGGCCCCAAAGCAGCTGGGCAGTGATTGCATCTTAGCTGTGACAGTCGGGTCAGTGTATGCATCTGTAGAGACTACCACCTTGTTGATTCGATGCTCGTTACCAATGGTCAGTTTGCTTTTAAGGTGGGGCTAGGGACCAGTCCGGCTACTCTGGCCGAGTTGAAGCAGCTCATCTGGAAGATGGTAGGCCAGATGGTCTGCAGAGGCTTGATGCGAACCCGCCGCTTGCAAACATGGCGCACGGAGCTCAAGGCTATTGAGACAACCCGGAAACGATTAGGTCTACACGGCGCATCCTGCCCGCCTAAAGTATGATGATGGCTTCAATCTTCTGCCAGTAGACTAGACCAGCACGTATCCTTACAGAAGCTTAGAGCGCATAACCTTAGGGAGGGGTAATCTGTTAAGATGATAATGTACGATCTCAACTTCGAGTTTGAGCCATATGACCCACAAGCCAGCTACAATTACAAGGCCTACTGCAGACACTGATTTACTGTCTTGCGCAAAAACTCGGTGCGTCTTTCTGTTCTTCCCAGCGAATCCGGGTAGAGATCGCATGCGGTATCCAACTGAACGAACCCCGCACTGGTCTCCAACTTGTAAGCTGATGAGTGAGTACGGCCACGTGTGAACCTCTGTGCCTGACATGCGGCAACTCCCGTGATTTGGAGTAACTCCTCGTTGATCTACTAAAGTAAGATACCTCAAAGGGAGTAAGTAGTATGTAGTTACAAGGCTGTAGTAGTTAAATCATCGGGGTTCGACTAGCACTGCCGTATCAACATGTGGTCACGAGCTAAGAAAGGTATAAAAAATGGCTTTATTGTATTGTGGGAAAATGGGAGAGTCCCGAACAAAGTTTCGCTAAAGATCTATCGTCTTTCGTCCCCTCGGTCTAGCGTCTTGTCTAGTTTGGCGAAAATCCTCGTTTCAGATTCTTTACACCTGACAACAGTTAAAAATCTTTGTTCTCGTCGGGTTTGTTCGTTTGCACGAAGAAAGCACGCAGGAAAATCATTCCACTCTCACTCTCTTGTTGGCCTCCTCGCTCGTCCGGTCGGCGACCTCGACGGTGGAGAAGTACTCAAGCTTGAGCTTGGGGTCGGCCTTGATGGTCTTGCTGCCGGCGTGCCAGCCAGCGGGGCAGACCTCGCCGTACTCGTCGGTGAACTGGAAGGCCTCGATCAGGCGGATGGTCTCGTCGACGTTGCGGCCAACCGGCAGGTCGTTGACGGTGATCTGGCGGAGAGTGCCCTTGGGGTCGATGATGAACACGCCGCGCAGGGCGACGCCCTCCTCGAGGAGCACGCCGTAGTCACTCGAAATCTTCTGCGAGCGGTCGGCGATCAGGGGCAGCTCCAAGTCGGGGCCAAGACCGCCGGCCTTGCGCTCCAGGGCAACCCAGGCCAAGTGGGAGAAGTGGGAGTCGGTTGAGACACCGAACACGGACGTGTTCAGGGCCTTGAAGCGGGGCAGGGCATCGTTGTACTGGATGATCTCAGTCGGGCAGACAAAGGTGAAGTCCATGGGGTAGAACAGAAGAACGACCCTGGGCAGATGTCAGCGCGTCATGTTCTCTACTCTGGGGGGTCTGGGGTAACGGGGAAGATTGGATGTTGTGATTATGGGGCGGCAGCAGAGGGGAACAGAGGGGAAACTGAGAGAAATAAGACATACCATTGTCCGAGGTAGTCAGACAGGGAGATGTCCTTGAACTCGCCGGCAGGAAAGACGGTGGTGGCAGTGAAGCCGGGGGCCGGCTTGGTGACGAATGCCTTGGACATTTTGAATGGAAATGTTGTTTGAAAATTCGGTTTTTTTTTTGGACTTGTCTGTTGACCAAACCGTTTTCTCCAAAGGCACAGCAGGGAAATTTTCAGGCCTTTATCCTTCATCCAGCCAAGCTACGCCGTAGTCGGAGGATCCGCAGAAACGAGCACCGTATCCACAAAAAGCCCCACCGCCTTATCGTTGCAGCTGAACAAACACCGAAGTCCAATGTATGTAAAAACCCGGCACCTACTTCTGTGCGAAGAACGCATCATTCTGGGGCAATCCTGCTCGTTTCCGACGCCGGATCAATCCCCGATGCTGTTTGCGAGCCGGCAAGTTATCCCGGGCCCACAATTCTTCGTCTAGAAGCTTCCTGTTGAGGCCGATGCAAGTGCATTATACGTCGTATGCTGTTCCAGCTGCAGACACCGGGACAATGCGGATACAAAAGTTGCGGCAGCAGAGGCCAGTTCATATAATAATGCGGATTTACGTCGACATCAGATGCCGGCACGAATGCACATGCAGAGAGCCTGAGACACCACTGCGAGTCGTTTTGGGAATCCTGCAGTTGAGACGTGGTGCTGTTGCCATCTATGTATATGAAAATGTAGAAACACTCGGCTGGTCAACTCGAGTGTGTGGTATCGAGTTTCATATTGGATCAATCTTCAAGGATAATTGAATATTATATGATTAGCTGTGACAAGGTCAATCGTGATGCACGTACGATAATACGCTTTCTTCAATAGTGCTGATGCGTCAATGATTTAACGGTATGAACAGGCGCCAAAGCCTTTAGCCAAACCTGCAACTTCTTGCAAGCCTTCCACGGCTGTTACTTCCGAAAGGCAAGCACACGTCTCGGGCACAGTGCTCTCAACCTTTCGAATAAACAACCATCTTTAAAGGCAGGGGATGTATGAAAGAATAGGTGGAATGGTATCTGTACTTTGAAGCCGAGACTTCCCAATCCTCTACCTCGATAAAAGCGAACAGCGAACATACTCGACTGGATGGCGGCTGCGTTGCTAAGGGGAAATCACGACAAACTCAAGCTGGCTAGCGCAGCCGGAATAGCAGGCCTAGATCTCGGCGGTTTAGTGTACACGACGGGCACTCAGCCGGGCAAAGTTACCAGCCATGAGTATCTCGTTGACCATCTCGGAGCCGATAAAATCGGTTATGTCGGTCACAAAGACGAGAGAGTCGGTCATGAAGTGAGAGTTGTGTGTCTTGCAAGCGTAACTTGAAGAGAGGTGAAGGTTGTGACTGCACTATGATGGACGATTAGGTAGAGAACGAAACGATCAATTACTCGGCTCCGGGTTGCAAATATGACCACTTTGATACATAAACCGCCAAGGACAGCACCAGGCGACGAAGAATAGCCAAAGCAATCAGAGATCGCAGTTATCCAATTCGGGGTGTATCTCAAACAGGCTAGTTGGCGTCCCTTGTCATGCTTATATAATTGTTGGCATATATCACATTCACCCAACTTGCAACCTTTGTCATACATCCGCAGTAGCCGTGATGTCTAAGACAGAATCGCTTACCGAGGTCAGGTCTCTGATTACGTTCTAACGGAACCAGTTTCTAGCGCCTTAGAGACGGCCGTCCCCGATGAACCACCGCTAGTAGTGAAAACATGGAGTTAAGATACTTACCGTCGTGGTAATCAGGTGTGATACATAATTCGATCTTATAGGTTGGCTGAGATCTATTGGTCACAAGCCTTCAGTTCCGTGTAGTGCTGCTCACAAAAACACAGATAGCCTTACACACGTCGTCATAGCATAACCAGAAGTCTTGAGTGAAATTAGCAGACCTGCACTCGTCAACGCTGTATTTCCTAACAAAGCTAGTTTATGAGCTCATCCTCCAGGTAGACAGAAACCGTGCCTTTGGCAGTGATGACAAAGGTTGCTGCTGCTGGCAACGCAGTGGACGGTTGTACCTCGTAACCGTGATCCTCGCTCGGCAGTCCCATTTGATAAAGGCGTCGCTGCATGAGATCGATCTGCGTAGGAGCTAACATCAAGCCACGGTTGTGGCCAAATACAAGATAAGCGGTCGCTCCGCTTAGTCGACCTCTATAGGTATCATAGAGGCCCTCGACTTCTGTCATCACCCTGTCGACATTGGCTATGGTGTTATATGTATCTGGCCAAGATGTTGGCGATATGGCGGTGATCTGAGTCACGATACAGGCATTTGGCGACACGATCGCTACAACTGAGTTCCTCCCTTGAATATGTACACCAACCGCATTCTGGAAGGCAAAGTCGACATACTCTGCTTCGTCAGGGCCGACCAGAGTCGGGGTTTCGGTGTTCACAGGGGAACGAAGGAATCCAACAGGAATGTTGCTGGATGTCATATTTGCGGTCGTCTGTGTGAAGTTCTAGGGGATGTCTGGAAATGTGCTGGTGTTATTGATTGTGGTGTTGATTGTAGTTGAAAGTGTGGTTGTCTACTAGAGAATTCAGAAAACCCCGCGACTCTGCTCCCCTTTTATACCTTGGGAAACCGCCTCTAAACGGATCTCCCTCGCAAGAATAGTTGTGACTGCATTCTTCAAGTGACGACCTCGCGATCCAGTGTACAGCCCAGAGGTGTTTAGAGGAGTCTCCCTGGTACGGAGTCATTGCCTTGGGAGACAGCGAGGTGCAGATCAGGAAGTAACGCAGTCACGCAACTAGAAGGAGACACAGGCATCTCTCTATCAAGAACACCATAGCTTCAGCAGACATGTTTTGTCAGGAGAATTCAACCACGACAAGCTCTAGCGCAGGCAGCTAGCTGGTGCCTAACTGTCATCCGAGTGAACTGAGACATAAAACCGGATCTGATATGAAGTAAGACTCTGAATGAATTATTGGGTCTTTAATTCAAGTTCAGCCCGATCCGGTGTGTTTTAGGCTGCAAATACCGCTGAGCAGTACCAACAACAACATGCCAGTTCGTATTTTTGGGGAGTTGGAAATGCAGTATCTGGTAGATGCAGCACACTTCTAGCATGTAGGCGTCTAACGGTCCGTTACACATCGGTGCAAGTCGGAGTTCAAATGATGCTTATAAGATCCTGTAGGACAAATAAGACACCGTTGCGGATCAAACGACTGTCCTAAAGTCTGGACTTCCTTGAAAGATTACAATCCGCTCAGAAATAGGACAAGAGGATGCCCGTTCACGATTATATAATGGTGGCGTAAGGCGTAGGCCCAAGGGAGGAAAAAATAAGACACATTCACGTAGACTACAAAGTGCAACCAAAAAGGGTAAAAGGCCAGAAGGCTTGTTGATTACCCCGAAACATCCTCAGAGAACGACAGAAGATAAAGATAGGGCTCCAGTGATCTTTCCAGCTTAAAAGCTGTGCCTTATACTTTTATCTGGCTTGTCCAAAAAACGAGTAGGTGCCACGGCTGCAACAGTCAAGTGTCGTCAATACCAAAGTGCTACATCCTTCTATGTGCTCATCCCAACAAAGCACATTCCACCAGAAAATCACTTCTTTCATTGTGTCTACTTTCTCTAAAAGGCACCATAGCGCCATAGGACCACGAAAACCCCTCTTGTCCCCACCGGCATATGTCCGTATGTAGAGTCTGAAAATGCACAACCCATCCTTTCACATCCCCAGAAGGAGAACTATTACGCAGATTTCAGGACTTTCCTCCCCTCAAATATGCGTTCTGGGCACTATGTGTGGGTGTTGGGAGTGGAAGGGTACACGTCGGTTCCATAGGTCGAATTGAGCGATACGGAGCCAACAACGTCGCCGGACTCGAGGCGGATCCAGGTATCGACAGCAGGGCGGACGTAGCTACGGGCGGCATCACGAAGGGCAGTCTCGCTGACGCGGACCTGACGGGCACCACGGATCCAACTGCCGTAGCCGCCATGGCCAGAGTGCTGTCCGAAACAGAGGTTGAGACCGTTACCCGGGAAATCCATTGTGGGAAGCGTCTCATCCCAGAGGTAGCACCAGGTGTCACCGTGGTCGTGGCCGGAGAAGAGGGCGACGAGACCGGCATTATCGACGAGTTTCCCGTCGGCAGCGGTTCCCGGAAGGGCGGCTTCTGCGAGGGCCTGCATGAAGGGCACGTCCTGGCCGCCGTAGGGGCAGCTGGAGCTGTCGTGGGGATCGTTGGCGCACTAGTTCTGGGCCTGGGGCGAGAGCGGGTCATCGTCGTTGATGCCGGGCTCCCTGTGGGGGTCGACGCCGAAGCCGGTCTGAGTCTGTAGCAGGTAGCTGGCGTGCGTGGGGATGTGGACGAAGCCGAGCGATGGAAGGATGAGCTCGGTGGCACTGCTGCTACTGCTGCCGTGCAAGCGCCTCCCCAGCTGGCCGTACTTGGTCAGCAGGGCGGCCTGAGTGTGGCGGAACCAATCGACGACGCTCTGGTCGACCCAGTCAAGTTGCGGCACCTTGTTGCCGAGGGCGTCCCGCTGCTGGAAGTAGCTGCCGCTACGCGAGTCGAAGAACCAGAGCAGCAGCGCCGGCATGCAGCGGTCGGCCACCTCGTCGGCTGTCAGGGTCGCGTTCTGGGCAGCCGCACAGTCGGAGCCGTAGACGGGCAGGTAGTAATTGGACGTGTCCGCGCTGGCGTCGGCCACCATGCTGGTGGTGCGTGAGTTGGGCCACATGTGTTCCCGAGCGTAGATCAGCGCGGTCAAGATGTTCACGTCGTTGTCGTCGTTGCCATACGTTGATGCCCACGTCAGGTTGCGTTCTAGCAGCGGGGCCACGATCTCGTCCACGTACAGCGTGCTATTTTCCAGAAACGTGCTCTCGCCCGTGATCAGATCGCCGTTGAGCACGACGAGGTCCGGCGCCTCCTTATCCAACACCTTGTTGATCACTGCCACCGAGTTGACATTCCCTGCTTAGGACCCCACGAGTCCCAGGCGTCTGCTGGTCAGCATTCTGCTTGGCACCGGCCCCTGTCTCAGAAATCTCACATAATCTCGCCAAAGTGCAGATCTTCGAAGATGGACAGCTGGAATGTGCCGTCGTCGCTAAACCGCAGCGGTGCCGTTTGGGTCGAGTGGTGTTTCAATGCGTTGCCGCTGCTGGTGCTGCGCACATAAAGTGCATCTGAGACGACTTGGTTGGCCAGAGATATGCTAGCAAGCAGCGTGGCTGTGAGAAACACAGACTGCATCGTGTTGGAAGGTGTGGTAAACGAGTTGGGCAGGAGTGGTCGACAACTTGTTACTTTGTGAAATAGAGAAGCGACTGCCGGTACTCATATACTGTCAGTCAATTGTCTATTCACTCTAACATCAAGCAGCCGCTCAGAACAGACGGCCGTTTCTATGCTGCAAGTAGTCGGGAAGGTCAAAGAGTGTCAGAAGCATCATGGCAGAAAGGTCGAGGAAGTTTTGGAAAAAACAGCGTTATTCCTATTCGCACTGTCCCCTTCTGTTGGAAAACGTGGACCGCACGGCGAGCTGTTACTGGCGTTTGCTGAGCTTAAGCCTAAATGCCCTGAATGGCCGGGTCCGTTGGAGGTGGATCGATGCCCATGCTTGTGACCTCATTTAGCTGCAATTGCACCACGTGCAGTCTGGAGATTTGCTTGTAGGATGTTATTGAACTTGGTTTGTAGTTGTAGGCGGTGACTTTGTGTCGTCTTGGCTAGCTTGCTCTGATGGACTTGTCTCATGTATTACGTCATCAGACAGCTCCTACCACTCCTTGCTTATTCTTTACTTTGTTTCAGCTCTAAGCTTGTAAGCATACTCTGTGCTCTGCTGTACTCTGTACATGAAACTATGTCGATTCAAGGAATTGCATTTTCAAACAGGGGTCGATTCGGGACCAACTGCATCGCGGGAGCGGAAGTGAGATGTATGCACTGCGGGCTTGTGCGGCAGCTAGGCCATGCACGTGTTTCGTATGCATGTTCTTCCCAGGAGAATTTCTAGGCGCAGGAACCGCCAGACCACAGCAGCACCAGGCAATCTGCGGGGTGACTAATCCGAATCTGGCCACCCGAGGCTAAAAGCGCTAAGGTGGTAAAGAAGAAGCTGCCAGTAATGTAAGATTAATAAAACTTGCAAACTCCGTAAATGAGCACAAAAAACGCACCATGAGGATATCTGCGCTGTACTTGTCAGTACGACAGGAGACACAGGACAAAGCAGACAGGACGCGGCCTTTCCAACACATTCGGGCGAACGGCCACGGCGTACGTACCGCTTGCAAGAAATCGTGGCAAATCGAGCTCTCCCCGACAAGAATATCCGCCTCTCCGCGTCTCCATTGTGGGGTCGAGACCGAGGCAGTCCAACTCCGGTCAGCTCCAGCTTATTCCCTGCTACCCCGGGGTGCCAGAGGAGCCGAGGCCGGTCGTTATCTGCCTCTTGTCGTTTCGCCCGATTCGCTACAGCATGCCGTGGATGCCGCTTCGTGTACGCTCTCTCTCTGCGCCGACTGCGAGCCTCTCCTGAGTTGCTGGCATTCTCTCGTCTTTGCGCCAATCGACCAAGAAGGCTTGGCTGAAAAGGCCTTCCTCCCCTTCCTACATCCCCACCTGGAACTGCCTGCTTGCGATGCCCGACCGCGAGCAGGACGTGGCTGTGGCGGCAGCCCAAATCGGCACCATCAGGCCGTGGGAGAACAAGACTGTCCCAGAGGACGACGCAGATGACGGCGGTGCGTTTCTGTCGCCGGCGGCCCGGCTGGCGAGCGAGACACATGAGTCACAGCTGCAGACTAACGGCACGCGCCACACGGACACCGGAGACGGCGCAGCTGCATCGGCTGCCGTAGTCGACCTGCGTCCGCGCACTACCACCTCGACCAGGGAGATTGGCAGCACCATTGCCCGGCCGGGATCAGTGCGCATCAACGTCCAGGGCGCCTTCATCGTCGAAGAAGAGGGGCGGGCGCGGTCTACATCGCCGGCCGAATCCTCCAAGGACGGGCGGGCTCACTCGCCGTCAGAGCACACAACCTTTGATATCCGGCTGCCCAACCACCATGCCGTTGTGTCGCACATTGCCGTGGACGTGAGTGCTGTCCAGGGCGAGATGTGGTGGTGGTAGATGCTGACAGAGCAGATTGGCGGAACCTTGGCCAAGGTGGTGTACTTTTCGCGTGACGTCCAGTCCGAGCCTGGCGGCCGGCTCAACTTTATCAGCTTCGAGACCGACAAGATCGACGACTGCATCTCCTTTCTGGTCGACCTCAAGAAACGCCACATTGCGGCCAACGGATCTGGCCTGGGCGAGCTCTGCGTCATGGCCACAGGCGGCGGTGCCTACAAGTACTACGACCTGATCAAGGCCCGCATGGGCACCGATGTGCATAGCGAGGACGAGATGGAGTGCCTGATCATGGGTGTGTGGAGGCTGCTTGTGCCCCTGTTCGTCCCGTTCGCTTGCTGATCTTGTAGGCCTTGACTTTTTTATCACCGAGATCCCGCGTGAGGTCTTTACCTACTCCGAGACCGATCCCATGCACTTTGCCACGCCAACCGACGACATCTATCCCTACATGCTGGTCAACATCGGCTCCGGCGTGTCCATGCTCAAGGTGTCGGGTCCGCACAAATACGAGCGCGTGGGTGGCACCTCGCTTGGCGGCGGCACGCTCTGGGGCCTGCTCTCGCTGCTGACGGGCGCCCGCTCCTTTGACGAGATGCTCGATATGGCCTCGCAGGGTGACAACTCCCGCGTCGATATGCTCGTCGGCGACATCTACGGCACCGACTACGGCAAGATCGGCCTCAAGGCCACCGCCATCGCCAGCTCCTTCGGCAAGGTTTTCCGCATGAAACACGAGGCCGAGTCGGCCGCCGAGGACGGCCTTGGCTGCGGCGAGGACACGCTGCTACCGCCTGACGGCCACTTTGCCAGTGCTGGTGATGGCCCTGGTGTTAGCGCTGCCGCCGCTGCCTCTGCGTCGACACGCAACACCCGCTTCTCCTCTGCAGACATCAGCCGATCGCTGCTGTACGCCATCAGCAACAACATTGGCCAGATTGCCTATCTGCAGTCGCAGATACACCAGCTGTCCAGCATCTACTTTGGCGGCTCGTTTATCCGGGGCCACCCCCAGACGATGAACACGCTGAGCTACGCCATCAAATTCTGGAGCAAGGGCGCCAGTCAGGCGTATTTTCTGCGGCACGAGGGCTACCTCGGCGCCGTCGGTGCCTTTCTCAAACGCCAGCCACGCAACTGGGGCCGCCGTGGCAGCTTTGAGGGCTTAGAGATGCGTGTGGCCGAGCGGCTGGCCGACTGAAAAAGGTGCAGACGGGAGGAGTGCAGCGAATTTACTTCCAGCCCAATCCAGGTGGAGTCATACAGGAGCAACAGTACATCTTAAGCAGTCGTGTTGGACAAATCGGCGTTCTGTGAAGAACAAGCAATGTAGGATACACCGCTGGCTATACTTAGTGGTCATGTTTTTTAGCGGTTTCGGCTGGGAGGGTTGCTCTTTCAGCTGCCGCCGTATTAGTACTAATCCAGAAAGAGAAATACTGCCCGATTCTTGTCTTGCCCAAGCTGCCCGTACTGCGTGTTACCGGTGGAGGGCGCAACAATGTTCGTCAGAGCTGACTGGCCCGGAAGCGAAAAGACGCCATGTATTACTCTATACTCCGTACGGAGTACCGTTGTGCCTGCCTGCCCTACGCACAATTAAGTGATTCGGTGACAGGGCCCCGCCGAACTAGAGTGCTAGGGCGGCCTAGTGCTGGAAAGCCCGCTCTGAGCTAGGCGAGCTCACAGGCCAGTATACGACAGAATGAGGCACAGCAGAACTGTAGGGACCGCTGCGGGTACAGCAGATAAGATGCGTGAACTAGCATAGCCGACCGGCAGGCTGGTGGGCTTTGCGCAAATCTCGGTTTGTGCGTTCCGACATACGAGGCATATACGGAGTACGACTGAGCATAAACACAGATCCGGCTCAAAAGTGGGTCCGGGCAGCCCATAAACGAAAACAAAAAGCGGGGTGCACTATTCTCCCGTTACCCTGCGGCCACCCGCCAGCCTCTGGTTATTCGTCTTCTGCTTTGCCTTTCTCCTAGACACTGCAATCACGCCCACGTTGGTTGTGACGGACCGTATCTCTTCTCCTCGCTCTCTCCCAGCTCTCTCTCGCTTTCTGGACCCGTCTATCCCCGATCTGGCTGCTCACGGCTTCTATACTGCTCCCTCTCTCTGCCGAGAAAATACGACAACTCTTGCCCCAGAGAAAGGCTGACGATCGGCGGTTCTCGACCAGCAGCAGCCCGTCTACCCCGACAAGCGTCTCCCGATAGCCGACACGCCACCACGACGGCCGAGAGGCAGACCCTACGCGGCCGGTCGCCATGGCTACCTCTTCGATGGCCCTGTCGCGCGCAGGGCTCATCGACCCGACAAAGCCAGCCACCTATCCGGTCATTCTGGGCGAAGATATTCGCAGCAGCGGCAGCCCGTCCCAGCAGCTGTTCACCGGCATACGATGTGCGCTGAGGCCTGAATTCTGCGAGATGCTCTGCATTGTCTTCTGTCGCTAACCGAGCCTTGCCAGACAACTTCAAGGCGAAGCAACTGACCGACAAATCAACGCAGCACACGTCTACCCTCACCAGCCGAAACAATGACGACGACGCCCGCTACGAGATTACCTTTCGGGACAACAGCGGCGGCCGCTATGTCTACGCCGGACAGCGCGTGTCCAAGAACTCCAAATACGTCCTTGTGTTTGACCACAAGCGCCGCGTCTTCATCCTCCACCGCCTCGACTCCCTCTTTGTCATGAACATGACCGACACCCCGACCAACCACGACTCCGAAGCCCTGAAGAAAAAATACCCGCATATTGGCGAGAACACTACCCGGCGACTACGGCAGCACCGTGGGAGTGGTGCGGGCTCTTCGCAGGCCGTCCGACGGCCGCTCATCAAGAAGAGTGGCAGCGGGGGTGGCGGAGCTCTGCGGCCGATGCAGAAGCCCGTATCCCGGCCGCCACCACGGCCGGCGTCTGTTCTGCGAAACTCACACGATGTCGTCAAGAAAAACACTGCGAGCAGTACTAGCAGCAGCGGCAGCAGCAGTAAGAGCAGGTCGTCACTGCTAGAGCCGCCAGACCTCAGCCGTGAAACCAAGGCGTCCAAGGATGTGCGACTGAAGCGGGAGGACATGGTGGCGAAGGAAGCACAAGACAACCGTGACGCGCGAGACAAGGCCGCACGAGATGCGGCTCTACGAAAAACGAAAGCGGCCGCTCTGGCGGCCCGGCCACGAGAAGGAAGCAAGCTGTCGCAGGAAACGAGGGCATCACCGGACGTCAAGCCACGTGATGGTAGGGGAGAGCTTAAGGAGTCGGCAGCCAAGCCGATCGACATACGCACCAAAGACAGCAACAAGACGTCCATCGACCGGTCTAAGAAGCCATTGTCATCGAAACCCAAGAACACCACCGGTAGGGACAAGGACGGAGAGGCTGGCAAGAGCGTTTCCAGCACGCCGAGCTCGAAAGCGGCGGCAAGGTCACAGGAGCTGCCAAGGCCAACGCCCGAAGCAACGTCCCGCACCAAGTCTGCCCCGAAGAAGAAGAAGCAAGGCAGTTGGGAAGAGGACGAGGAGGAGGATGACGACGACGACGACGGTGACCTTGGCATCGTCATTGAATATCCGGAAGGACCATCCCACGGCGCCCGCGGCGGCCATGCATTTTCTGCCGGTCGCGGTGCCGGTGGTGTTGGCGGCGGTACCTCCCAGGCCGCTGCCAAAGGGGTGCAGCTGCACATGCCCACGTTTTCCGAGTTTCAGCAGGAGAATGCCGACGACAACGGAATGGAGGAGGTTGGTCCAGACGAAGACCTCGACGGTTTTTGGGACCCGCGAGAAGAGGCTGCTGGCGGTGCAGAGGCCAGTGGTGGTGGTGGTGATGGTGGTATCGGTAACACGCTGGGAGTTCCAGCAGCAACTCCGAGCCCGGCAGCGACACCGGAGCCAGAGCCGATGTTGTCGGTACCGCGGCCATCATCTTCACAGAGAGAACGACAGGCCCGCGTCAGCAATACGCCTCTCAGCAACGGTAACAGGCCCAAGGTCGCAGCGGCTGACGATGATGTCGACGAGCTGGAGGAAGCTCTGCTAGAGGAGCTCAGGGAGGCCGAAGAAGCCGAGAAAAAGAAGCGGGAGGAGAGCGAGAGGAAAAAGCGGGAAGAGGCCGCGCTGGAGGCACAGCTCGAGGCCGAGCTGATGGCAGAGTCGGAGAGCGAGATTAGCGAGGAAGAGTAACGAGCTGCTAGCACACCGCTGTCTGCCATCACGCACCATTTGTGCCAGGCTCGCCACTTTTGCTGTGGTCTTCTTTTTTTTCTTTTTTCTTTTTTTCTTTTTGCATGGGACAGCTTTGTTCAAACTACGAGTACTTTCTCGTGGACAATAAACGAGAGAGAGGCACGCCTGTATGTCCCGGACACCTGGGACAGGCCATTGTCGTTCATGGTTCGGTGGCTGCGATTGGAATAGCACGAAAAATACAATATGCTTTCAAATGAGTACCGTTTGCGTACAGACTATCGTGGTCGTGGTGGTATGAAGGTGCCATTTGTTCGGCCACATCAGGGAATTATGATTGGGTCCCCACAGAGATAGCATGCACGTCATTGCAACCAGCCGTTTAGTAGTGAGCGAATTTTCTTACTCGTACGGATTACGCTTGCTTCTACGGAGTATGTATCTACGCCAGGCATTACTGCCCAAAGTTGACCGACTTTTTCGATCTGTCGTATCTTACGAGAGCACGCGAGGATGATTTCCCCGGAAATTGTCGAGCCGAGTTGCGCCTTGCTGCCAAAGCCGCTGACGTAACGACGTTTTCAGAGCTTGAAAAGGGGTCCAGAACGCTGACGAAAGGGTCCCGCTTTTCCCCTATCCGGCAGAACGAAAGAGGGGGTGTCCCATTACTAACACACAGGTCGCACCTGGATATTGCAGCGGACAGCCACAGACATTCAGGGGAATGTAAGATACGAGTACGCCGTAGTGCTGATGGACAGGAAAGAAAGCAGCGAATGAGGCCGGCACCGCTAAGTTGCTATTTGCGTCCTCGCCTTTCGACTTTCCATCCCATCCAACATTGTGGCCTCCTCTACTCCGTATTCCCCCCCACCTATGCCAGGCCAGCTACTCGTACTTAGATGGTGCGTCTCTAGCGCTGCATGGGAAGCCGTTTTCTGGAAACAAAAGGACGAGGGCGTGCCAAAGTATCGCTTGCTCGTAAAAAGCAGTGCTACTTTAACACTAAACTGTCCGTAGGCTTCTTCTTTGCGAGTCGAGCGACGAAAAGGGAAAGGGCGGTCCACTTTTCGTCTTATTCGAATGCAACGGTAGCTGGCACGGACATTACGGAGCAGGCCAATTACCCATTGTGTGCCCGACCGCCTTCCCTTTTTAGTCGCTCTGCACCCATCGCCTCCTTCGCCTTCGCGTCCTTGTCGCCTTCTGCCTGCTCCTAAACCTCCTACTCCTTGATCCTCCTCAGCTCACATTCCGGCTGTCCCGAGGCACGCCTAACCGTTCCAAACACCACTCTCGACCATTCACAACTTGTCTCTCTCCCCCGTTTTATCGTTTGTTTTCTTCTTTCCCCCCAGCTACAAGCAGACCAGACCACAGCCAGGCCACACCAGACGCACCTGGCACAACACCAGGACTCTCATGCGTGAGATCATCGCGCTAAATTGCTAGCCGCATTACCAGTCTTCTCTGCCATTCCCGATCGTGGCATCCTCCCACGGCGATATACCCTCGTACGACCAGCCGCCTACCACCCCAGACATCCAAGCTTTGTTCGGCTAGAGCTACCTGCCGTCTTCGACCCTCACCCACATCATCCCGACCATCCCCGCTGGCAGGAAGTGCACTCGCACGGGAACCAGAAGCAAATAGCGCCTGTAATAGTGAGGGGTGTCTTTCGAAACCCTTTATCCCTCTCGCCAGATTCCTAAGCCCTTTCGCTCTCGCTCTTCCGCAAGTACGCGTATACCCGCGTCCGGGGCTCGTTTGGCGTTCCGTACGGTTGCAGCGCCAGTGACACCTGTCGCCACAAGCCAGCTCTGACGGTGCATCCGAGTATATACGGATAACGAACCTCTTCGCTATTTGCTCTCGCCATGGCCCCTCTCAGTAAGCTGAAATATTTTCTTGTGCATATTACTTGAGCCTCGCCCATGTCATCTCCATTCTCTCCCAATCGTACCCACTGGCCCGCCTCATATCTTCCCCAGCATCTCTGTCGTCCCTTCTTCATCTCTGCCTGAACTTCGTTCCCCCGCTTTGCTCCGTGGTGGCAAAGGTGTCTGTCAAACTCTGGGGGGAATTGGGCTGCCATTGTCCGTCCCTGGTCCCGGAGGCAGGGAAATCGGAGAGCCCTGCATTACACCATTCCCTTCGCTGCGCCCTCAGCCATAATGGGCCCCTACAAACTACCGACGACTGGCAAAGCCATAACTGACCTTACCGTTCTTCCGACAGTCAGCAAATCCCGAAAGGTACGTTTCCAGCATTTGCGACTGTACTGCTGGTTCCAGTGAGAGAGCCTACCATGTTGACGTCTGAACTAACAATGCCCGTCTCTTGCAGCCTCGCTTTGAACTACATCTTAAGGTCAGTGAATGTTGTATTAGCTCTGCAATCGTCCGGCAACGTGCACCCGCATGCTAACCTTTCCAGGTTTACGACCTCAACAACATCCCACTGGCGTCCGGCACGGCCTTTGTCAAATGGCATCTTCCCTACAGCATTCACAGCGAGCACCGCGGTCGGTCGTCCAAACATAATGTCGCAAACCACCGAGTGGAATTCAACTATGCGAAGATTGTTCCACTGCGCCTGGTCATTGACAAAAACAATCGCCTCAGCGACTACCCCATCGAGTTCGAGGTCACTCAAGAATTCAGCAACAACGGCGTCGGTCGCGACGAGAAGATTGTCCTCGGCAAGATCACATTGAACCTGGCTGAATATGTGGCTGAGAGCGAGGCTATGCTCCGGGATTTACGGCCTGCTTCAGGCCACAGCGATACGGCGCGCTGGAACTTCCCCAGCGCAACGGAGAGCCACCACACGCGGCAACGCAGCTCGCTGAGCGCAAAGGGCACGATCAGCAGCTTTAGCACAGGCCTGGGGGTATTCGACAGCGGTGATGGTGCTGAGTCTATGCTGTCTACCTCGCCGTCCGGTGTGTCTGGGCCGCCCCATTCTGCAGGATCGTCCGCTTCGACCGGCACACCCTTGGTCGAAGAAGGCGTGACGCGACGTTATCTCATGCAGGAGAGCAAGATCAATGGCACCCTGAAAATAAGCGTGCTCATGGTCCAGGTGGACGGCGATCGCAGCTTTGTATCCCCGCCTCTAAAATCTGCCCCCGTCTTTGGCGGTATTGCCGGCATCATGGCGAGTGGTGAGGTTCTGGGTGGCGGTGTTGTGAGCCTACATGACGACTTGGATGATCCTTCGGCCTCTATAGGAGGTGGGGCCGGATCGAGAGCGTCACGCGCGGCTGCGAAGGGTCGCGACGTCTCCGAGGTTCAAGACGTATACCGACGTGCGCTGGCCGCATCGTGGGCTTGCGAGCAGGGCGAGCTACCGGCAGACGAATGCATCGAGGACATTTTCAACGGCGGTGATGGTTTCCGACGCCCGGCCGGTGGCAACACGCCTGACTCTCCTCCAGTTGGACGCACGCTTCCGTCTAATTCGTCACTGCACTCAGTGACCGAGGACCAGGATAAAGATAGCGAGGGAAGCGGTTTGGGAGGCAGTGGTTCGTCTGAAAGAAAGAAGGGGCACCGGTTTATTCCAAAGTTGCCCCTGCGGCGCAAGACGGCGCCAACAAATATCGACTCAGCGCAGAAGACGCTGCACAAGGCGAACAGCAGTAACGCTCTGAGAGGAAAGGGTGGTGTCGGCGCTCAGTTTGATGCCGGTGGTAATAACAGCAGCAGCGGAGAAGAGGGTGACACCACGAGCAGTGGTAGTACTGGCAGGCCAGGCACGGGCATGACGTATAACCCGCACGCCGATGACGACGGTGGCTTTGAAATCAATGCAACTCTGAGACCGTACGACTTGCGTCAACTCCGCAAACCGCTGGCAGTCTCGTCAGATCCGGCATTTGCAGCAATACGACAGCATGAGCGCGAGGACAGTGTTCTGTCTGACCGAACAATAAAGGGACCCGGCAACGCTGGCAGTTTTGACGTCCCTAGGTCCGCGCGAAGCAGCCCTGGGCCGGGCTTCGTGTCCTCTAGGCTTCTACGAGACAATGCTTTTGGGGGGCTAGCATCTTCACCAATGCCAGCGGGAAACAGTAGCCACTGGAGAAGTCATGGGGAAGAAAGAGGACGTCAATCATCAGGCCACGGTAGAGATGATGGTAATCGCGGTGGCAGTGGTGCTGACGAGGACCAGAGCTTCAAGTCGCAGGACGTCGACGAGAATGATGTACGTGAGAACTTCATGGCATGGCAAATGTCGAGCTCGGTGGCTGCGTCTTAGGTGGATGAACCTGCCGAGAGTTCAGATAGACAGTCCACCTATTATCAGCACTGTAATTAGTGCTGTCTGTGGAAGGACCACTACAGCGATGATTCAACGATATAATTAGACAGCCAATTGCAAAGTTTCTAAATCCCCTAGAAGTCGGGCTATGCTAGCACAAATCAATTTGGTCTTTTAATTACGCCTTACAGAAAGCTTTTCCGTTCACCATTTTTGTACTTCCTTTCAACCAATCGGGCAGTTAATGGCCTTTTGCGTTTTTGCCATTGGGCCAGCGCCTCGCCAACTACTGCGTGGCAACAGAGCCAAGAATTGACCGTGCCAGGTTCCGCATCCTCGAAAATAACAAGCGCTCATTACTGCCATGTCCAGTCAACCCGACAGCCTGCTATGGAAGTACCCATTTTGCTGTCAGGTATTCCGGCCAGCCGGCTTCCAATACTCCAAGGTGGTCGCAATTCCGTCAGATGACATGTGTACGCTGAGATGAGGCAAGATTGATTTCATTTCGAGGTCCCTAACAATCAGTGGAAACCGACGTCGGTCACCAGAATGGGGAATTTGGTATGAGATCCACTCGAGTGCCACCAAAATGTGAACTCCGTACGTCGTAAGATAGATATCATGCTCTGTACGAAGTGCCGGGGTGTACTCCGTACTCCGTACAGCGTACTTCATTCTTGCCTACGAGTAGTTGCACAAGTTTTCGCTAATTTTTCTGTCTGGGTGTTTCTCGAACGTCCTCACATGAAAAATGGTATCTCCACAGCAAATTATAAGCGAGGCCAATAATGTCCCTGCATTTTGAGTCGCATGGGTCATCGTTCAGAAAGATATTTATTTATTCGATGACTAGATAAAGCAGGGGAAATAAAAATCTAAAATAAACCGGCTCCACGATTCAAAGAAGACTCCTTCAACGGGGCTGCAGTAAATCGTTCGGACTGGAGCAACTTCCTCTCACATGTCAATCAATGCGAGCTGCCATCTCTTGCTGTAGCGTAAAATAAATGGGTATCGTGGGATGTTGATCGCCGCTCGTAAAAGGACAAGTTGAGTTGAGTGTATCCAATAGAACATAACTTTTTCACTATCGCGTCGTAACGTAGCAATTGGATGTCCCGGCCATCCCCACAACGACTACGTCCTTGCTAAATTATGCGACAGGTCTAATTTGCTGTTTGTTTGTTGTCTCGTCGGACCTGGCAAAGCCGGCGCATTATGCCGCCGTCTTCCTCGTCTTGCGGAGGGGACTGGAGAGAGTCAGCAAGAGCACTGGATAATACGGCGAGTGGAGCGCACGGAATGCACATACCCGCAACCAGACGGCGTTGTCACGCCAAAAAAGCAGTCGTTAGAGGCCTTTTCCACGACTTGGTCCGCAAAGATGGGCGTAATCACGACACCAGCCAAGACGGTGGACACCACAACGGCGACGATGGCGAGCAGAGAGAGCTGCATGTTGACGGATTGGTGCGGTGGAGGCTGAAAGGTGGAATAATGTTGCGGTGGAATCGTATTTTGGATTTAGTTCAGGCCAGCTGCTGAAGGAGAAAAATCGACTACACCTGTGTAGAGGATGGGACTAAAGAGGGCAGATATGATGGTAAAGTGCAAGGGAGAAATAGAGACGAAAACGCAGAAGCTGCAGAGTAAAAGAGAGGAGAAGCGAGACGGGTGATATGAGAAAATGGGGTGCCCCCTTTTCCCCGTCCTGCGACATCATACGTCGGAGCTCCAAGTGTTTTGCAATTATTTGGAGCCAATAAATGCTATGATAGCGTCGCAGGTGGGTGGGGTCCTGTTTCTATCTTCGCAAAGCACTGTTTCAGGACGCAAGACGCTGTTCCGACTACGACGTATGGAACGCTTAGGCACTCTCCTTGCTCCAGCCAAGCGGTCTTCAGAAACCCCCCAGGGAAAAAAGGCACTTTGAAAAGGAGAAGAAGGCTGATAAAGACTTTGAATGCGAAGCGCCCAGGGGCACAAAAATGATGATGAGAGTGGGACTTGAACCCACGCGGATTGCTCCATAGGAACCTTAATCCTACGCCATAACCAACTCGGCCATCTCACCTGTTGATTGGAGGAATATACCTGAGAATGCAGCTCTAGCGGCCAGTCTTTCTGCTTCTCGGCAGCTACACCATCTATATGAGCCGCGTAAGATAGGTAGTCCATCAGATTGGACCGCTCACCTCGGCAAGCCCATTATTTCATATCCCAACTCTTTTATCTAGCTACAGGAACTGCAGCGCTATACTCTCGACTTGTCTTGAGACTCTTGAGTTTCTACCATTAGCATTTACCTCATCGCTAATGGAAGGCTCTTTCTCGTTAGTATCTGTGTATTAAGCCATGCTCAAACCAACACCGAGGCGCTTCTGGTACAGCGTGAAGCCTAACAGCAGAGTTTTCAGTCACGCTGCTCAAATTTACTATTTCGGGAGCATCGGTAAGACCCATGCATCGTCTGGCGTGATCACGACGGGGATAACCTCTAGTTGGGCATCTGGCTTGGAGCGGTGAGCCAGATTATTGGCATACGTGTCGACCAACACACGTGTCAACCAGCTTGTGGATACAAGCTCGGGACGCATTTTCAAGGATAATGAGCGGGCCAGACGGCGACACATCACGATCATAACTCGCAGTTCCAAGATGTCACGGTACGAATGAAAATGAAAGAGGAACTCAACCTGCAGAAGCAGATATGTGGACACAATGTTGTGATCAAAACTAGAGTCTGCCCATCTGTGCATTTATAGAATGCAGGGTGCCGGCTACGGCCACACCACAGTCTGAGACTATAACGTCGTAGTTGCGCATCATCATGGGTAGATCGAAGTTTTCTCTCCATCGAATAGGACCTGTGCAAAATATGCGCTGTGTGGTCCGCAAGATCTCCAGATCGCACGGTCATCGCTGATTCGGCCACGGTGTCACCGGCGGCGTCGGAACGGTACTGTTGCCGTTATTTCGTGATGGCATGCGCATAAGCGCCGCTCGAGACCGGCGATGAGTATCAGAGCAGGCTCGCCACGATATCGGTCAAGGCGGCCCGGACAGCCAACACGGCGTATGGTGACTCGCCAGTGTTCGCGACGGTCCGGAGAGCCAGCGATACACGGAGGCCCTTACTAATCGCCGTGTAGGTTTGCCAATGATATGTCACACCGCATACTACACCGCATACTACAGTAAGCGTGGAAGTAAGGGAAAACTCAATTTTTTCTGTAAAACATTCTAAGTGCGGCTTGTCGAAATAAGGCACGGTATAGCGGCACGATGTTACTTGTTTTGGAGATTGTAACAGGCAGCTCCCATTCGTACAGATTACTGTCCCAAGATCTTGTCGTAATTCTTGTCGTGATCTTCTTCTGACTGAAGTATGACTTGTGTCGCCTAGAGGCGCTTCTAGAATTAGAAAGGAAAATTCACAGCCACGAGTGTGGAACGACCTTCTCAGGTCGCACCTTCCGCGCATTTATTTCAAAAAATGCATCAGTCACCCAAGTGGGAATAGCGCGACAGGCAAATGCTAATATTGCTCGATCTTATGAAGGGTATAGGGTGATAACAATCATCTTCTCTTCCTTGTCTTGGTTCACTGTCCAAAGTGCTCGTTTAGCTACCCAACTGGCTTGAGATGTAGCCGTTTTATAGCATGCTGTTATAGACCTTTACCAGTCACCAAGGTTGTGCTACTAGACATCAACAACCTTGATCTTTTCAAAATTGACCGATGAAAACTAGAAAATTGTGTTTGGTGAAGGGCATTGAAACCATCATCGACATCTATCCTCGGGAGCTTCTCATAATGGTCCCGTGAGTGAATTAAAACACTACAGTCCTCCTTCATTCACTAACTCTTGCTTCAGCAGACGTTCAATATAAACTCATATATTTGCACCATGCTTCGTCTTCTCCACGGCACTTTTCCGGTTTCCATTGAGAGTCTATTCCGCAGCGTAGGACCCATCACGAAGACTCGACGAGTGACTTCAGATTCATGATCACTGCCTGTCCAAAAAAAATCAAACTATCGACACCACTGGACCGCTTCAATGTGTGCCTGATCGATGAAATGCTGCCACATCAAACGTTTACACATACTCAAAAAATACAGCGATGCTCTTCTTCTTATCGCATCAGATGCAGCGACATAGCTACGCCCACACCTTGATAGCGGCCGCCCACCATGATGCCGCAAAGACGCCGTAGATTACAAACAGTACCAAAAATGTGAAAATAATAGGAGAGCTCATCATTTCGAACAAGAAAACAAACAATATACAGGCTGAGACACATCAATCTGTTTTTGGAGACCCTGTTACAGCTCGACTATCACACCTCAACCTAGGATCCACCAGACGAGCACATGTCAAAATCCCACTAATGTTTTGGACGCCATCTAGAAGTCCTGTCGACTGAAAGATGCAGGGTGTGGCCAAAGATGGACAACCGGCCCTCCGAATGCCGCTGGAGTCCAGATGGTTCACCCTTGAAAGCCTGTAGTACTACGTGCTGAGACTACGGTGGCAAAGTCGGTCGCTCAGTGCGGTATCCTACCTCCTAGTTTTAGTCAGCCACCATGCATCGAGTTCTATCGTGCAAGTTTTTATGTTGCGAGTGGCGAACGTAGCCAAGCACCTTTTTGGATTTTTTCTGCTTCCTCTGTAGCCCTAAACTGTAGCCCTAGAGACGGCTTATGTCACTGCAGCTGAGCATCGCCCTTTCATTTTTACAGACCCAGCCCACATACACACTACTCAGATTCACCAGCTACTGGATAGATCCACGTCTTTGAGTCAAAACTTCGTAGTAGGGGTGTATTGGTCTGCTTTTAACCGTCTAAGTTGCTTCATGACTGTACATCGGCGCGTAGGCATTGATCCTGTGACTATGGCACAGGCCGCTAGTTTCGGGCACGACGGGGCGTACAAGTAAGAATCGTCCAACATACGACGCCTGGGGCTTGATTTATGCGGGTGATTTGCTCCTAGATGGCTGTCCGGGGGGAGGGGGCTCTCAAAGCTTGAAGGCGAATGGTAGGTCTTTTGTCATACCTCGTGGGACCGCTAGCGAGTTTGCAGTGGACGATTGGCTGGCAGCCATATCAGCTTACAAAGCCTGAACAAATAGATAATCTTCTGACAGGCAGTGACTATGCTTAGCTGAGCGAATCTGCGGGTAGCTTGCTGTTGGTTTCCTTAGTGTATGATCCAGGTACTGTATATTTTTTCATGGCTCTTTTGCGCTTGGGGTGCGCAGGACCGCGTCAATTACAGAGGGAGCTGAGCCAGAGGGACAAAATATCTGGCAGTAAATGACTATATTTTCCAGTGCTTGCGATCGCTATAGACCTTAGAATTGGCATTTATTCCTTTTTCTAGAGAATTGGTCCAGTCTACGTTCCCCTGTAGTTCCTTATTAGATGGGCGGACCTCGCGAGGGTTTTTGAGTGGCAACCGAACATTTTCTCGCCGTCGAGAAGTTTCATGATATGAGCCAACAGTTTCTCTAACTTCGACAACTATTGTGGCAAACTCTCAGCGGAGTTTTTCAAGAATAAGGCATACCAAGAAGTGTGCGCTGTCTAAGCGAGCTGCCGCTCTTTAGGCGGCGTATCTGCAAACCAAACAACTCTTCTGTCGTTGACTTCTCCCTGGGTGGACTGTTTCTTCAAACGTCTGAACGGTTAGAATAAAAATCGAACATATTCACCTAATTGTCCCGAGCATGAAGCTGCAACTAAGGCTAGCGAATATAAGACATCAAGTACAGCATCCATGTTACAATTCAAAACAATGCGAGTTGATTTCACGCGTGTGCGTCGATCCCTTCTCGGTTGTAATGGTGTAGTCATGCTATCGTTGGCGTATGAGTTCCAACAGTTTACAACCCGCTTCTTTTATATAATGGGTTTTTTTTAAATGCTCTACCTTCCCTGCTTCTATCTTCTTTTTCTGCTCTGTTTAACTTCAGTACTCATTCGCTTCATTCCTCCTTCACTTCAATTAGTCTTCAATTCATCGCGTCTTCGTTTACTTTTTTTCGCTTCACTTTTCCTTCTTCCAACTCCCCTCGCTTATACCACAGCTTCTTCAAGCCTTACATCCTTAGAATTTCCATTTTCCAGCCCCCCGGCATATTAATTCTCACATTTCCCACAGCCTACAAAAAATCCAGAAGCATCGCACACAATGGCAAAAGATCACTCGTCTCCGTACACCATGTCTGACGAAGAGTACGAGAGATATTATGGCATAGCTCGGCCTGACCGTAAATTCTCCGAGTTGCTTGAATCTGGCGACAATGCGAACCTTCTTCGTAGAGCATACCATATGGAGGAGGAGCCGAAAACTGAGGACACTACGGCCGAATCTACTATGCCAGCCCCTGCTCAACCAAACAGCATAGATCCAATCGGCCAACAAGATACAGCCGTCCAGAGTGAACGCATCAGTCCTCTTTTCTGCCCGCACAAGTATACATCAGTGGCTATGAATTATGGACCGAAAATTCCCACTCTTCCGGCTTCAGTGAAAAAGATCGAACGCGGACGTGAGTCTCTCACTTGCTACGGACAGGTAAGTCGACAACTGTGGCTCTTCTATCGGGTAGGGAGTGCTGACAGTGGCACAGGAATCCTCTGGCAGCGACATGGTCGTTCGGCACAGAAAAAGGCTCCGTATGGATCAAAGCAAAAACCTTGGGCCCAGATGTAAGCAACGTTCCGTCTTTTGTCTCTTGTAGTCTCGGTGACTGACCAATCTTGTAGATGCACTAGATGATACTCTTGGATCGGGGACGTACGGAGTTGTCTACAAAGCACGTGACAGGCGGACGCTGCAGCTCGTGGCCGTCAAAGCCAACAGGAGATTGAAGACGACATACCGCGAACCATCGAACGAAGTGCGCATCTTGGAGATGATCAAACTCAACGATCCCGAAGACAAGTTTCGCTGCCTCCGTATCAAAGACGCATTCGAGTTGCGAGGCCATGTATGCATCGTCACGCACCTGCACGACAAAAGTCTCATGGACTTTATGGAGACTCAATTAGAAGAATGTGATGACCGCATACCACTTCCTCTCAGCCAAGTCCGCTGCATTACACGCCAGCTCCTAGCCAGCGTTTCCTGTAAGCTCCTCCATGATTCTGATAGAACACGGAAAACAGATTCTGACACGCGACTGCAGTTCTTCATCGTATGGGCATCGTCCATGCGGACATCAAGCTGGACAATATAGTTCTACTCAACTGCCAGGCCTTTAAATTTCAGTACCAACGGCAGATGCCATCGGTCTCGACTAAATATGCACGTTGGGGTCCGCGGTTGATCAACGTTCTCGCCCTGGCTGACATCCGCCTCATCGATTTTGGCTGTGCCGTTTTTGAAAAGGAAGACGCCGGCATCTCGCTTAAAACTTCCAGATTGTACTGGCCACCCGAGGCAATTGCCGGTCAAGAATGGTCGTCCCCGGTGGACATTTGGAGCATCGGTTGCATGATGATCGAGCTGTTCACGGGACAGCCGCCTTTCGGTCAGCGCTACGGCATCGAGTTCGTGGCCCGGATGCAGCGCATGTTGGGGAGCTTTGACGCCGACCTGGTCCGACGGTGGGAGGGGGCCATCGTTGACGGGGACGTGGAACAGCCCATGTTCCGGGACGGCAGTCTCAATTTCCCGGTGCCAGGCATGAAGCCAAGCAGCCTACACAATGTGGAGTGCGCAAAGAAGTTGGAGGACATTGTGAATCCGACAATGCCGTGCATGCAGCACTTTGTGGATCTTTTGCGCCAGATGCTCGAATTTGACCCAGAAAAACGAATCAAGGCTTCAGATGCACTCGAGCATCCCTGGTTCAAGTGCCCGATTTACGCCGATGAAGGCACTGCGGCAGCACAGTTGGCGTGGAGACTGCCCAAGGCTGCCAGCACAGGAGAGAAATCCTACGACACCATCTACAATGAAGTTGGACGAAATCCACATGTGGATATGCAAGGACGCATCGTTATTACAGTCTGACAGCATCTCTTTTCGTGGAAGACTTGACACGATTTGTATCTTTCCGGATTCTATTTGTTTCTATTTTATTTGCTTCCATTTTATTTGTTTCATTCAATTGCTTCCATTCTTTACCCTGTTCTAATCTGTACCCTGTTTCTTTTCTGCACCTTATTTTCTTCTGCTTTCTTCTGTTTCGTCCCGCATCATGCGTGGTAAGACAAACAATCCAGTTGGATGGGCTCCTCTCAAAGTACACCTTAAAACATTAGGGCCTGTTTGGTACTTTGTTTTGGTACTTTTTTGTGTTTTTGCTTCTCCAATTTGACCGTTTTTTTGTCTGGCTTTGTCCGACCCTGCGGTCTTCTTTACGGTTTTGTTATTGCTATATTGGCTAATGGGCACTTGGAAAGATGGAAAGTGACGTCAAACTACAAAAAAAAAAAATAGGAAGCCCAACAAACAGGCCTAACAAAGTTAAAAACTCAAATAGATAAAAAAAACATAAAACAAAATATGCGCAAGATGTGAACAGATCTGGCAAGTAAGCCTGTAGTTTATTGTAAAAGGGCTACTTCCATCATCTGTCAGAGGCGGAGTCTAACCATATTACCCCAGATAGTAGATAGCTAGGAAGATTGCACAAGACGCTGTAAGATACAGTGCGTATGCAAAAATAGGAGAAAAGGAGGAAAAAGAAAAACAATAGAGACAATGAGGAATGGTAGAAAATATGTATCCCCGGTAAGAGCGCAACAGCAAGGCAAAATCTGGAAATGCTTGAAACCCGTAGCAGGAAAAAATCGCAAACACGTAAAAGGAAAAACACAAAAAGAAACCGGCATAATGTACGTCAGGTACGTCCCATGGGATGCCTCATAGTCCTTGCCGCCACGCCTGTACGCCCTCGTCGGCATCTTCTGTTGTACTGCCATCTATATCTTCAGTCGGAGGTGTGTCTCCCTGTCCATCTGCCACAACAGCACTCGTCGGTTGCGTGCTTCGTTCTTCTTTCTCTGCCGAGGTTAGTCCTGGCGCTGTTTCTACAGTATTAGCAGAGGCCAGGGTTTGTATCTCAATCGACGATCTCATCGGTTTTACGCCCGTGAACAAGTCTCGGTCGACGGCCACGCGCTGCGGGGAAAACGGCCGTGCTCGACCGAAGCGACGGCCGTTGCCATCAGGAGACCGAGTCCGGGACGAGGCCGACGCCAGAGCCGACACAACTGCAGCCCTGTCTGTCTGTGCCGTTGCCACGCCGTCGAGGCTCTGGTACTCGTGGCCCCCGACAGTCAGGCTATCAGCACGGCTGTGCCGCGCGTGTGGCTGCACGTGTGCCTTCTCTGTCGGGCTTCCCTCCTCGTCTTCGCCTACAGCAGTGTCGTCACGTGACTGTGAGCGTGGCCTAGGACGCCGTTCCGATATGGTCAAGGTATCGTCTTCGTCCTCATCGTTGTTGCTGTTGTCGACGCGGCCACGATGGATGATGTGGAGGCCGTTCAGGTCGTCATCGTCGTCGTCGACGTCGGAGTCGAGGCGAGAGGACACAGGGCCGCCACTACCGCCAAGCAGCAGCAGCTTGGGACCCAGACCGAGACCGAGGTCGGTGGCGCCCGAGACGGCAGCGCTGGAGGAGTTACGACCGATGCTGCCAAGGCTGCCAGCGATGCTGCCGATGCCTCCGACACCGGCGACGCCACCGATGCCGCCGCTGCCGTCGTCGTCGTCGTCGTCGTAGTAGCCGTTGCGGGAGAAGAGATCGACGGCGCCGTCAAGGACGACGTCGAGACCACCACCAGGCCAGCCTTTGCGGGCGAGGCTGTCGAGGATGTCGAGCTCGGCGCGAACGAGGTTGCGGCTAGCCTGGCTGACAACACCGCTCATGTCGCGGCTCTGGTCCAGCAGGGCGACGGCGTGGGTGCCCTGGCGGGCTGTGAGGGCGTCGAGGGCGACAGTCATGGCGACGAGGTGGCTGCGCATGCGGCCGACGTCGCGCTGGCGTGGCTTGCGTAGCTTGACGCCGTCCTTTTCGAGACGGCGGATGTCGCGACCAGCCTCCCGCATGCCGGCTGCGTAGCTCTCCTGTTCAGCCTCGACATCGGCGCGATAACGGTCCAGCTCGTGCACAATGGGCAGCTCAAAGGAGCGGTACACGGTCTCGGCCAGGATGCCCTGCTGGTTGGCCGTCAGGTAGTAGAGCCCCGACGTGGCCAGCAGCACGTCGGCCGTGCAAGAAGGCTCGCCGCCACCGCCGTCTCCGTTCAGCATGCCGCTGCCGTACATGCTGGCACCACCGGCCGTCGACGTGCTTCCGCTGCCATCGTTGTAGGGCCCTGGCGGGTACGGCTGCGTGCGAGCCTCCTTCAGCCGCGCACACGTCTCCAGGGCGGCGCCAAAGTTGGATGCCGCCACCGACAGCTGCCCTAGGGCCACGCGATATGCCTTTGCGCTCGAGGCCAGCGTCTCGTAGGCTAGGTGCGACCGCTCGGTATCGTTGTGCGAGAAGGGAAATGGCCGGACCGTCGACGTGGTCGAGGCTGGCGGCACCGGTGACTGCGTGCTCGGGAAGGAGCTGTATGCGATGGAGGAACCGTCGTCGTCGTCGAAGCGCGAGCTCGAGCTTGTCATGGTGCGGCGTGAACGCGACGAGGCTGATGGCCCGGCTATCGTTGATCTTCGAGAGAGGGGCGAGCCAGGGGCAACGGACGAGGCTGCTGATGAGGCTGGTGCCCCGCCGTAAAAGGCGGCCATCGTTTTGGTGGAAGGCTATGTCGAGGACGAGGAGAAGCAGGAGGGAGGGGTCTCTGGCGGGGAAGTAGGGCAACGATGGTCGGATAGAGGGGACGCGAAGAGGCGGCGGCCTAGCAGCCTGGCAGGGCGTCCCGTCCTGGTTCTGGCTCGATCTCCGGTGGCTCGCGGAAGAGTGGCAGGTTCCCTTCAGCCCATCGACAGAGGTTGGGCGCGTGTCTGCCGGATGAGTCTCGCAGTTTGATGCCCCAAAGCCGTTGCAACAAAAACATGGGAATCCATTGAGCGGCCAAAGCCAACGAGAGATAAGATAGGATGTCGGCTGGAGACGCTGGTGACCACGTGCTCTCCCACGTGACATGTATCTTATCGCTTGGGTTGCAGAGGAACGGGTACAGAACGGCAAATGCCCCATTTGGGGCTTCCAGCTGCTACATGGCTTGGGCAGAGCTGCAGGTGGCGTCCAGGAGCGTGCATTGCTCCTGCCGGGCGTCGCACATTTCCGTGGTAAAAGCGAGAAAAAGCAGCTCACGGAATTGGAACGAGTCGAAAAGTCCTGTGCGCCTATGTGGATCGTATGCTTTTTCCCTGTCGTGTAGGAAGACGAAATGCTACGCAAGATACGAAGAAAGTACGAGTATCGTGCGCAGCACAGCGCAGACGCAGGCGCTGTCATCAGTACACAAGTGCTCTCATGCCACCCGTTTTCTATTCTTGGCATGGGGCTTTCTCCCGACAACCCCACCACCTAAGCTGCAGGGCGCTCATTGGCAGGGTTACGCGAGACCAGTGCAGGCTCCGGACTTGCTAAGACCCTCAGACAATGGAAATGGCCGTCGGGGTCATAAGGCCGCGGCCAATCGTCTTCTGCCCATCTCCGACCAGCGCTTAGCCCAGAAGAGAGGAGGGCCTAGCCAGCCGCCGACGGCCTGTGCTTACCGCAGTACTGCTGCCTCCATCAGCTTCCGACTAGTCGAATCGGCGCCAAGGACAAGGGGAGGGGAGGATGAGGGGAGGCCGGATGATGTGTTGGCAGGCGGCAGTGCCTTATTTCCCCGGTTCCCTTCGCCTTTCGGCCGTTCTTATTCTCCTCGTCTCTGTCTTTCACTCCCTGCCGGTCTCTGCGCAAAATGATCGATTCCCCCTTTCCTGTGCTCTGCTGGCAGCCGAGTTCTCTCTCCTGCCGACGAAGCAGCGGCCCGTCAGACACAAGGCTGTTGAGATCGTACGAGCAGGCCTTTCTCCTCGACCCTGACCCCTTTGAGCTCGCCATGCCTGCCACCCCGTCGTGGACTCCGCAGTGGCCTCACGGCCTGACCAAGAACGGCTCCACCTGTCCATGTTGCCAGCCGGGCGTCATGGACCGCAAGAGCCGGGCGCGGCGCCTGAAAGACCAGGCCCAGCTGGACGCACAATACGAGCATCTCCGCGACCTCTACCCGCGACGCAGTCCGCCCCTCAACCGCGCCCTGTCATCACCCGATCGGCAGAAACCATCACTTTTCCAGCCAGCTCAGACACGTGCTGATGCCGTGCCAAGAAATGCTGAGGACGGGCGAGACAGCGAGCAAGACCAGCACGTGGAAAGGAACGCAGACGCTGCGGACGACGAAGAAGATGATACAGAAGACGAGCACGGAGATAGTAGCGACGGTAACATGGGAAAAAAAGGAGATGACGACGAGCGAGAAAATGATAGAGAGAAAGACCGGGACAAGGAAGAGCAGGACCAGCAAAATGCGCAAGATGGGGACGATGAGCAGGAGGAGGATGAAGACGAAGAAGACGATGAAGACGACGACGATGAAGATGAAGAAGAAGACGACGGCGATGACGAAGATGAAGAAGGCGAGGACGACACAGACGTCGAGGGCGTGGTGAAGAAGGAGCCCGAAGAGTTTCGCATCCGCATTGACAGTGCCAATGCAGCCTTCATGCAACAGCCACCGCCACAGTCAGGCCTGCCATCGTGCAGGGAAGAGGAAGACACCATTGTGGTCAAGCTGGTGCCCGATAGCATGGACGTCGACTCAGACATGTTTCTCGACGATGACGACGAGTTTGTCCATTTCGACAGTCGCCAACCCACGAGCCTCATGGCATACGGCCCGATGTCGTCTGCAGCAGCAGCAGCGATGCAGCAACAGCAACAACAGCGGCAGAATCTATGGCCACATTCACGGCCTCGTCATCGTCCACGGCCTCAACAATTGGCGCCCCAGCCGCGGCCGATCGTCGTGTCGTCCGGTCTGGCTGAACAAAATGCACATCTGCGGACGCAGCCTCCACGGCTACAGCCTCGTCCGCCAGCGTATCCACCACATCCATCACGTCCGACACAGCCTCCGACGCTCTCGCGACTCCGCGTCGACGCACCCGTGTTGGCCGACCCCAGCGATCCTGGCACGGCCCAGACGCCTGCCGGCATGGAAGCATTCTGGGACGTTGCCCTGCAGCGACTGCGGCTGGAGAAACTGCAACAACAGCAGAAACTGCTACAAGAACAGCAGCAGCTACAGCTGCAGCAGCTGCCACTGCCCATTCCAGCACCAACACCCCAAAAGGTGCCCCAACCGTTCTCTCCTCTGCAGCCGGACTGGCAGCTGCCCTGGCCACCCACCACCCAACCCTGTGGCCTCGGTCCGCCCCAGAGATACTCTGTTCAGCAGCCACTCCAACCAGCTATGCCACAGGTGATTATCTCACCACCCGCGTATCTGGTCGCCTCTGCTGACGGCACCGTCGTCGAGGCCCGCCAGCTTCGACGGGAGGCCCGCTCACAGGCCATCGAGGCTGCTCGCGATCGGTTGCGCCGGCTGCGGTCCGGCGAGTCGCCGCTGGCTAGCCGTCGTGGGCCGCTGGCCAGTCGTAGCAGCAGCCTCAGCAGCCTCAGCAGCCTCAGCAGCAGCAACATCAGCAACACTGCCAACGCCAGAACAGAGGCCAGTGATCAAGCCGACTTACTCGGCGTTGAGCAGGGCCGCTCTATTCGCAAGCGACCGTGTCCGTGCTGCAACATGTACATTCGCCGGGACAGGAGCATCTTGCCAGAGGAGGACTATGCGCGTGAGAAGATTCACGGTGGTACGTTTGTCATCTGTTCCATCTCTGCTCGTTCCTTCTTGTCTTGTATCCCCACACCTTCCCGATGTCATCATTACATAATGACTAACAGTACAGATTACATTCCCATCAGCATCCTTTACGACATGCTACCGCGGCCTCCAAATCCATTTGCCGACGACGAGTAATTGGCTGGGAGGCGACGTTGGCACCGTGTGCCTCTTGTTATGTCAGCAGCCATTGCCATATGGGCCAGTGGGCACTTACATAAAAACAAAAGGAGGCATATACAACGACCCAACCCTATTATTGACATTCGATGTTGGCATTGTTGCCTCATTGATTCTATGGCATTCTTGTCGAGGAACGTCCACTGCTTAGAATAGAGATATACATATCTGTCCGGCACCTGCTTGGTTCAATCAAAAGCATATTTCCTTTCCCCCCAAACCATCAAGTTTTTTACTTGTACAATAAACATCCAATCCACCACGTCCATCAAGAAAGCACAACGGGCTCGGAACATACAATTAATTAGTTCATATAAATAGCCGTGACTGCTATACTTGGAAACCCACTACTTGCGTTCAATTGCGAGAACAGCATTTAGAACAAAATGCAGACCAAGAACAAGACCAAGAAGCAGTTAGAGACCCCCCAAAACCCCAGTGGAGAGCTGGATACGGATCCACTTCACAATCTCGGGGCTCTGGCTTCCTCAGATGCAGGCCAGATGTATACGGCCATTTATCAGGTTTTCAGCCAAGCGAGTCTTGCTGCGAGCAAGTCCAGTCCGATCGTGGAAAGAGGCATCAATAAGAAGACGGAATTTCTTCCTGTGGTCACTCCAGTCCCTCGAGTGGAGCTAAAAAGAGACGATCCCCACGAGACCAAAGCGAGCATCTACGATCGCTTGACTGTGCCAGTTATGTGCGACCTGGGACGTTATTTGTACAGCCTCGTGGATGATTACTGCGATGAAGTGGCCGTCATAGACGATCCCGGCAGCCTTGAGCTATGCAGATTCGATAAGAAGTGCCCGCACTTGACATCAGCCACCAAGATGGCACTCAAAGACCGCAGTGGCCTCATCCTTGCCTTCGCTTTTACCGTCATGTTTTTAGACGATTCCGAGGACCGGCCTGCCTTTTGGGATGCGTCACGCTCCTGGCAAACATCTGCGTTTATGCATCGCAGACGTACGTACAAGCGTCTTGCAAAGAAGGTGCTCAGAACAATAGAGGAGTGAACAGGCGGATTCTGTTTGGCGCTATGTGGTGCTGGGCTGCCTAGAAACCCCACCTATCTCGCTTGGCTATAGCGGGTCTGTCGAAATACAGGACAATTTTGGTTTGCTCTTTGGCAGTTTTGGTTTGCAAGGATAAAATTGGCACAACATGTAAAGTCGGGCATCCCGTGTACTGGACAAGTCTGTTAGTTTCAGCACATGAAATCTTTTCTCTGCTTTTCTGAAATAAAATCTAAAATAGAAAATCAAAACTAAAATAGACGATGCTGACAAAGGAGAAAACCAGATATCTCACGCCAAGCACGACCATGCTCGCTAATCGAAAAGAGTTCCAAGTACAAAGTAACCATCTGCCTCGGCGGCACAGCCACGCCGGATTCAAACGCTAAACTCTTCAATGTGGTGCCTGTACTTCCTGCCGGCATATCGCAACATCTTTTGGTTGCTGTAGCGCGACGGAGGCATTCTGTCTGGATCCACCTTCCTCAATTCTCGGCAGCAATAAATGGCCACTGCACATGTTGTTAGATGGAACAAATGACTCCTCATAGAGGCTCGGTGATATACAGGGCACTTACTCCGATAAAGATAATGATACTCATCTTTGGAAAAGTAGTCCTCGGATCCGACTATTGGCGCCTCGCCTGGGATTCCGTAAAGAACCCAATACATCTGGTTCATGATCTCCCTCAGGTTTTCCATTGTGAATTGTGCGACGATGTTGAAGGGCTGCATTCGTTCACGATCCTGGCTGTCATGCGTGTTTTGTTCTGCTTGCCCCTGTCTGCCCCCAGCTGGCTCCTCGTCCGTCATCTCGGTATCTGCAGTTGTCTGTGGCGCCTGGAAAGCACCACAGAAATGGGCAGGAACAGGAACGAACATGTCATTTTCGAGAACCGAACCTCCCCAGAAATGGTCTCTGAAATAGTCGATCCAATCCTTGTCGACTTCCCTGCCATAGATCCACCAATTTTCGGGCAGCATTCCGGGCTGTCTGAACGGACGGCCTGCCAGCGGTGTCTCTGCACTGCTTGTTCTCCTGGGTACCATTTCGAATCGGCCGTTCATGATATGGCCCATACTCATCGTTTGTTGACAAAACACGCTCTCCAGCATTTCGCGGATACGTTGCCAAAAAGCCGTCTTCTCCTCGGCAGAGACACGAATGTCACTGTTATGCTTTTCTGAATCAGGCAATAGGCCTACAGTTGTCAACTTCTGGGACTAGGAGAAACAAAAGGAGCAGCAACGGCTATTGTAAAAACACGACGTACCAAGCTCTTTCAAGTGACGACCTAAGTAATGAATGATTGTAAGAAGTCCCGTAGCTGCAGCCTCATAGTAGCGTCGGTTTTGCTGGCCTCGAATCATCTCCAGGCCGATGAGGAGTCGGGTCCAGTCTCTGTATCTCCCAGTAAGAATGGCGTACTCGGAGAGGCTGATGTCCCCACGAACAGGACTCTTGCTGGCCTCCCCAAAACATTTTCTCGGCATTCCCTGGCGCAGGCGAGTTCTGTATATGGGGAGGAAGTCGTGATGTTGACCACGGTATGGAAGAGCCAACGGAGAGTCCGTCTCATACAGACAGCGAACAAAAGGCAGCGGAATCTGATCTTCTACATCCACCAAACACTTTTCTGGCGTAAAGCATCCTGCACTTGGCATGTCGTTAAGGAAGTATGGTGCCCAGCCAACAGTAGGACCAAGATAATATGGATCCTGCTCGTTGTTGTCATCTACCTCGTACGGACAATGACCCATTTTCAAGCCATTCTTGCCATCAGTCTGCTGAGCTGTGATGGCCTCAAAATAGTTTTTCTTCCCTGGTTGCCGCAGCTTCAGGATATTCCCCAAATCGTCGTAAATGATCATCGGTGGCTCCGCTGCTGATCCATATCCTTCTCCGTCCTCAGGCTTTGGATCACGCCGAAACCAGGACCCTGGCTTTATGTTGTCGACAGGGAGCGAGTCGTCATCGCTCTCGATCACAATTCTGGTTTCACGGGCCCTCAGCGTGAAAGCAGCTGACGGGTCAATTTCTCCCTCATAAGCAAACGCTACCGAGATCGTTCCCCCTGCAATGCCGGGTTCCTGTCCTTTATAAACGATAGACTCTTGAAGGAAGTCGTTCCGGAGGCCAATGTAGGGGGCATGGTCGGAAAGCTTCATTTGACAGTGTAAGTCCACCATGGCTTTGTCATCAGGGTACATCCATTCGAGTATCTCACGAGGAAGAGGGGCCTGAATGGGAACAGGGCCGTCGTCTTCGTCATCAAATTGAATGAACATCACATCGTCGTCATCATATGTGACCTCGGCCATGGTGTCGTGACCAGCGGTGTCCATCTTTTCTTTGAGCGTCAGTGACTGGGAAACACCGAAGTACTGGAGGACCAGAGCTTCAGAGAGCAGACGGCTATCCAGTACGTACTGCGCTACAAATAGATACCGCGGACATAAATGATTTGCCCTTCGCCGTCCTGCAGGCTAAAACCGCTAGCAGTGATGGGATGAGACGAGGAAAGTAAGATGCTTCAAGGAGCACAGCACGTATCAAGAAGAGAGAGCACACGTGGGGTTGCAACCGCCCAGGCAAACAGCAATCACAACGGAGTGACGCGAAGAGGGCAAGAAGGCGGGCACAGGTGAGAGGGGTCGGCGATTGATAGAAGGCCGGCGAACTTCAAATGCATAACAGGCATTGGCCGTTGTTTAATACGTTGGAGGCCACGGTTGGAGGCCACGGGGGGTAGAAGCAGTAAATGTGCTCCGTATCTTACTTGCATTCGATTATAAGACGCCGCAGCAGGCTGACGGATCGGAAGCAGAAGTAACGCATAATACGAGGACGAGCCTCTTTCTGGCCAGTCTCGTCTCAGAGGGTGTGTGCAAAGAATTTTCAGGGTTTTCAACATGCAGCAGCACAGGCATGGGTAGCAGGAGAAACATACAAGCAGAGTACAGCATATGGTGTGTCGCAGCTATGGACCTGTCCAGACGTCTGGTTGGATGATAACCGAGTTGCTCAGGAGTGGGAAATTTGTACCATGTAACAACTACTCCGTATTTCCGCGGCGATAGTACTACTCTGTATGTATTCCGGCCGTAGTGTAGACGAGGGCGAGGGGTGTGCAAACAGGGGGCTAAGACGAACAACTTTCAGATTCTGCTGTAGAGTCGTAGCATCGATTGCGCCAGCTAATGGGAAGGCGAGGGACAGGAGGGGGGGGGGGGGGGGGGGAACCCCGGCTTGACGAGGTCAGCTTAGACACATCCAGGGGGGGACTTCCCTTTCCTCTAACTTGCATGGCTTGTTGTCTTGCATGGTTGGGAGTACCTGTGATACCGCGTACAGAGCAATAATGGTGGGCAGTGAAAGCCGAACAGATAGCCCCCCTGTACAGAGTGCATGGGATGAGGGACAGCCAATACGTTTGTTCGTTTCTGTTCTGCAGACCGCCCATTTCCATCGGCGACTGTTACAGACTCTGGCTGCCCATCGCGATGACAGAGCCTTGCAAAGGTTGAGAAAGTGGGCCATTTCGAGGCACAAGGCTTATGGCCGTCGAACGGACGACATTCTGCCTACTCCGTTCTCACACAACTTGTTTGGCAGCAATGCTGGACGGAGGGGTGTGGCGGGGTGGAAATGAACAGGCCTCAACTCGTATGGCTACCTTGGCCCACTGGGCGATTGACATCTGGCGCCAAGCGATCTTGAATCCAGCCCCGAGAGAGCATGGTGTCTGTTTGGGCAGAGTCGCCTCCCTTGCCCACATTTGTCGATGCGCCGTAAATATTTGACTTTCTTTTTCCTGCGATTCGAGGCATTTTCGGCTTAGCTGCACGGCTCGGAATTACCGTATTCATTCGGGTCGGGGGGCTACGTGTTGGCGGAAATGCATGCCATGCAGTAAAGGGGGGCTGGGTGGCCACCAGCAGGCGATCAGACTGAGGCCAGAGGAAAAGTAAACACAAACGACCAGGATGTGTGCGCGGGGTTGTGAGACAGTCTGGGAAGGAGTATTATGCTCTGCAGGCGCTGTATCTAATTGCTTATTTGCCTGATGCCTACCTGTTGTAGTGTTTCAAGCAGTACCCCCCTATTTCATTCCAATGCGCGGCTGCACAACGAAGACAGGGCAAGCTAGCGTTTACACAAACATTCTTACGATTTGCGCGATGCCTCCTGCTTTTACCTTTTTACTGACAGCTGTGAGTCGATGCTCTGCAGGCGCTCTATAGGGCATATGTCAGCATAGTTATTTAACATCAGCGGTGAGATGGCCGAGTTGGTTATGGCGTAGGATTAAGGTTCCTATGGAGCAATCCGCGTGGGTTCAAGTCCCACTCTCATCATTCTTTTTGCTCCACTCAATCCCATCATTTGTGTCTGCTGGAAAACATCCTCTACGAGATATTTTTCGTTGCTCTTTTCTCTTTTTTTACTCCGTTTCGGTTACACCTTTTTGTTTTCGTTTCTTTTCCTCTTGGCTTGACATCGTACCCCCACTTCCCGGGGGACAACCCGGAATGGAACCACGGGATACCTTCCTAACAGATTTCCCGCGTCTCACAATATTTTACCCCCCTCTTCGATCATTCTCTCGTCACATAATAATATGCGCTATCTCCACTCGCACCCCTCCTTGCTTTTTCCAAGTCGAGCGAGAACGACGGAGCGTATCTTCCGATCGAAAAAGCAATACAAAGTCAAACGCAGTAGTCCATTCTCTGCATCCTCTGTACGGAGTACTGGCCAGGACACTGTCTCACCGCCCTTTTCCGGTCCCATTTCATGAGCTGCAGCAATGAGGAGTTGTGCAAAGGTGACGTGCACGTCCTCATGTCTTGTCCGGGGTAAGATACAGATTACAGAGGACAAGATGGAAATGCAGGCACCTTAGTAAATGACGGACGCCCGATTTTGTGTGTGGGCGAAACGAAGATGAAGCACGAGAACACGGCCCGGCTTCAGCTCGTGCTTGCACAACACACAGACACAAACACAACCCTTCTCAGTCTAGCCTGTGTACGCATTTGTTTCTTTTATTATCTGCAGGGTGGCGGCACCTGTGGCCTGCGTGTCCAACCCGAATTTGATGCGGTGCGCATCCCTGACTATCAACACCGTGCCTAAAATTTCCAGACGAGCCTGGGTGCATGACGCAGAATGGCACATTGTGTGCACAGCCTATTTCTTGTACGAGCAGCCCCATTCGGCTTTTTTCTGGATTACAAAGTGTTTGCAGTCGTGGGGCCGTGTCGTGGTAGATAACTAAAAAGAAAGCAGCGGCAAAGCGGCAGAAGAAAGACACGAATGTCCTTCCACCCATGGGGCCTGTAATTAAGATAAGATATGTATGTACATATGCATGTAAGATAGAAAAGGGAGGGGTCAATTCATGCTCAGCGGGCTGTGTTATCTTCCAGAACTGCATTTTCACTTCTCTTCAACCAAGAGGGGGTTAGTCTTGGCCGTCCTTTAGTCCACGGAGTTTCTTCCCCTTTTAGGTGGTGGACTGGAGCGTGTTTGTGTCTTTGTTGTGTGTCTGTGTTTTCGAGCCGAGTACGGCGTCTTCGGCACGCCTCCAGCTTTGTAATAACCGGGAGGCGGCTGGTGAAATTGAATCCGAGCAGGCAGTCAAACCATTATGCACGTACATTTCAGCTGACCGACCTGGTGGCTGATAGTTAATTGCAGCCAACAGCCAGGGTCTTCAACTGTCCCACGGTGTTTTTTTTCTCATGTGCCTCTTGACTGCCTTTGCCTTTCTGTCTAGGGACTCTGAGATTGCACCACCTCCGTGAACAGCCTTGCTTGCCTCGTCCTGTTTGAATTTCGTGCCTGACCCTCCCGAATATTGGTTTTTGTTTGTCGGCCGCGAGTCATCCCCCTCCTCGACGGCTGCATGTAGGCCTTCCCACAAACAAATATTCCCACCCGCAGCCAATCAGTGCAAAGCTCACGAGTAGCGACACACTAGCTGGTCATTTGGCAGGCCTTGCAAGTATCTGCCATGCTGACAGCCTCAGAAATCCGTCTCCACAACTGTGCAACCAGCCTTTCCACCAGCATCACATCTGTTACGCGTAGAGATGCCGCCCTCAAAAGTGATTGCTCGATCAGACGACACTCATACGTAGTTACTACGAGGCAGCTAGCTGCTTTTCCATTCATCCGTTCTGTTTGCCTTTTGTGTATTTATGTCGAGACGAATTCCCCCAAATCTGTCTTCCATCTTGTCTAATCCCACACATCTCTTCCCTCTGCTACTCTCCCATATATCCAAGTCTCCTCAGTTATCACCAACTAGTACACCAAATTATTTTCCTAGTGCAATACAAGACCTAAGAAAGCTCTGTGCTGCTGTACAACATATTCTATCCCTTCCTTCTCTGCCCATTACAACTCTACTTGTTAGTATTGTCGAATCCTTTCCTAGACCTATCATCTTAGACTTAGAGCTGACTTCTTGTGTCGTAAGGCTTCAGAATGCCTAGCATCGAAATCCATTTTGACCAGGCGGGTCAGAACGAATATGAGCCCCCCAATGCCAACCCTCTTCCCGGCCCCATCACCGAGGCTGCCCTGGGAAACACTTCCCTGTGGACTGCCTCTGGCGAATTGGCCATTTTGCTTGTGAATCCGACTCGTCTCTCAACTACGTCCCCCACGTTCAAGTACCAGTCGTTCTACAAGGAACTCATGTCGGAGCTCAACGTTGTCGCCACCGGTCCCGAGAACAACGAGTCTGCCATTGAAGAGATTGTGGCCAAGATTCTCTCCCAGGCCAAGACCGAGTTCTACGAAAAGTGCCCCTCGTCGCTTCATTTTTTCAACGCGTGGGCATTCAGGGTGTCTAAGGACATTGAGGCTACAGAAACGGGAGCTGACGTGTTTCATCGTCTTCTGAGCTGCACGAACCCTTTTCCTGAGCCTGGTGAGAACTTGGACCGACTCCTTGAAATTAGTGAGGCGTTTGGCTGTGCCTACACTACTGTCATGATGGCGTTTGGGCTTTATCCTGGGTACCGCCCCAAGGCCGAGATGTTGAAGATCATGGACCGGCTGGACGACGTCGTTGCTGCAGTCCAGCCGCTCTCGCCTGGGTACATGGCCGAGAAGCACCTTCTTGAACGCATGGTTCATTTCGCCATCACCGTGCGGACCATGCGGATTGCCTCAGGTGGTAACGGCACTGGAATCCCGCGAGTCGCGTTTCCATCCCCGTCGGAGGTGGCCATGGCTGTGCACTGGTGCCTGGATCAGCTCCCAGATGATATCCAGCAGCCCATGCAGGAGGTGGGTCAGAATCTTTCGACCGCAACCAGCCAGCCGCATATTCAGCTACTTGCAGTCACGGCTTCTGCTCTGCAGGAGGCTGTGACATCCAGAAAAGAGCAGCAGCCACAGATTCTGCCCCAGTTTACTCAAGTCTCGGAATCATTTGCTCAATGCGATGAGGTACTTGATCTGGTCGGAAAAAGCAACAGAATCTACGAAAAGTTCGTTTCCATTTACAAGAACACCCATGGAAACCACAACATGAACCACATGAACATCTTGTACATGCTTTTGAAGCAGCATGAAGATCTCGTGTACAAGCTCCTCAAGCACGGTGAAGGATCGCAGGCTCGTATTAGTACGGCACCGAAGCTTGACTCGGAAAACCAAGATGGCAAGCTTGAGGCAGATTCCTTCTATCAGATGCACCATCAGGTGCTGAAGCATGCCTACAATATGCGCCAGGAAGGTGCCTTTTTCTCGTACGACGCCTATCTTGCGGCGTACCATGCGGCTGAGTATGCAGGCCAGCAGCAGAAGAAACTAGAGGCCGTCTTCCAGCGGTTTGCCGAGGGTCAGAAGCTTGCTGTTATGCAATTCCGAGAGAACCAGAAGCCCCACACCCCGAACGAGGCTCATAAAATGCAGAATGCAACCCAGGCTTCCCTGATCTTGGACGAAGAGCAGTCCAACAGCAACTGGCTAACTTCGGATGAGCTCGACCATCTCCTTGATCACCAGGAATGGCTTCGATCTTACATGGGACTAGAGCTGCGCGTGGAGCGACTGCTCAGGGATGACGTTGCCATGCCTGACATGGTATAAGTCGGATTGGACAAGTGGGCGAAGATGATGGTGACGAAGAAGATGACGACTACGATGGATTGGGTGATTGAAAAGGAGAAGTGAAAGTTGAGAAATCAAAGAGCCGACAGTATGATGGCCTCGCTGATAGAATCTTGGACAGCAACGACCTGGTGGTCAAAGAGAACGAAAACGCGATTTCCCTGTTACCCATTTCTTTTGTTACCTATTTCCTTATAACTTGTCGTGTGACAGTGTTTTGCTTCAGGCTCGAGTGCTCGTTGTCAAGAAACTCGCAAACTTTGAGCCGGCAAACAAACAATAGCTATAGCAATGGAAAGTTTTGAAACATGCATTCGATTATCCCGGGCATCAAAGCAGAGAAGTAGTCGATCAATGACAGTGCTGAAACTAGGTATGCAGCCATTCATTTTGCATAAGATATTGAGCTTTCTCTGGTGCAAATCGCTGTAAATTGCCTTCACATAAGTCGTAAAAGGGTGCATTTGGACAACGACAACTCAGTGACCATATGGCTCGTTGCAGGGAAAGTAACTTGAGAAGTGCCTTTTTGGGAGATGTCTCGACTGAGTTCACCAGGGCTGGAAATATTGAAAATTAGCCTTTTCAATGTTACCGACAATCTCAATATTATTTTTACTAACATTCACGAATGTGCCACGGATCGTCGTAGACTTGGGAACTTTGCTTCTGTTCCCGTTGTGACATTTGTCACATGTGTCACCACTCATTTCTTGCATTTCACTGTCATTAAAAGGGTTGGCAAAGATGGATATCTTGCTGCCAGCGTATTGCTGGGGATGATGGGCGCAAAATTCTGTCGGGGCGAACTTGAGGGCAATGCGGCTGCAAGAGTCTTCGAAACCATCCACGGTGGCATCTTTTTTTCTCAGTTGTTTGTGCCTGTAGTAAATCAGGAACGCACAGAGTATGAGGATGATCATGACGGATACGGCAATGGCCAAAATGCTCTTCGGCGACACAATAGCAGAGTTGCCGCTGCCGGTGTCAGCATAAGAATTGCTGCTGGCTTGCGGACTGTCTGTTGGGCCAACTGTGGGAAAGTTGCTCGAGGTAGATTGGTTCACCATCTGACGTACTGTGACCGGAGGGGACATTTCTGGGATGTGAGAAGATGGTTAGCTATTGCCTTTCTTTGGGCCGATAGAGCTTATAGGACAAATATGCTTGAAATAATAATGAGTGCAGCATGGAAATATTAGTTTCTTTGGAGCAGATTGTCATGTAGTTTCAAATGGAAATCTCGCATAGAAACCCCATGAAAGACTTTACCGAGAATGATAAAGACGATGCCGGAAGGTGACAACAAAACCCAGAGGAGACAATGACTGAGGAGACTTTTGGAAGCTGCCAGGAAGCTATTCTTCTTTGACTTGTTGACGTGGAAAGAAAATCGAAACGAAGTGAGCAAATGCTGGTTGACCTGTGGATGGTTGAACATGCGAGTACTGATAAAAGGACCGACTTTACGGTAAATGCGCAATACTGGATGGGCTTTACTCATCACAGTCTGAGATGAGAGTCAGAAGAAAGCTGAGTTCTCGAGTGAGGGATACTGAGAACGGCGGAAGTAATTTGTCACCTTTACGGGCGATGACTGGTTCGCTGATGCCGAATCCTCTCTTAGAGAGGCGCACAGGAAAAACCACAGCGCCCCCGTTGACTTGCTCGTCACTCCAGAAGGCAGATTGAAAGTTATACTCTTCTACGACTTCTATCAACAGAATTCAGTCGTCATTTGGCACAACAGCTACAGTCTTTAGGCAGGCCAATGTTCACAGCTGCGACGCGCGTTCCAGCTACGTCTTCAGGTCGAGTGGCCATTACCGGCCCAATGACAGCCCGCAGATACTTCAGGTATCGGGTTTCAAGCCACGCAATATCTTGTACCGGCCCCGTATCGCAGGCTGCCGCTAAACGCGTCGTTGCCGTTGACTCTATTCAAACATGGCACTGATATTTCGGAACTGGAGGACCATCGGTGACCGCGTCGGAGACAGTAGTATTGTCGCTAATTAGGTGCAATCGGAGGCAACGTGTCGGCAGCGAGCTACAGGGCTTCGAAGAGGAGCACGACCAGATCGAGGGTGCTGCGTCGAATGGCCTTGTCGTGTGAGCGACTGAAGAACATCTAACTGCTTCGAGCGGCGCACGAAATGAAGCAGCAAGATGCTGACTAATCATATATGATTACGAGTACGTGAAATACAGAGTGGAAGCGGGGCACAGTACTCTGTAAGCCCTGTCACTGTAAACCCTGTCAGAGCTTCAGTTAGCGGATCTTTAGCGCTGAAGGCCCCGATTTCTCAGCGGCAATTCCGCGGCAACGGATTGCCGAGAGCAAGCCGGGATCCTTATCGACAGGGCGCATAAAGCCGGCTGGTCAGGGAGCGTCTGGAAGAAGTGAGTAAGTAGGTAAGCCGGAAGCAAGCAGGTCTGCATGAGACAAGACATTGCATAGGCGGTCACGATGGAAACAAAGGTGTTTTCGAGCTCGATTGCGGCGAAGCCGTATAGCTGGCCACACGACGCCTCGTTTGGGCCAGAGAAGACGGCACTGGTGGTGATTGACATGCAGGTGGACTTTTGCGCGCCAGGCGGCTACATGGACAGCCAGGGCTACTCGATCGAGCCGGCGCGGGCGGTGATCCCGCGCATCCAGGCGTTGTTGGCAGGCTTCCGGACGGCCGGCTTTCCGATCTACCACACGCGCGAGGGCCACCGGCCGGACCTGTCGACGTTGTCGTCGCGCGAGCTTCTGCGTAGCCGCAACAACGAGTCGGGTCTTGGGATCGGCGACATGGGTCCGATGGGGCGGCTGCTAGTTCGCGGTGAGCGTGGCCACGAGATCGTGCCGGAGCTGCAGCCGCTCGCCGATGAGCCGGTGGTGGACAAGCCTGGCCGCAGTGCGATGCAGTACACGGACTTGAAGCTGCTGCTGGACAACCGTGGCGTGCGCAACCTGGTGCTTTGCGGCGTGACGACAGACGTGTGCGTGACGACGACGATGAGAGATGCCAGTGAGTGTTTCTGTTTTTGTTTATCCTCTTGTTTCTTTCTTTTCCTCTCCTCTCACACCTCATCTAGACGACATGGGAATGGACTGTGTCATTGTATCGGACGCGTGCGCAGCCGGCCGGGAGGACCTGCACGACGCAGCCTTGGCTAGCATCTGCGAGGAGGGAGGCATTTTCGGGGCCGTGACCACGACAGCGGACTTGCTGACAGCTCTGCGGGGCTGAGGCTACCAGATAGCCGGGACCAGACAGCCGGACCAGACAGCAACAGAATCGCAGAATACAGGCATTGCTCGCAGGAAGATGTGTACTTGATATCTTTGATTTGTCTCTACTTGTTCTATGGTCCGATCTCGGTGACCGTCCACGTTCTGCCGTCAACCAGGATCGTTTCTCCCAGCTGGCGGACCTTGTCCTCACAGGCCCAAAGACATGGAAGAGCAAGACCGGTCTGCAGCGTGGCCTCGTCCTCGGCGGAGAGGCTCGCAGTGCCGACACGCCGTCCGCTTTTGCTGCACGGATCCCGCTTCCATGCACCAACTAGCCGCCACCTGTCGAGCCAGAACCGGTCCTCGGTCTGCAAAACGGCCTGGCAATGGGGCCCGATGCGGACGACTCTGCCCTGGATGTCACTGTTGCCGATGGTGGAGCCGGTGCTGTCCATAATCTCGACGACAATGTACGGCAGTCCGTCGACGTTCTCGTTGATCCAGAGCTCCTTAAACATGCGCGGTCCGCGGCCGGTGCCGAGGTCGATCACGCCGACCTCAAGCACCTCGCCGTTGGCCAACAGGAGCATGTCAGCGCCATCAGTGTCCGGGTTGCCGCTGGAGTCGATGTGATGGGCCCAGGTGGAATGGGCCAGGCAGGCCGAGGCCTCGGGACAGGCAAAGGCACCCTCGGACGTCGGCACGACCGTAGTCAACGTGCCGGCGTTGGCATAGACGTTGGGACCGAGCTCAAAGGCGCTCGGCATGACCGAAACAGCGGTGCTGTCCAGGGCCGGCTCCTTGGGCACGCGGATGTCGACAAACTTGCCAGACGGGACGCTGAGTGCGATCACGGCTGACTTCTCGGTCGGCGCCTCGAAGTCGAGGCAGAAGCCGCGGCGGATCTCGACGAGAGGCCGCTTGAGGAGCTTTTCGCCCCAAGACGTGACGGCTGCCATGGTCGAGAAGAGGGATAAGTGGATGGATGGATGGCTGGATGTCTGTAAATAGAAAGCCAGCCCTTGAAGATACAACCTTGACCATCCTCACTCCGTTCTCGCTGCAAATTTTTTTTATATACCACGGATGCACGTGCAGTCCGATCTGCATTGCATCTGTGCAGGCGAATCTGCCAGCCGGCCATTCTGGTGTCGGTGGATCTGTAGAGATAGCGGAAGCGCCGCGGAATGCCGCCTGCGATAGCAACTCTGGGTATCTGAGCCCCTGACACCCCCGATTTCCTCCCTGGGGTCGCTATCTGGCAATCTGCAATCTGCGATCCGGTAATCTGTACGGCCCCTTGTATATGATGGGCGGCCTGGCTGCGTCTCTCTCGGTGGCGACGCAACCGTGGAGCAGGCCAACGAGATTCACACGTTGCCACCATGTCTGAGAAGCAGGACATCAACAGCAATGCGGTGCGGTCGGGATCGGCATCGCTGTCGGGCTCGCTCGACGGCCCCAAGGCCGGCAAGGTGCTGCAGGTCGATCTCGAGGATGAGCAGCTCTTCTCGATGGGCTACGAGCAGCACATGCGGCGTGGCTTCAACGCCTGGTCCATGACGGCCTTTTGCCTCACCGGTCTGGGGCTGCTGCCGTCTGTGGGAGGTGCGTCTTTTTTGTCTGCCGCTCTCCCTCTTGCTACCCTCTCGCTGACCGTCCAGGCACGCTCTGGTACAGCCTCGGATACCTTGGCCTTATGCCCATGACCTGGGGCTGGCTGGCGGCTTCGTTCTTTATCATGACCATGGTCTTCTCCATTGCGGAGATGAGCTCGGCCATGCCGACGGCTGGAGGGCTGTAAGTCACGATGCCTGCTCTGTCCAACTGTCCGTGACTAATGCGATGCACTGTAGCTACTACTGGACTTTCAAGTGTGCCCCGCCGAAGCTCAAGAAAGTCTCCTGCTGGATCACAGCCTGGAGCATGGTCATGTCAACCGCCCTCAGCGGAGCCTCGTTCTTCATGACACAGGCCCAAATGATCCAGGCGCTCGTGGTCATGTTCCATCCCGATTTTGATCCCACGGCATGGCAGCTGTACCTCATATACCTTGGTTGTCTGATTGTGTGCGTTTTTCTTCTTTTCTTTTTTTCATCTTCAATCTCTCCCAGCTCATGCTAACTTCCCAGATGTGGCATGGTCATGGTCCTTCCCAGCAACATCCTGGGCAAGATCAGCAACGTATTTGCCTGGCTGGGCACGGTGACCTTCTTTGTCCTCTTGATTGCGCTGCCGATCTACGCGCACAAGAACCGATCGTACAACACGGCCCACGACATGTTTTTCTCGCGGGTCAATCAGACCGGCTTCAAGAATGAAGGCCTCGTCTTCCTGCTGACCTTTCTGGCGCCCTGCTGGTGCATCAGTGGCTACGACTCGACGGCCCACCTGTCGGAGGAGACAGAGAACGCGTCTGTGGTGGTGCCGCGAGCCATGTGGACGTCGTGTGTCTTTATCGCCATCGTCGGCTACATCTTCAACGTCGTGCTGGCCTATGCCGCCGTTGACCTGGACGGCATTCTGGGCTCGCCTCTAGGCCAGCCTCTGGCCGCCATCATGGTCAGCGCCATGGGCGACGGCGCCTTTCCGAAACTTCTCTGGATCTGCACTGTGCTGTCCAACTTTGGCATCGTCTTCGTCATGAACACGTCGGGCACCCGCATCTTCTGGGCCTACGCTCGTGACGGCGCTCTGCCCTTCTCGCGCTTCCTCAGCGCCATCAACAAGACTACCCGTACGCCCATGAATGCGTCCGTGACCTTGTCGGCCGTTTTTGCTCTCATCGGTCTCATCTCGCTCGGCTCCACGACCGCGCTGCAAGCCTTCTTTTCCGGCTCGTCCGTCACCGGTGCGGCCGCCTACCTGATGCCCGTGCTCATGCGCTGCCTCTACGAGGACAATCCCGAATATGTTCCCGGTCCGTTTACGCTCGGCCGCCTGTCTCGGCCGATCCGCTGGACCGCCGCACTCTGGACCATTTTCACCCTCCCGCTCCTGGCCTTTCCCTCGACTGCACACCCGGACGCGTCGACGTTCAACTGGAGCGTCGTCTTCTATGTCGGCATGTTCGTCATCGTGCTGCCGTGGTACTTTCTCCGGGCGCGCAAGTGGTTCACGGGCCCGGGAGAAAATGTGCGCTCAGAGTAGATTTAGCTGCCGGGTAGCAATAAGAGTGTCTGTCAACCCTGTTGGTCGTCTTTGTCTTCCGGGTCTTGATACGTGTTCGAGCGTTTTGCTAGAATGCATCTTTCTGAGCCATATTGGTATATCACATGCATGTTGATGACGCTGTCAGTACTCTGCTGCAATACGCCTGTGTTAAGCCATATAAAGACAGACACACTTCACGGAGGCTCTGACCTAACTAACTGCATTCCCTGAATTGTCATTGTTGCTGCAAATAGACCTTGTATCTGTACAGAAACGCCTTCATTCTAATATAGTAACCGTTATAGTCAGCGTCTCCGTGCTGCTGACGGCTGTCGTTGACACGAATGTTGTGACGTCCACCGTTGAAACCCAGTAGGTCGTCGTCATCGTTGGTCGGTAAGAGGCATCAACCCAAACCTCCGTTACCGTCCAGACCCTCGTTTGTAAGGTAGTATCCGTCGACTCTACGACCGAGTGCACTGTCTGCGTTACCGTGGGGGTCTTTGTTTGCGTGATTGTGCTCGCGGCTGGCGTCACCGTCGTCGTGGCCAAAGTGGCACCAGCACAGAGGCACAGACTGCTGTACTCTTTTGTGGCAGTGCAGGCAGAAGCGTATACAGGGATGGTCTTGGCCGACCGCCGGACATTGCGCTTGTATACAGCGGCGCTGCTCGACAGAGACGGTAAAGAGGACTCGGTGACCGTTGTGGTGATAGTCGACGTGGCCAGATAGTCAATTTCTGTGTCGGTCTTCCACGACGTCCACGAGTCCCATTCCGTGGTGACCGGAATAGTTGTGTCATAGGAGGTAAGCGTGACGTAAATATCCACGTAGTTTGTGCCAGACACCAAGACCATATCAGTCTCGTAGTGCGTAGAAGTCACAGGCGGCGCCAGAATTGTCACTGTGGCGCTGTTCCATGTTGATACCGTCGCTGTCTGGAGCAGATACGAGTTGCAGTCGTCCAGGCCGCTAAGGTCGGGAGAGGTCTGGGCAACAATCTCTGTTTTTCTGGTTAGCTTATTCGTCACCATATTCTTTGCCAAAAGCAGGTGAGCTGGCTGAACTGACGTCGGTAACAATTGTTGTGAGGACATTCGGTGCACCCGACGGTGAGGTCAGCAAGGCTGAGAAGCAGCGTCAGAATGTAGGCAGTCATAGTGGTTAGGATAATTTAATATATGTATTCGTGTTTTGGGAGAGACTTTACAGATGATGTGGTATGGTGCACCAAGTGGCAGAAAACTACTTATAAAGTTGTTCTATACAGTAACCACAGGTATTCAAACAGTCTGTGAGAATCTAAACAAGGAAGTTTTCTCATCCGAGACAAAGACTATTTGACTTTATGTACAGCAACATACCACTGGTCTTGTTCTAGAATGCCCAGGAGCTTTTTAAATCTGCGTCTAACCTATTGCGCGGCGGTTGCAATATCTAGGGATGGACTATCTCGTGGACGTTAAGGGATCGCCAACGGTAATCGATGGTTTGTTCCCTTTTTCTAAAAGCCGGCCGTTCTAGATGTAATGAATATTGAAGTTGCATGCCGTTCCTCTTTTAAGGAATGAGACATGCAATTTGTACAGCAGTATTGGCTACCCGTACGGTACATAACAAGCCGAGCACTGGCAAATTATCAAACACTAGAACCCGCCACATTGTAGACCTTCTAACAAACACTGCCATTCGGCCCTGTAATTAGCTAAAGGGCGTTAAAATAGTCCTGACAGTTGTATTAACACAGACTCCTAAAAGGGACCTAATGCAGCTTTTTCTTCGGTGGCAAGGAAGGACCGCCTTTAGGAGAACAGCTCATCTGCCCAGGATGGCTCGCCTTTGGTTCAACCGGCTTAGGCCAGATTAGTCACAAGGATGAAAAGGAAACATGTAGTAACTGTTCTTAATTCGCAATACGGCCCATTTGCTAGGTCTTTATACACTTATACTGCCACCTCCAGAGGGTCTCTCCACAGCGGAACATCTAGGGAGCGCTTAAACTTCTCGCTATAGCGGATGCTCTCCACCGGGGCCAGCTTTGCACCGTTGTCGGCGGCTTCGATCACGGGCGAGATGAACGCGTCCCAGTTTGGGTCGAAGAAGAAGGGAATGGAGATGCGCATGGAGTTGGACGTGTGGACGACACGGTGGAGCGTGGACTTGTAGAGGCCGTGGGTCCAGGTGGAGAGCATGTCCCCGATATTGCAGAGGTAGCAGCCCTGCAGAGTCAGCGGAGTGACAACAGGAGAAAGGCAGAAGATACGTACCTCGATTGGATCGGCCCAGACCCATTTGCCGTCCTTGCTGAGGACCTGAAGGGACTTTTTGGTTGAATCGGTGAGGAGGAAGGTAAGGAGACCGAAGTCTGACAGTTAGTGAGGATAGGGAGGGAGAGAGAAGAAAGGAAGAAGAAAGGAAGAAATAAAGTAAACAAACCCAACACACCTGTGTGCTCCCCAATGCCGGCATTCGCCGTCTCCCGTTCCTTGCGGCCCTCGTACGCGAGAATGCGCAGGTTCCAAAAGGCACGGTCGATGCGCTCGACAAAGATGGCCTCGTCGACGCCGAGGCCGAGAGCGAGGGCGCGGATGACGGCGACGCCGAGAGGCTCGAGCTGGCCAATGTACTCGTCGGCGACGGACTTGAAGTCGCTCGGCTGGCTGGGCCACTGGTTCTTGCCCATGCCGGTATCGTAGACCGTCTTGCCGCCCACGGCCATGACGCCCTCGCCGTCGGCCACCGGTCGGTAAAAGTCCACAGCCTCGTGTGAGCCCTTTTCGGCATTCTCGATGCGCAGCCATCCGCGGGCGTTGTCGCCACCCTCACTGCGCTTCCGCAGAGCGATGCGGTCTTTGTCGACCGGCGTGGCGGTCTCGAAAAAGTCCCGGGCGCCGCCAAGCATGCGCGCGATCAGCTTGGCCGACACGCCATGGTTGCGCAGGTAGAAGAAGCCGACGTCGCGACAGGCTGCGTGCAGGGCCATGGCCACGCCTCTACGGTCCTCATCCGTCGCTCCGGGCGCCAGAAAGGGACCAAAGTCCACGACCGGGATCACCGACGGGTCCTCCACCGGCTCCATGACAGAAAATGGCAGATGTGTGGTGGAGATGTGACGATGTCAGAACGCGATGAAATGGAGTACGTAAGCAGACAATACAGACAAGTCGACCACCAACACCAAAAAGAGAGAGCTGCCTATCAAGACGAGAGACGGCACTATTGCAGCCTTTTACATACGTCGCCCAGCCACAGCTCTGTCTGCCCTCAGCCCATTTCTTATCGCAGCTCGGCGTGCCGCGGCGTCTTCTCTTGGGCGCCCCGAAAATCCGATTATCTCGGCATCCGCGCTATCTCTGCCGATCCGCGCACTCCACCCAATCACAACCCCCCCGGACGTCTGCACGCAGCATAGGCCTGGGCGGCCTCGTACAGGGCCCGGCAGATGCGGAAGAGCTGTTCTGCGTGTGCGGACAGCTTCTGCCACGGCTGCAACGTTTCCATGCAGCGCTGCAGGTAGCAGAGATCCTCGGCGTTGGGCTGCTCCATGACGTAGCAGAAGAGCACGACAAATGGCACAAACGGGACGAGCAAGATGGTCCTAGGCAGTCAGCATGGGGGTGAAGTAATAAACAAAGACAACGAACGAGAAAGACAGGCCCCCGTCAAAGCTTGCTCACAACAGACGCCCAAACTCACCAGTGCATATGCATGGCCACCAACATGGGATTTCCGTCGGTGAGATGCAGGTATTCGAGATGCATCTGCATTGTCCTGCGGGCCATGGCGACGCAGCTGTCGCAGAAGAGGGTGGATTCGATCTGGGGACGCCGCGGCCTTTTCCAGGTCTCATGGTCGCCGTCGTCCAGCTCGCCGTCTTCTTCATCCTCCTCATCGCGATCGGCTCCCGGCGGGATCGCCCGAAACGCCATCGTCAGCGACGACAAGAGCGTGACCTCGTCGACGCGAAGCAGCATAGCCTCGACCTCCATGGCAGTTCGGTCGTCGTCACCGACGCAGACGACGTCGCCCATGTCGGCCATCTGGTTTGGATCCGGAACCGAATCCGACCACGTGCGCAGTCGCTGCTCCAGACGAACCCGTCGTTGATGCACGCTGTCGGCCTCGCGCAGGAGCACGTCTGCACAGGATCGGGCGGCCTCAACGCGCGGCCGTAGCGGTGACCGTCGAGCGGCTGGGCTGTAGAGGTCGCGATACATGCGGCCCTGCACCTCACCGAGAACGATCCAGCTGGCGATGTTGACGCGGTGGCCCTCGAACTCGGCTGCCAGAGGAGCCAGCGTGCGAGGTGCCGTGATGTCGTAGTCGTGCAGGATAGGGGCGCGGCCGAGACGGAGCGAGAGGGCGCGGTCGTGCATGTAGGCGAGCCAGAAGAGGATGTGATGGTGGGTGTGATCGTGTGGCTGCATCGGGGTTGATGGGCCGAGGACGCGTCCGAACTTCAGTCCGTCATTCTGCCCATCGCTCTGTCCATCCGCCGCTTCTTCGTCTCGGTGGTAGCCCAGCTCGACAGCCATCTGGCAGGCAGCCGTGTTGAGCCTGGAGGCCAGACCCGGTCGCGACATCTCGATGCCATAGCCGGCCCCCAAGACGAGGGCCAGCAGGCCTTGGGGTCGAGGAGCCAGTACCAGTGGCATATGTGCCAGTGCTGTCTCCACGTTGTCACGGCAGCTGTTGCGCAGTGCCAGGAAGCGCACCACGGCCTCTTGGTCACCTGTGTGCACAGCCAGGGCCATCTTGTCCTTGAAGAGGAAAAAGAGGGCGGCGTTGACCGTCAAAAAGGCCTCAAAGGACACGTCATCTTCGCGCACGGGAAGATAGAGTCGTCGGCAGTGTTCTGTCAGCCCGTCAACACTGCCAAATGCACACACCATCGGAAACGTCACCGGTCGCGTCCGTCGCAGCTCACGCAGCAGACCCAGCACCTCGTCCAGAGGCGGCATTGCCAGTTGACGCAGGCCCTGCAGCCCGTTTCCTTCTAGCGGTTTGGCGTACGGCAGCCATGCTCCAGACACGGCTTCTCCGTCGCCGGACAGCCGCTGCAGCGAGAAGAGCGCCTTGCTGAGTCCGTCCTTGTGCTCGTCCAGCACGTTGTTGTCGATAATGTCCTGTAGGTAATGGCAGGCAAAGGCCACCTGCGACTCGATCGAGCTGCCACTGCTGCCGTGCTGTCGAGGGGGGGCTGTTTCCTGCGGGATGCTGCCCTTTACAGATGTCGTCATCTGCATCGACTCCTCCACCGATCTCTGCGACCTCGACAGGGCCACAAGCGCCTCCTCAATTCGTGCTAGACGGTCTTCAATCCCGCTGGGCACCTTTTCGCTATACGTGTCAGACAAGAAGAGGGAGGGTGAGATAGAGGAAGAACGTACTCTGTTCGTACGGGCCGCACTTTCGGCTGTCGAGGCCGCGAGCTGGCATCCGTAAAGGCGCACGGCTTCCTGGCCAGCCGACAGTTGCAGCACGGCAGCTGTCTGTCGCAACGGATCTGGCGCATGTCAGAGGAAGAGCAGCCGAACATGACCAGGTCCATCCCTACTCACCTTGCGACTACGACATTGATCGCACTACACCGGTTAGTTTGTCTGTACACTCTGACGTCCCGCTCTCTCACGTCCTCTCACATACTGCACGATGTGGCAGGTACAAAACACTGTCCGTGATCGGGGTGTACGGCTTCATGACGCCCAGCTTTATGCAGACCACAGAGATGACCGGTTTCCGTAGCCCGGCTGCAACGATGACGCCTACGGTACAGAGCACTTATCTCGGGACCATCCACTTGCGCCCGATAATGTTGCTGTGACAAAACAAAACCTCGATTGCCATTGATAAGCTGCGGCTACTTGCTCACTAATCTCGTTTCGAGCTGGCTCCAATTCAGACCCCGCTATCTGCGCCCTGCTTCGTCTCCTGCTGGACGTTCTTGCCCTCGGTGATGTCTTTCTGACTGACTGGATACTCTGGTATCATCATTAGCACAGACGAGCAGGTTTCTCGCTCTTGAAAAGCATCCGCTCACCTGCCCAGGCCATCAGCAGTTCGATTGCCACCGGCGCCCATGTGGCCAGCGAAAGAACCTGCCCAAAGCTCCACTGCGCATCATCATCGACAGAGCCCATCTCGTGCTCCACTCGGCCGCGGTACCGCGTGAAGAGGCCCAGGAGAGCCCACATGGCCATGCAGCAGAGGCCGCCGTTGACCAGCTTCAGCAGCCGCGCCTTGCCGGCCCAGAACGTTGTCTGACGCGTACTGATAGCAACAATGTGGCCGACCGCTGTCTTTCCATTCATCGTCTGCACATGCACTTCCTGCTCACCCATTCCCTTCTCATTCTTCAGACAGGCCAAGACTGCGTAGACCCAGACGAAAAAGTTGATGCCGAGCAGGGCCTCGACCACGATCATCACATAGTCGAGCGACTCGCGCAGTCCAACTGGCTCGCAGTCAATCAACCATACCGTGTCCGACTCCGCAGCGGCCCGGTCCAGCAGCTTGTCCAGGCGCTTCGAACTAAAGGTAAGACTGTAGTACATGGCAATGTTGGTCACCGTAAAGGCAATCACCACGAGCCAGAACAAAAGTCGGACCCGTTTGTGCTTCAGGTCTCGGCTGGCAATCTGCAGCATCAATGGCGGGAAGATGGTAAACAAGCTCATGTACGTCGCGTTTGTCAGCCAGTACAGCGAGTGTGTCTTGTCCGGATGGATGCGGGCCGACGTGTGGCGGTACGTCCCGGCAATCTGGATCGAGATGCAGAAGAGGAGGGCTGCGTCGAGAAAGCTGTCGGTTGACTTGTCAAAGGCTGCTATGAAATGACTCCAGAGGCCGTGCAAACATGCCGTCTTCTTAAAGGGCTCTAGCCGATCCGCGCCCAAAAGGACAAAGTACGCCGTCGCCAGAGCGGCTGCCAGATAATACACAAACATCATCTGTGAGACAGTCCGCGTCAGCCTTTTCTGCCTCTCCAACTGCACCACGGACACGTACACCAATACCAGCCAGGTCAGCGTCGCCCGACCAGTTTAGCTGCTTGCAAACTTCGACTGAGCAGTTGTATATTGGAAACGAGACCATTGTATCATAAATGTCCGAGTCATCGCTCATGTTTCCGTACCAATCCAAGGCCTGGCCAAGAGTTGGAATGTTTGGGACAAAGCTGGTGATGTAGTTGTACGTCGCTTCTATAGGTGCGTCAAAACTCTGCGTGTCGTTGTACTCCAAGCTGATAAGGCTTGTGAACCACGCAGCGGCCAGCTTGCAATCCAAGGTCGAGAAGTCAACCTCGTCAAACGTAGGTGGCACCCACCCATCATAGGTGATCGTACTCATTGTGCAAGGCGTCGAAATCGGAAAAAGGCTCTTGGTTTCAAGCGTCTGTTCGTATACAACCGCGTCGGCTTCTCTGACTTATAAACTACTCACTGTCCGGTCTGCACTTTTTCAGCCGCGTGCTCCATATCCTTCTCATTTTTCTCGTTTTTCCATCTGCCCTATCTTCTTCTCTCTCTGTTCCCTACCTGTCATCACCCTGGTCCTGCGTTCGGCCCTGAGACGCAGCCACAAACCGAAAATACAGTAAAATTACTTCTGTCATCGGGAGAGTTCACCAATCACCTGCACATATAAGCTTAAGCCCCAGAAACGCACCATCCTGCGGCAATCCTACGCTGCTACCACATTGATCACGCTTACGATGTAAGCATCATGCCACCTTGGACGATCTGGTCATTCCGACGACACCTTTTCTTTCATCAAAACGTATTCTCGCTTGTGCGTTGTGGAACCTGCCGGGGTCGTCGGGCGGGAGAGAAATGGGGTCAGCTGAACAGACCACGACGTGAGAAACGTGCCGCAGTGCAAAGTGCTACCCAAGGTCAGGCGACCGTGCATATCGTACCCACTTAACAGGGGTATGATGCCTTTGATTGGTGAAATACTTCGTCTACGGCTGGCATCTTACGTCAGCCCCCTTTTTGCTAGCTTCAGCCTTGCCATGACATGCTTATCCAACGAAAAGGTGGCTTTATGGTCTAATTATCCCGAATTTAAGCCTTGTCCTCCTCGCCGGCCAATGCTGGAGTTCTGTAATTTATAGACGGTAAGAACCGACCCTGGTCATCAGCCTAGCGCTTACACTGCCCGCTCTTACGACTTGGACTGTTTCGGGGTTGAAATGCGGAAGCCATGGGTGGACTCAAACGTTATGTATGGGCCCAGGCATGGCCTTCCGCCTCATAACAGCGGGCGAGGTCACATTTGACGTGCTTTGGTGCTGTACTCGTATACAGAGTACTCCTTCGATGTAACCTGACAGAAAGGGGCAAAGCTGTCATGTCAGGCAGCCCTCAAAACCACTATTTTTGACCTCTTCCTGCAGGTCTGCTAAGGTTGAGCAAGTAACGAAACCGTAATATCTCATACCAAATGACATCAGAGATATTACAGGTGACAGCTCGCAAGCCGGATGCAGATTTTCTCGAGCATTTGTGCCCCATGTCAAATCGAGGGTTGTTATCGCTGCCCGACTTTAGGGAGGCCCATTCAATTCAGCTTTGCATTTGTACCGTCTTTTACAATACCTTTTTCGGCAATAATTCCGAATCCAATATCGAATAATCACAGCTGAAGTATCATCACGTTGCATGCTACCCCCCCTTCCCAACGAGCACAATGTGCCGCACATTTGTGGAAGCCCATTCAACACCTGTAAATGCTTTCCAGTCAATGACAAACATGATGCCAGCCTAGTATCTGTTGTACATGTTGTAGACAGTCATACATCAAGCGGTCGACACTGTCATTCAGCCAGTGAACTTCTTATTGAGCTACGGCATGTGTCGGCCTTGGCGGCGAATATGCATCCGATTGGCGAGGCAGGCATACTCTGTGGCTCTTATGCCTTGTCATATGAATCTCCAACGTACATATGCCAGTCTATCATTTCTTTGACTTGCATATAACGATATTGTATTATGAATCGGTGGAAGCCTAAGCATAATATGGTGATGCTGGGACTGTCGTGGCTTCTTTCACCCACGTACAAAAACATACAAATGCTGGGAAATAAATCACAGAACTGCCTTTACACACCTGTTGAACTCTGCAAGGGACCGCCCTGACACCCCTTCTTACATGAAGTTCGTTGCACACCGTATCACTATTCACGGACTGTCGATACAACATTTCTCGTAAAGGGTACAAAAGTCCCAGTTCTAAAGGTGCCTCTAGTATTGCCTAGAACTTTTATTATGACGACGTTCTGCTTGTGTTGAGATTGGTGTTTCCAATCATGCAACAATTCATGCTTGAATAGAAACCATTTCACCAGAGATATATTATCAGAGACTAATAATGCACATAAGGCCAGGTTGTCCTGGACTGGAGTGGGTCCCAGCTGTGTTGTACCAATAACATCAATTCAAAAGCTCTTTCGACACGCTGTCGGGGCTCAATCTCCCAGTGTATCTATGGAAAGTAGACTATCTTCGCTTAGAGACTACGAGTAACATCTCTTTTTAACTTTCTACGGCCGGGTAGGTGTTGCTATTTCTGGCTTCGATGAACGGCCCTCTGGAGGTCTGGCAGACGCACAATTATGACATTCCTAGAAGAGGAATATCTTCAAATTGATGACGAAGCGAAATTCGAAGATTATCAAAGAACTTCTCGACCAAAGAAGCTTAATTGAGAAGAGCTTTTTCATTGTGTTATATATGGACAGGGCTATTTGCGTTAAGGAATGATGGCACGTCAGCCAAACAAAAGAGGCTCCATAGATCAGGAAAGAGGAAGTCAAAATCAGCAAAGTCTTGCGGTCTGCACCACGAGTGATAGAAAGTGGCCGAAGTTTATTTAAAATTACCCTTCTTAGACGAGAGCCAGTTGCACTTTGAAGGCTCCCCTCAATTAAAAGTTGGTCATGGATACCAGCAATATGCCCTTACGGTCCTCCTACATGTCACTGACGTTGATATTTATGCAGCAAGTACACGGCCATGTCCATGTCAGACCCCCCACCGTCGTAAAATACTTTGTTTTTCTTCCACCTCTGCTTTCTTTTTGCATGAAAGTGCTATCTCGACAACCCTAGCCGCATAATTTAGGGCACCATAGATGCAGTAAACCCAAACGAATCAATGTACAGGAAGTACCTCACTTTTCATACAAGAACTAACACACAAGTGTCCGAGAGAAGGATCAATCTAGCACAATAAACACTTGGTCATCAGGCTCAGATCTAGCGCAAGGCCACGTCCGTCGTGGTGATGCCCACCATCATTTCTAGCAGCTTGATGGCAAAGTCAGGGTTTTTCTCTAATACGGGCTTCATCCTAGCACGTAGACCGGCATCGCCATGGTATTGATGGGTAATGAGTGCACAAACGAACTCTCGTAAAGGGTCACCTGACATCGTGGATCCATACAGCAGATCTACCACGGCCGGAAAGTCATCGTACTCACACCATAGCCTTTCGGCGGTACGCTTAAATCGCTCTCCAGATAGCAGCTTCAGAGCTGACACATCGTACTTGTCCGCCATTATGTAAACTCGGAGGGAAGTATATAAGGTTGTGATGGCGCGATTTTTCCACCCACTGGGAAGAGGCAGGTTTGCATCTATCTCAATGCCATCTTCTGTCTCCATGTAATCTGATCCATCGGAGTCATAGTCGAGGGTATCCTCCGCCGGGGGGGACTCAGAGTCCGGCCCGGGAGCTATTAAGGCGGTATTCGATGGCAAATCATCGTAATGTTCCCCATCAGAATAGTTTCCGGCGTAGAGGAATCGAAAAAATCGATCAACGGTGTCGGGGTCTTCATCTGGGAGGTCAACACTATGCTCTAGCCCCTCCTGTGTCCGTAGCTTGAGTGAGTCTTCGAATTTTATTCATCTTGTAAGCCAGGAAGCTCACCTTGAAAACACCAGTGCAAGCCTTGTCGAAAAATGGTGACTGCGCACACACGATAGCTTTGTGCACACGATATGTCCGACCACCACAAGTTACAGTCAGATCTGATAGCCTTCCAGTTTCGTAAAGCGGCAACAAAGCTGCGTGAAGCATACATGCCGCAACGTAGTCCATATCACCTCCAGCATTGTGGATCGCCGTTTTTAGCGTGGCTTCCCGGGAACCGGCTTCGTTTCTTCTTGATCTTCTTGGACCCATTCTGACGCTGCTTGACATGGCTAAAAGGAGATGGACACGAAATTTAGACCGGAGGAAAGTTTTTGACCCCACTCGGATATTCACATTGTCCGGTATCCGAGCACCTCTCAGCGTGACGAGTACAGAGTACTCCGTATTACTACAAAAACACGATCAACCATTCGCACTGTTGTTATACTGCCAATGCTGGTTCTCTGTAAAGCCAACAAATGCTTCTCTTTCTTCTTTTTTGACGAAGTTGATCAATGTACGATGGTTTCTTATGAGACCTAATTTGCAAACCTTGCTTTGTCTTACCTCGCTGTTTGCCCAAGATCTTGTGGCCGGGTTCGTTAGCGAAATTCCGTGAATGCTACGGTTTTAGTGTGCACCTACAAGCCTGCCTGACGCGCCGCTATGATTGGATGCATCCGGCTGTTGGACTAAACTTTATTAACCGTAAACCCTGTCGGATTGTCCCCTAACATCCGGGTGGGGACACCCTGAAGAAGGGTCCAAACAGATTCAGAGTCTGGATGTAAGGCGTGGGCTTGAGGTGGCAGTCCACACATCGCTATTCGAAGGCATTATCTGTAGCACCACCTTCCTCTTATGTTCTAGCACGTGTAGATAGGCAACGGCAGATACGTGGGGCGGCGCCTTTTACGCTGCCGTCGAGCAGTAGTGACTAGCAGAAGAAGGGGAAATGCACCTCTATTAACTCTTGAGCTCTCTAGTCAGCCAACAGGACTGTTGTATTAGGAAATAAGCCCCGGTATCTGTGAAATTTGTGGGAGTATGATAAACGCCGTTGCACAGTGCTATACCGCTAAACAAACGCGCTGCTGTTGTAGGGTTGATCCTCGAAGGTATCATACGAGTACGACGTACGTGGCACAGGACAGTTCTCTGTATCGCATACGTTATGGAGCTGGGCCCACAAAGACTGCTTGGAAAGCGGCCCCCTCCCCTCCAAATTCCATATTCGGCAAATCTCCGGCCCTGTGGTGCATATTAACTAACGGATTGGGCTAAAAAAGCCCTTCGGTCGTCCTGCTATTACAAACTGGATGCTACCCGTGTAGTGGAGTTGCTCCTCTTTGGTCTCGTGTGATTCTGCAGATACGCCAAGTATTGGGCCCCACGGTGATTCCCCCTCTCCTCTCTATCTCTCCACTCCTCACCTTGTCGTTCTCGCGCCAATATTTATACGCAGACCTTTCTTTTCTGTTTTTCTTCCCGTGCTCCGCTCTGTGTGCTACTTTCATATTCAAAATATAGCAGGCAGCTACCTCGTGGCTTCCCATACAGGCAGCGGGCCAGCATTGGCATCAAACAGTAATACTGTTACTACTGCCCCAGCTGCTATAGCACCGACGATAGATGAGCCCCTCCTAGCAGCCGAAGTACTAGATGAGGATGTCGAAGATACCGACTCTGCTCTTGGCGACGACTACTCGTATGTGCCTTCCTGCATCTCTGCCCGATCAATTAAATTCCTATTTCTTATCGTAAGGAAAGAAACTGACGCATGCAGACTTTCGACAGCGTCGTTGTCGAGCAGTATCTTGCAGTATCGCACAATCCACGGGCGGACGTTCCACAGTGACAAGTACCAGAGCTACTTCACACCCAACGATAAACAGCAACAAGAGTCAATTGACTTAACGTACGATAGTCCTCTAGCATTGAAAACTCGTTTCCTGAGGTTCTGCAGCTAGCGACGTCTATATGTAGTCACCACTATTTAACACTACTACTAGACGGCGCCTTCTTCTTGGCGCCCGTTGCGAAGACTGTCAAGGTTAATAGAAGGTCAAAGCTATTAGTGTGATATATAAAACCAACGTGTATAACTAGAATGTGCTCGACATTGGCACTGGTACAGGAATCTGGGCAATGTAAGGCTATTCTTTTGTACACCCTTTACATCTTCTAACTTTATACTTGCCAGTGACGTTGGCGACCAATTTCCAGACGCCCAAGTAATCGGTACCGACATATCGCCGATTCAGTCAGTCTGGGTTCCACTCAACGCAAGGTTTGAGATTGACGATGCGACGCAGCCGTGGTCATGGGGGGCCAACACCTTTGACTTCATTCATATCCGTTACTTAGTAGGCGCTATTCCAAACTGGGATATACTATTTTCCGAAGCTTACCGCTGCTGTGAGCCGGGCGGCTGGCTTGAGTCGTGCGAGCTGTGTCCTAAGCACGACAGCGATGATGGCACGGATAAACTAGCTCCGGTTTTCGAGCAATTTTGGAAGCTATACGCAGAAGGTGCGCCTAAGCTAGGCCGCAGTTTTATGGTCGTTAAAGACGGCACACAGCGTACGGCTATGGAAAAGGCAGGCTTTACAAATATCACGGATAAGGCCTATAAGTTGCCTGTAGGGGACTGGCCTGCCGATGAAAAGCTGCTTGAAATTGGCCAGTACACTTTGTTGACCCTTTTAAACGACCTAGAAGGTATTTCTGATCTTTCTTTAAGAAATTATCTGTTTTCACATAATCCTGTAACTTTAGGCACTTTTTGCAAGATTTCTAACTGTTTATAGGATACACTACCTTCTTGTGGAACGAAGTTATGGGATTAGGCAAGGACGAGTATCAGGTCTTTCTTATGCAATTGCGCAAGGCCGTGAGGGATAAGAGAATACATACGTATTATACTATCCGCTACGTCTATGGACAAAAGCCTTACGAGTAAAAATTGTACTCGTACTAAACAGACTTGAAATGGCAGACAGTTTATTAATCTAGGTTCTAGCGAGCCTACTTCTCTGCATGTGGACGATAAATGGTGCTTTATGCCTTTAGAACATTTGCTTGCAGTGCCAACTAGCCTATGACTTCTGTCTGAAATTGGTAGTTGGTTTTGCTAGAAAAAGATAACATTTGAGGAATCCTTCAAAATGCGCTTTGGCGTGCAAAGGGCATACTATGAGGTAAAGGAGGAGTGCATTCGTTGTTAGACAGCCCCAATTTTATTGTAATTGATGGCAAGCGTAGAAACCTCTTGCGAATAGAGTCCTACACGAATAGGTGCCATGACTAATATAAAGAATTTGAAAAATCGGATGTTGCAGCGCACCATTGCCACCAATACCGCAGCGTGGGGATGCTGGCATAACCAAGTAGGGTATTTGGTCACATGAACTGTGCCTCCAAAGTATACGTCTAGCTTTGGAGTCCGCTGGAAAATCCAATTCGAAATTATTATGCTACCAGGCGCGAGTTCTACTTTTTGAAGCTGTTTTGTCCGCCGCAATTCCGCCACTATGTCTAGGCATAACCTCGAAGAAGGCAAACGTTGTGTAGACGGTTCTAGACCCGATCTTAAGCGGGGAACGCTGTAGATGTCGAATGGACCAGACCAGAATGGGAGGGGCGTGCACGATTATGCAGTGTGATGAAAGAATACATGTACTGGGTGGCGCAGGGGGCTATTTAGTACGTGTTTTGACGCACGTCGGCATACCTCGGAAGTACCTAACCACAACAATACATTCACGCTCACTGGGCACCCATAATTTGACAGTAGAAGGTGACCCACAGTTTCTTTAGACGCAAGACGACAAGAACAAATCTAACGACTCACGAAAGAGGGGATGGGACACGGCGAGTTAATGCTTGCGATCGCCTCTGAAAGCTCTAGAGATATTGCATCGTGAATCAATTCTTTAAGGTCCCTTTCCTGTTATAAAACCAAGCCCATCAAGGCATGATGGCCAGCTTCAAAATTTAACTTGCCAGTCTTCCCATAACTTTATGGGCTGCGCGGTAAGGTACAAATATTGACAAGTGGCAACCGGTCATAGGACAAAGGTATTATCCTACTGTGCCTAAGTATAGCCAATATTTCCTCAAATATTCATCGCCTTATGGCATTGGCCCAAAAAAACTTACCTATTTAGTTAACCACCCCTCCCCAATTTGTAACTGTCGACTTGCAAACGTACGGGAAACTAACCCCGCTACAACAGATCACGGACCCGGACGTATCACAACGATAATTGTGATAGGCATTTACACAAGTAAGGGTTGTGGCATTTTTTCTCACATAAAGTGGCAGGACGCACTAGAATATAGCAGACGGAATGAAGGCAAAGTAACAAAAACCAAGCTTGTATTTGTCTACAACTCAGCAGAACGAAATCCTGCATACATAACAGTTAAGAGATACATTTATTGTTCTGGATCTGAGCTTAAGCCGATTTTTGTGTGCTCTGATCGAGGCACCTCGGACATTTCTCGTTCCTGTGCTCAGTATTCCATGCAGAGTTGGAGCATTCCTCCTGGCGGTGGTCATCGCATTCTACCCAACAGTTGAAGACCACATGACCGCACGAATACCTGTACCAGAACAATACGCACATTCTTTGTATGCTGACGGCTGAAAGATTAATTTGTATGGTAGAAGCGAGATAGCCTTACTTGAGATGTTAATGTAAAATGATTGCCGATATGACGGAAAGAGTGGCATAACTGGAAAAGTCGCCTTGTGGGAAGGAGAGCAGAGCGTCCTCAGCCTTTTAAACGATGGAAACAGCTGGCAAATACGATGGGCAGTGACAAGGGCGAGATACTTTACATCACTCCCCACATTAAAGTAGCTCACTGCCGCAAAGGTCGAGGCAGCCCGAATTTAGCCGCACTCCCAAATTATCTACATATACCGCGGGCCAATGGCAATGTCTGGTCGGGTTTGATTTAAATCAGCGAAAGCCCAAACGAGGCACGTTACGAGCGTCTAGTTATGTAATTTCTACTGCATGTGCTCAGCTTGACACTGCAGGACTCGTTGCTCAATGTGGAGAGAAGACGGAACCTGGCTGGCATTTCTGGCGCCGTAGAAATCCTCGTGCAGCGGCTCAACCACGTCATCGATCTCTGCAAAACGCACGCGTAGCCGTTTGAGGGTCAAATCGACGCCGCCTCAGCATGTCTAGCGCGACACACACGGTTTTCCGTGATATGCAACGGTGACGTGGTGGACGGCTCTGGAGCCTCAAGTCGTTGGTCACCAAGTTCGGCTTCTTTGAGACGACTGACCTGCGGGACATCATCTACAAGTACAGTCAGCCAGACAAGGGTGCCCCCCACGGTAGGCTCGAGATCCAAGGTCTCTCAGGGTATCAACACAAGGCTTACAGATTGAATGTGACCTGACGGCGCTGAAGAACATTGACTCCCGGCAGACGGCCAGTGGCGACAATCTCTGCATTCTGTTTGGCTGCTCGGTTCCGGTGATGCTGCACCGAAATCCCAACGGCCCTACCGCATTGCCGGTTAGGAATACGTGTATGGCAACATAGACGGCGAGGCATTTGCCAGCATAGATAGTCAAGCGATCCAGGCTCAGACGGTCTACATCGAGATCCAGTAAGGTTGTGGTAGCCATTGGCAATGTGGTCTAAATTGATTTGTGAGATAAGTGAAGAGTAAGATACATGTGAATAGTGTACAACTCTGAGGAGCTACAGTGTTATTTACTGGAAGGCGTGCATATACAACTCCGTATCTTGGAAAGGGGCTTCGGCCCATTTGCTGTTGCAGTGGCGATGCTACGACGTAGCTATCTAGGAAATATCCTTGCTATGTTACGTGCTCGCTATATTACGCGAGGCCAGGCGGACAAGCTACCGGAATAGGAGGTAAATTCCGCGCAAACTGGCCGGTGGTGTACTCCGTACTCCGTACACAATGCTACATTGATATATGCTCAATGTCGGCCCCACACGAGTCGTTATCTTCAAGTTTTCAGTATGTGCCTGGTTACAATACATGTCTTGAAAATCGGCAATGTCTACGACCAGCCGTGAAAAACACCGCGGAGTGTCCAGCTAATCATTGGCTAGAGGCTACTCGTGCGTGCTCACATAAAGATAAAATCTTAAAAGAGGGCGCACTTCGTCGAGGAGCTTCGGAACAGGGGGTCTACTCGCCCACCTCCCGGTCGGTCTTCCAGAAGACAAAGCGGACAATACGCCACTGCATAGAGGCCAGACGGATCTGCTTCCCCCAGAAAAAGAGGGGTATGAAGAAGAGCAGACAGCCACCGGAAATGCCGGCCATCGCGCCATAGGCCTGCTTATAGCCGGACTTGTCTACCCATGGGTTTGTGTAGAAGGATAGGAGGAAGCCAAAGCAGGCTGTGGCAGGTTAGAATACTGGGGATAATTGTGCTGAAAAATATCCACGTACACTTGAAGGCTAGCTGAGCCACGGTGACCTCGGCTGCCACCGGTCGGTACGAGTCTATGCAGTAAACAAAGGACACATTGGTACCCTGGGAAATCGCAAAGGAGACTGGTTTGTCAGTGTCAAAGGAAAGACATGGAGGTGGTGTATACAACAGAAAGGAAAAAACGGGAAAAGGGAAGAGAAAGCTTACGTAAGCCAAGAGCGAATGTGGGCACCATCCAGTGAAGAGAGTTGCCGATGCCGACGCCATAGAGGGCGAGGGCCATGGGGGCAGCTATGACGCTGGGGATGATAGCTGGCAGACGCATCTCGGGCTCACGAATGCCGCCATTGCGACGCGTAAAGTAGTCGGCGACCCAGTCGGAAAACGGACCACCTGCAAAGGTGCCAAAGACGCAGCCAACGATGGCGGAGACGAAGCAGAGGCCGGACTGCCAGGTCTCAAAGTCGTAGGTAGCGCTGAAGGCGCTGGCAAAATTGGACACGACAGCAACAAGGAAGCCGATGGTGACAGACATCACTATGGTGGCCCAGAAGACAGGCGGCAGCAGGATAAGGCCAAAGGGACGGATAAACATACGCCAGAAGGACTCTTCAGTATACGTCTTTCCAGTCCACGGGCGCAGCTGCTGGCCGTACGAGAGCTTGCGGTAATGGTGGCTAGAGCGACTGTCGCCATCATCGTCATCGACACCGTCGGCAGTGCGCACAAAGGCGGTCTCGGGGAAGAAGAAGAAGACGACGAGGAGAAGGAAGCCGACAAGGGCAGCACCGACCCAGTAGATGGTGCGCCAGGGATTGGCAATACTCGTGCCCCGCCCTGGGTGGGGCGGGGCACGAGTAGTGATGAGGCCAGAGATGATGATGCCAAAGGCAACACCAGCCGAAAGGGCAGCATTGTAGATTCTAGAAGGTTAGCTTGTTTTGCTTGGAGTGATTTTCTCTCTCTCTTTTCCTCTTCTTTCTTCAACACTAATAGTCACTTACGCCATTCCATAGCCACGTTGGTGCAGGTAGAACACGTCGGTAATGGTCACTGGGCCAAGACACTCGCCGGCACCGGCGCCTATGCCCAAGATGGTTCGTGTGGTCAGCTCGCCAGCATAGGTCTTGGCAAAGCCGGATCCGATGGTCATGGAAAGATAGAGGATGAGCGAGGCGATATAGACCGGTCGACGGCCGTACTTGTTCAGCAGGGGGACCCAGAAGAGACAGGAAACGCCCTGTAGGAGGGAGCTGTTGTTGAAAAAGTACGATGCACTGGAGACCCAAGAGCTGACAGTAGAGCCGCCGTGCTTGTAGTCCGAGGCAATGGCGAGCATGGCGACGGTCGGACCGGCGGCCATGAAATTGCACATGACCATGGCAAGCGAGACGAGAACGGAGATGTAAATCTTGTAGGCGGTAGACCACCGAAGGGGATCGTTGGGGTCGGCAGATGGAGCCGGCGTCAGGATTATTTCATTAGTGTGCTCATGGCGAAGGCGGATGCGGCCAAGGGTGTGGAGGTTTGGGTGATGCTTGGCTTTGTTAGAGACATTGTCGTGGGCAGTCTCGATGGCCTGAGTGCTGATTTTGTCGTCAGGCATCGTGAAACTTGGTTGAAGTAGGACTGGAGGAAGTTTTCAAGATGGCAAGAGAAACAAGAAGAGTAGCAAACTGCAACACGACTGGAGTTCAAAAACCAAAAAAAACCAAAATAAGATACTGGCACTATTTAGACCCCCGGCTTTCCCCAAAATTTCCCAGCTTTGAGCATGGACGGTTCGGGCTGATTGGCGCTCCGCACTTTGACCGTTAGGGCCTTCGGTAAGTGGTGCTTCTCGGTCCTGTGGGGGACATTGCATGTGGCCGTCCCGGTGCGGAGACGCGGTTGTCATACCGTCTATGCCGCGTGGCCTTCCCCACAATCTGGGGAAGCTGGGGAAAGGAGGCAAAGGAAAAGATCGGCACTTGGTACGAGGCGGTGGCTAGGAAAAATCGTGGCGATGGCTGTCTATCGTCTGATCTAAACCTAGGTGTTGGCTTTGGCTGAGTTAATTTGTGTATCTCTTTCTGTAATATGTACTTTTGACCTCGATTCCCATTTCTATCCTTTGGCTCGTCTTCGATTCTTTCTCTCCCTCATACACCTTTGGTCCTTGGAACCTCTACTACAATCAACAATTCAGGTTTTCCTCTCATGCTTTACCCGTTGTACAGATCTATGATCACCAGCCATCTACTCGCCTATTTTCACCGCCCCTACGCAAAGTCGAGTCAAGATGCGATGAAGACTCTTCAGTATCATACTCTCCATGGCAACAGACTCATCTCCACGATTGCGTCATCGTCTAAGACGCGCACTCTCCTTAGCTCTGCCGGCCAATGGCACTGTCTTTTCTAACAAACTGGTGGGCTGTGCTGATCGGTCGCCTCATCTTTTCTCGGACGGCGTTCAGATAGCCTCTTTCGTCGATTCTATTTCACGGTCGGCCTACTATGGCTACCAGGCCACCTAATATATCAGAACTCTTTGCCGTTGACCCGTCGCAGTTTCTTCAGAGATGAAGCTGTGTAGCCTGCAAAAGAGAGTACCAAGACTGTTAACCAGCTTCATAGCGATGTATATTTGTAGTGAATTACATTATACTATATCTTAACCTGCTTGGTGGTGTCCTTCTCTGCATCATTAAGGAACTCGTCCACAGTGCGGAGCTTGACGGCAGAGAAGAACTTGGCCCGCTGTCTCTCGAGCTGCTCTTCCGGAAGCCCGCACGATCCTGAGCTTGACCATACACCAAACTGTGCCACCAGCGCCTCCTCACTGTCGCCGATGCTTTCCTTGACCACCTGCTCGTGCGAGCGGTACGTTACCTCCAGGTTCCGGCCGTGTGCCGCCAGCGTCTTCACGATCCCGTTCCAGGACGTTCGCTCGCCCATCAGGAACGTCGTCGGCTGGTCCCAGTCATCGTGAGCAACCAACACCGCAATAGCCTTGGACAAGTCACGCACGCTGGTGAAGCAGACTGGCTCATCTCCCGTGCCCGCAATCACCGCCTTGTTCGTCTCAAAGTCAATCGGGTGGTACGCCCTGATGTCGCGGATGTAGCGTTGTGATGCTGCCACGAAGTAGTCCATCAGCCAGCCGTTGCCCAGCAGCGTCCACTTGACGTCAGTCTGTGCTGCCAGTGCTGTCCGAACAGGGACGTGTGATGCCTCGTAGAACAGTGGGATGTCGGGAAACCGGTCCGTGTCGCCACCGTACTCAGACGGGATGAATTTCTTGCACCGGCTGGTCTGCTGGCAGGCCTCCAGGATGTTGAGATGCGGAACGACGCCGCCAGTGCCATAATCCAAAATTGTCGACACGACTGCGTCGCAGTCCTCAAGCGCTGCAACGAGCGAGGAAACCGAGTAATCGCTCGTGCGGAATGTGATGTCCGGCCTCTCATACCACGGCTTGCATGACCGCGAAATCACCACCACTGAATGCCCGGCTGTAAGAAGCTCTTCCACCAGATACTTGGCCAGGTCACCGGCACCAGCAATCGCAACACGCAGTATCATCGTATTCGAACCAAGATCGTTGTCTTCGATGGACAGCTCGCTTCGATAACAGGTAATCCAGAAATGTTTGAACGGCCTATAGCAGGTATAAGTACAAAGCACATGCAGGTTTGTCATAGACAAAATTCAGCGGCACATGTCGTAGAAGCGGAGATAACGCTAGTAGAAATGGCAGGGGACAGCGAGCTTGGGGATTATTGCGATGGTCCCGTCGCTTCTAGTCTCCTTCAGTACTAGCTTCATGAGGCTGCTCGTTGTCTCTTTCCGTGTAGTCGTGAGCCGTCTGCCTAGAGCTATTGGCTTTATATTGCTGTAGCTGCCGTGCAAATATTGCAAGATTTAAGAAAAGCAGACGCCTTTTCTGCTGAAACTACAAACAACACATCTTCCCGGACCTTCCTCTTCCTTTTTTTTTTGGAGTATAGAATGGAGTACAGGGGCTGCCTCGACGAATTTGGCATCAAAGCCATCAACTCTCCCGGCCTGGGAGAGAAGCTCGGCGAGGCACTTGGCCTCTCAGGCGCCGTGGTTATCCCCGCCAACACAGCCACTGTCAGAACATCCGGAACGACCGGCGTGACCAAGGATATGGTACTGCCTGCGTCTGCCACCGAGCAGATCATGCTTGCCTTCCAGAACGTCGAAGACACAATGGTGGCTGCTGGTGTTAAAGACGGCTGGCGGGCCGTCTTCGACCTGACCACGTACCACACCGGCCCCCTCGATGATCCCGAAGTCAATACCGCTCTGGAGGCTGCGTTTGAAATGCACCTCAAGGGAAACAAGCCGACATGGGCCGCTATCGGGGTCGCGAACCTTTACCAGGGTGCGCGCATAGAGGTCAGGGTGACTGCTGCACTGAAGGCTTGAAAGGACTTGGATGTACGTCCTGTATTCTTTTGGTCCGAGTTTTAGCCTTAAAGGGATATAATCCTGTCGTTCTTGCAACCCTGGCGTACCCTCTCTCCGTTTCTTACAGCATGCTCTCGTGCATTTTTATTTGAAGCAATACAAAGAGGTGTCCGTAAGTTACGTGTCTTCGCCAGGAAGTCTGGAAGTGCAACGTTTTGAGGGATCAGAAGCTCCACTAAAATAGAGACAGGTGAAAGGATGCAGTTGGTCTCTGTCAAGATGATCCTGATGAAGCTGGCTGTAGAAACTTGCTATCTATTAATCAAGGTTTAGCGGTTTTTCTTCTAGCATTACGGAGTACGGAGTAAATAACTATCTAAAAGGCCGCCAAGCAAGGCATTTACAAGGAGTTACGGAGTACTCCGTACGAGTACTCGTACGTACTCCTATTGAAGAACTACGGTGTACATAGTATACTTGTATAAGAATCCGCCACGCGAGACTCTGTAGACCTTCCGCCCCACCTGGACACATGGCCCTGTGATTGGTCAAAAAGAGTGGAAGCGGAACTAGTACCAATACGACGTACGGACCCCTAGAAGGGTCGCGATGTATCTTACGTCGTATCTTGCTCCGTATACGGAGTAACCATCGTATATTTTCCTAAATCCTAGTAGGGCAACGCAGGGGTAGCGAAAGAGGTGTGAATATATCTGTCATAAGGTTGAAAGAACTAAACTAAAGAGAGAAAAGCTGTCTGATTAGGAGGCCGAAAATATGCATGAAGTAGACGACGTAGCAGGGTCTAAACGTCGTCGGAGGGCGCCAAAGGCCATAAGGGAGACGGGAGTGAGGCCTTTAGGAGCGGGTGTCGGGGTCAGGTCAATCCCGAAGGGCGTACTATGTAGGTTACGGAGTGTCTGCACGTGACGCTGGAAGGCCCACGTTTACTACAACATGTTTCTTCCATGGTACTCCGTACAGAGTACAACACAGATTTGCTCACACCTTACCCAAATGAGCCCCCTGCTCCTTACAGTGCAATGCGCCCTTTATCAACCCTGCGCCTTAGCTGTACCTTTTCACAATACGGAGTAGAAAGCTCCCAATCGACTTGTCGAAAACAGGACTACGGCAGTGCCGGTCCGTTTGATGTGGGCTACAAGGTACATTTTGAAAATCATCTGAACGCGCTTAATGAATCAGACGAGGGGTTGCACCAATGGCACTCGCAAAAACCCCTCGGGCGCCGGCCCAACAGCGGGCACCGAGCCCGGCCGAAGCAGTTTCACAGATTTACGTATCTTACCATCGGATAGGTCCGGTACAGGGCATCCATATATCTGTCTTCTTAGGCACTGTCGACGTGCGCGACGCGGACCGGTGCTACTTTCATGACCACTGCACGAAGATTGTGTTTCTCATGCTGCTATCATGGGGTAGCGTGACTGCGTCATGGGAAGACGGTCATGTGATACAGCTTGACCCAGCAGTACGACAGCTGCGCGCTCTTAAAGTGACGCACAAAGTCACGAGCCGCGACAACATGCTGTGGTGTGCAACGCAATTTTGACTGGTGCTCATTGACTTTGAGTGGTCGACTCTGGATAATTATCAACCAGCGCCGCCCCTAAATAACTACATCACAGAAGCGAACAAACTCCTGCACATGTGTTGCTTATACTAAAGAAATCGCGACATGGTTCGTAGGAAGTTGTCGTCACCGGAGAAACGAGACTCTCGGCCACCCCAGCATGAAGTAACAAATATATTAGCCTGATTAGGATGCAGAACACTAAAGCCTATTTAATTAAGTGATTAAGATATCTCCTGACGCACAACCATATTAACGCTCTACTGATACTTGTTGAACTGCCTAACGAGGCAATCTAGTGAGAGCTTTGTTACTCCTACATCCCCTTAATCACGTTAGGCAAGAGCTCCTTGTTGAATTCCCACAAGATGGTCGAAAATGGGGCGGCAAAGGCGCCACCAGTGTACCACGTGGAGCGGTGACCCTGGAGAGCGAGCTGCTCCTGAATCAAGCCGGTCTTGAGGACTTCCGCGGTCAGGCGAGGGTGCATCTTGCCGTGATCAGCAAAGTAAGAGAAGGTAAGGGTGCCATCAGTCTTGGGAATGGTGCCAGCCACAATCATATTGTCAATAGACTGGGCGATGAGAGCCTTCATGCGCTCTGCATCATAGTCCTCAGTTCCAACGGCTGTGAAGTGGAACAAGTCCTCCGTGCCGCCAATGTAGGTCAAGAAGCCGAGCTGGGGGTAGACAGGGAAGACAGTGTAGTTGGTGGACCCAGGTGCTGCAGAGCGGTCGTTGTAAGATGTGTTGACCTGCAGAGACGGGTGGCGGAGGATGCCTGCATAGAGGGTGGAGAACTGGAACTGGCTGAAGACGGCCTTTTCGCTGGCGTCAATATCAAACGGTAGCAGGTTCTCCGGCGTAGGCTGGATGGCCATCAGCAAGCGTTTGGCCTCGATGCACGTGACCTCTCCCGTGACCGTGTTGATCGTCTTCAGCGTGACGTTAGTGTCTGACCGAGTTGACTCTGTCACCAAGGTCGAGTACAGCACGTCGCTTCCCAAAAAGTTCTGCACGCTCTCGTATAAGTCCCACAGGCGGCCAGAAGCCGGAACAGCGGCAGCAGCTGTGCCTAGCAGGGCCTTGGCCTCGGGCGTCGTCGACGCCTGCATCACCCACATTGTCGACACGTTCATGGTATCGCCCAGACCCTGATCGGTCGAGTCCCAGAGCTGCGGCACTGCAGCCTCGATTCCGTACTTAACAACAAACTCGCCGAACGGCATGGACAAATCCTCTGGGATGGAGCTTGCGTTGGGAAAGTTGTCATATCCCGGCAGCAGCATGTCTTGGTACTTCTCCAACAGGTTCAGATACACGCCCAGGGCCGCATACTCGTCCGTGGACGAGGGCGCGGCATAGTTGGGCACCGGAAGACCTGTTTTGAAGTCGATGAATGCATTCGTGTTGGTCGTGAACTTCATTGACCCGCTCGTCGACACGTTCATACGGGTCGGAAAGTCGTAGGCGCTCTCATACTGCATCCACGCCTGCACACCGATATTAAGCGTCTCATTGGAGACTGGATCCGTATAGTATTTGGTGTGGCCGCCCTTGGGAAAGAGTTAGCCAAGAACAACAACGGGCCAGGAATAGGGACCAAAGGCGCAAATAACATACCAACAGGCTGTCCTTCTCCACCAAAACAACACTCATTCCATTGTCGCGCAGCCACACGGCCGCATGGGAACCGGACGCACCGCCACCGACTACAACCACATCGCGGGAGATCGTCTGATCGCTCCCGCAGGAGCTCGAAGTCACGCTGCCAATGAAAAACGTGGCAATGAGGCTCACGCCTGCAGACTTTTTTAAGCTATACATGACGGTGGGAATTGAGAGCTAGGAATGGGAGGTCTCCTTTGTGAATGCCGAAATTTGCTGCAAGGGATGAATGGTCGGGCGACTGGCAATAGGAGTGCGGCCGACTGCCCAGTGCCATCCTTTTAAGGACGACTGCATCCTTTATCACACTTCTGCTCGAGTCGGATGGAAGTGCGGACAAGGGCCAGAGAAATTAGCACGTCTCGTCCAAAGCCGATGTAGAATGTAGCATCAATCGAGTGAGCTAAAGACGTTCATGTGTTGAGTTCCACCTTGTCGGCGCCGATTGCTACCGTACGTCTTGCGGTGGAGACCTTCTCGGAGTTGATTGACATTATGTGGATACGATACTACATCGTATATGCATAGCAGCAGGCTGCAAGTCCATTCCAAGATCCTATGGAGTTAGGTGCTGCTTTGTATTGCTTTCAGCTTCTTCCAAATAAGGATTAGGTCGTGATCTGCGCCCTGAACAGAGTTGCAGTCGCTGTGGGACTCTATTTCTACCGCAGTTTCCGCAGTTTCAAAATCCAGCTAACCCTGCGCGACAGAAGGTGTACAAATTACGATGTACACGAAAAAAAAACAGATTACAGCTTGACAAATTTATGACCGCAATGGCAATTCGCGATTTAAGGGCAAGCATCACATGTTTCTTCTAGAATATGCGCTTCCAGGTACTAGAATCATGCAGCTGCCGGATTCTAGGCAAAGGGCGCTTAAAACCAGATTTCGTGCATTGTACTCCGTACATCGTACGATGTATTCGAATAGGGGGAAAAACACAACTACTCCGTACTTTCTATACTACAAATTGTTGTGCCGAGCCACTTGACCTCGGGCGAGTTGGTTTCGGGAATTGTTCATAAAACTACTCCGGATATCCTTGCACGATAGCCTGGTATCGCTGCTGTTCTTTTTACTTTTTCGGCATCAGTGCATTGAATAGTATCAGTGCACTCCAAGCGTACAGTGTACTATTTACATATGTCCTTGTGTTGTCTGCACGACCGGGGCCTCGAAGCTTTCTAGCGTGATCATGGTACTGCGTCGTAAGTTGAAACTCGTGCAGTTTGTACTTCATCTACTAAATATGTATGGAGCCGACGTCCCCTTAAAGAACCGAACTCGTGGCGGAATCTGCTTAAAACTAGCCGGGTCCGACGAATAAGTCCACTGCGCAATTCTTCGCTTATTTTGACGGCGATGGGCCGATATGGATTCAGTTGATTACGCCAATGCGAGTAATGCGGGTAGGATAGTTGGCATCGTTGGTTTTTTCTTTTTTGTCGCATTTACTTTCGTGGCCCTGCGCGTCTATGTTCGCGTGGTAATAGTTAAGGCTTTTGGCCATGACGACGTCCTCATCCTGCTTGTCATTGTGAGTATTTGCCCAGTTCTCAAAAAGAGAGCGAGCCGAGAACGTGCTGACTTCGGCGGGGATGATCTATGCAGATTCTCGCTCTTGTTTCATGGATCTGCCTGGTCTTGCAGATGCCTTACGGTCTCGGGCACCATGGCACAACGATCACCGTCGAAAATCGAACAAAGTTCGAGCACATATCATTTTGGAAAACTGTCCTGTCGGACGGCTTTGCCCTTGGACTTCTGAGAATATCCTTGGCATTTAGCTTGCTGCGGCTCAATCACGACTTGAAGTGGTACAGGTGGTCACTTTATGGACTCATCGGTACGATCCCTAGTTTTAAGCGTGAGGGTTCTTGCAAGACTAACAGGGCGGTTACTACGGCAGTATTTGTCATTTTGTACACCTTACAGGCGGTCATCTGGCTGTTCGTCTACTGCACGCCATATTCGGGTTGGTGGGAATTCCAGTGGATAGATCCATATGATCCTAGGTGTCATGCATTCACCATCTTTATCGATCTCACATACTGGAACATTTGTAAGATCTCCTTCTTCGGTGGCTGAGCAACCCGATGTTAACAGTCCTAGCCTGCAACATCGTAACAGATGTGTGCCTGGGAGCATTGCCCATTCCAGTTATCTGGACACTGAAGATGCCACTACGGTTACGACTTTATGTCATCAGTATTCTAAACCTGGGATACTGGTAAGATGTTCCTCATTTTGAAATAGGAACAACATCTATTCTAACTGACGAAATAGTGCCGTCCTGATGGGCATTTTGAAAGCTGTGTTCATGTTGATGACTGCCGGCTCGCCTGATATTACGTTTAATTACTGGGTTCATTTCTGGCAAAAGTAAGGTTGAAGAAAGCACATGCGGCAATATTAGGACGGGCTCCTGTGCTAACACGGTGGTCTTAGTCTCCAGCTCAATATCGGCATAATAGCTACTTGCGCGTCTTTTTTAAAGCCTGTAGTTGGACGCATGCTGAAGCTCAACAGCTCTGCCAATCACACCTCTTACGGCCACAGCGGTCGCCTTGGGGCGGGCGGAGCAAGAAGCACCAGCAATGCGTATGCAAATGGTAGAAGCCGAGCGGGCAACTTGGAAAGCTGTTCCCATGACGAGTTTGAGCTGCACACAAGAAAAGAGTTTCTTGCAAGGGACTCGGAAATCTCACCTGGAGAAACGAGGGTCGAAGGGGGACCGATCCATCACGCTTCAGAGGATGAAAGATTGAGCGATGCCGGAAACATTTTTGGGGTCACGTCCGACACGAACAGCGAGGAGATTATGCTGCAAAGGTCCGAGCCAGCGGCTCATAGCATTGTTCTTACCCGAGACGTCACTGTACAGTACACTGTCAAGTGATCGGTCCAGGTTGTTGCAAGCGGGGGAGGAAAGAGGGGGTTTTTACTACCTAGCGTAGCCGCTTTTACAATGGTCTATGACAAGATGAAGCCACAGCTTACAAGGTCTTTTAGACGCAACTACTAAATGTCTTAGGGAAGCCGGTATACATAGTGTGCTAGTAAGGAAACCCCCTGGCAGTAAGTCAGCAAGAAGGCGGACGTAGCGGTGGTGGGTATTTGAACAGTACCTGGCAACAAGGACATAACAGCAGCAATAAAGGATACCACTTACAGTATGTATGTAGCATTAAGACAATCGTTCCATCATATGTGATGCGAGCTATATACCAAAAATCTCTTCTTATCTTTTGAAATCAATATTTTTCAGATGACAGAGATCTTTAGCCATTTTTTGTGCGTTTGTTAAGAGGAAGTGACGAATTAGGTACAAGAAAGTTTAGGAGGTTCTATTGCTTCGAACTCGGTTTCTGTTATTCGTAATTGTCGCTTTTTCTGTAATATATCTTCGCGACCAGACTAATAGATACTAATTGTGGGTCAATTTTTCCTCCCGTAACATGAACATATTATACCTTAAACCTCCGAGATTAGCGAAAACAATAGGCAATGTTGCTTATTACGTATAAGTATTAATCGTTGATAATACAAGGTACATCGGTAGGTAGAAATCATTAGTTTGTTAGGGAAACTATTAAGCAAAGAAGAAGAGAAGAGGTAAGAAAACGGCAAGGGAAGTAAATACGGAGTAAAGGGCAAGCAAAGTGTGAAGGTTAAAGGAGGCTATACGTAGCGGTCATATAACGTGATGCACTGTGAGGAGCAGGAGGCTGAATAGGGTCTAGTGTGGGCGAAAGAGTGTTGTGTACTTAGGAAGAAATAGATACATCGCGACCCTTCTGGGGATCCGTATTGATACTAGTGTCAGGCCCCGCTTTTGTGCCTTCTGACCAATTACAGGCCAGTACGGCCAAATGGGGCGGAAGGGCCACAGTGTGGCGGATTCCAATGCTTGACACAAAGGCAGTAAAGTGAAAGCTAGACTGTGGTTACGTGACCAAGATCGCGGTATTGGGTTTAGGCAAAGCCTTAGTGTAGGAAGTGCATAACTGTGTCGAACGGACTGGGCCAATATAGGAGGGGCGTGCACAGTTGTGCCATGTGATGGAAGAATACATGTACTGTGTGGCGCAGAGCGCTATTTAGTATGGGATTTGATGCACGTCGGCATAGCTCGGAAATTCGGAGTACACCCATAATTTGGCAGTTCGAGTATGCACTGAGGCAGTGAAAAGTCTGCACGTGACCCACATGCATAACTCAACGTCCCTTAATTGCGCCGAAAAACTTGCGATCACATGACCAAAATGTCTCCACTTTTGTCTGCCAAGATGGCACCTATTAAACAACATTCTGTCAGTGACATGTAAATTTCGAGAAAAACACCAGTCGTATACCTTAGCTGCACACTGTCGGTGAATAGTAGCAGCGTTATGCAAGGTGCCATTTGCATCCGGTAGAAAAGGGTGCCTGTTGAAATGCCGACTAAAGATCTTAAGAAGGGTGTTTTTGTCTTCTTTTAAGGAAACCTTAAGTCTCCCCTTCTTGTCTAGAGACTTAGTCCGTGCTGTACAGCTGCAAGTATTATACCGATGTGGCCTATCTGGGCGCCGAATTGGCAAGGAGCCCTAGCATATCTCTAAATAAGGTACTAGTTGCTGGGCTTCTTCTAGGTGGTACTTGCTTTAAGTGTTAGTCTTTGCCGATCTATTAATTTTCGTTTTAATAGCTCTTTTAGCGTGCTAAAAACATAGCTGAATTGTTGCCTTATTAAATGTGCTTTAAATAGTAGATATCTTAGATTAATCCTTATTATAGCTAAAGAAGATAGGCTGTATACTATAGCCTTTTAGCGTAGCTAAAAAGGCTTTAAGAATAGCTATAATAGCTCTAGGTTTAGCTTCTTTTTTACCTTTTTTAAAGGGCAAAGTCTAAAGAAAAAGATACGCTAATAGCATACCTATTCTATTAACTTTAACTAACATAGCAAACAAATCTATTGCCACGTTATTTGTGCTAAATGTTAAATCTGTTAAGGCTTCTTTTACGCTTTAGGCTAGCATTTTAATAGTTTTATTAATAAACAATGCTAGGCCTTAACAATTACTATAAGTATATTTAAAAGATTTAATAGCAGCTAGGTACTTAAGAAGAAGCTTCTATGCAAAGATATACTAGTCTTTATCATAGTTCTATAAACGTTTGTTTGCTTTCTGCTAGCAATAATAAATCTATGCTTATATAATAGTTTAGAAGCTAGAAATCTACTAAGATTAAAAGTTATAGTAAATCTCTAAAGGCGTGCAAGAGGCGGTCTAGCTTTTAATAAACTCTATCGCTTTTAGCGTTAATTTAATATTAACGTAGGATAGATAGTGCTTATGCTAAAAAGAAGCATTTAAAGTAGAGTTGTTAAAGTCTACTAAAAACCCAAATCTGCTATTATATGTATATCTCTTTCTTTTCCGGCTATCTTGTTGTGCTTCTTAGATTTAACGGTCGAGTGCAGCATCCTAGGCACAGCGGAACCGAAAGGAGACTATACTAGCATTGCTGTATTTACTTTTGTGCAGAAGCCTATACCCGCCTATCTTCTAAAGCAGATCTGCTAGATCTGTAATCACAGTTTGATTTGTCTTCGAATCCGGATTAGAGTTGTTAAAAGATATAGGCAGATTAATAAGTCGAAAGGTATAGTCGGCAGAATAGTTAATAGAGTCCTCTTGCTTTGTATTAGTATATATTTACAGGTAAAACATTAACAAAACGTACATTATCCTGCTAGTCTTTAACCTTTATAAGAAAGTCTTCCTAATCGGTAAAAGCCACAGCCTATACACTAGCCTTTCTTTTTGTGCTATGCTTAAGGCAGGTTTTTTTCAAGCTGCCGCTTAAACTAGCACCAAATTCGGAAGCAAGAAACTCTTTCCAGCACTTAAAGCAAAAGCTCACGCCTAAAGACGTAGGGCTAGGTAGCGTAATAGCAGGATCGTCTATATAATAGTATTAGAGAGGCCCTAGTAAAGCAAGAAAAGGCTGTACTTACTATTAGACATTTTGGCATACTAGTAAAACGCAATTGGTGTGCGCCGGCGCTGTTGTGCAGGGTGGTGCAGGGTTAGGGTGGTGCAGGGTGAATAAAGATGATTAGGGGGGGGCTGAAAAAAAAAAACGGGGGCGCGAACGCGCGATAAAAGTAAACAAAACAAAATATTTGTCAGAAATGTCACGTTTCTAGTCATGTGATCGCAAATTTTTCGGCGCAATTAACGAACGATGCATAACTCTGGGAAGAAAAGCATGAGATTTTCTGAAAGGAAGCTAAAGCTAGTGGATGCACTGCGGCAGTGAAAAGTCTGCACAGAGACCCACATGGTCACGTGCAACAATAACTTAATAAGCCGTGCAGCAAGGTGAATGAATCTGACCAAGCCGAATACGACAGAAATCGAAAGAGTGTCGCGTATACGGAGTACTTAGTAATTTCAGGGACCCCCACACATCCCAGTTAACACTCCACATCTTCACACCCCTGCACTTCTCTACACCTACAGGCCCCGATTGATCAGACCTTACGGAGTACTCCGTATGCCATAATCCACAGGCTTTACTTCGGTATTTGTTGAAAGCTATAGCAAATATAGAAGAGCTTCTGATCTTCAGTATAAGAGGCATGCTTCTCAGCTGTTGCTGTTTGTCCTTTATATCTTCGGTCTGTAAGCGAATTTCTTGCAAAGTGCGAAACCAAGTTTTCAAGTCTGAACTTATCTGTTAATATAATGGATGTGCTGTAGCTTCTCAATCTCGAGATCCAAAAAACCAAGCATCTTGGGAAGTTTGTCAAAGGTATACACGGCTTTTCAGAGCTCACCAAGTCTAAGCAGTACTGACGTCGGTAAAAGTAGCATGGGACCCGGCACTGATGGGTACATAACCACCCAACTCTAGATGAAATTATTTTCTTACTCGGCAGACTCGTTGGCTGTATTACTTGTGCATATATCTACGTCGTACGGAGTACAGAGGAGGAGAGAGCGTAACTATCGCGGCAGGGGTGAAAACTCTGTTGGGTGGGTCCATAATCGACCAATCAGGGACCACCCCTTTACCAATGTGCTTACCTAAGAATATTTCCATCCTGCGCCACAAGTCTTTACATCTAGCCCATTTTGACCTGGTCCATTTGACAACTCGACAGTCGAGGTCTCTTTAGCGTGGGATAGAAAGGTACGGAGCACATATGTCCTGTAGGGTACGACGCCTACACACAACTAAAACAATACACATGCTTACTAGACACCCAAAATTTAATCAGACCATCTATTAAGCAGTGCACGCTTTGCTGCTCTCGCAGCAGTGCAAGAAATAAAAATACCTTACAAACAACCTATTTTTCACCGATTTCAATACTCGTCTCCTCGCTGCCCGTCTCAAACGAGACAGGAACCGTAAAGTTCTTGCGCGAGAAGGCCAGCCAGTTAATACCGCTAAGTGCCAGGATGCCAGCGAAGACGACGATGGCCCAATTCATCGTCGCGTTGGTATACGGGATGTAGGAGGGGAAACACAGCCAGACAAAGACGAAGAAGATCCAGGTGACGGAGATGATGTTGAGGGCGGTACCGGCAGCGCCGAGGTTAAAGTAGTGCTTGGCGGCAAACGCGCTCCGACGGCCTAGCAGTGAACAGCAGATCGGAATGGCGTAGGACATAAAGATGCAGATGATAGCGCCGCCGAGGATTGCATTTAGAGCAAGGTTAGAGCCGAGCTCAAGCACGCCAATGAGGGCACAGGCCACGGTGGCAAAGATGATGGAGTTGTACGGAAGCTGGCTCTTCTCCTCGATACGGCTCATAAGACTAGGGAAGGGCGTGCCGTTTTCGCGCGAAAGAGACCACCATACACGGCTCCACGTTGTCAGCATCGTAAAGGAGGCGCACGTAAAGGTGACGATGAAGATGATCATGCAAATGATGGTCAGGGCGCGCGAGTTGAGCGAATCGACCATCAGCTGTGCGATCGGCTGGCCGCCCACCGGTGCCAGCAGGTTGGCCGTATTCGTGATGCAGAACATGTAGACCAAGATCATGGGCAGCCCGCTGAGTCCGCTGGCGAGCGCACTGAGCATCATCACCTGCGGGACCGCACGTTCCGGATTGGGCACTTCCTCGGCCATGTGGGCCGCCGAGTCGAAACCGTTGACGGCTGTAAGGCCGGGCAGTAGTCCGAGAAAGAAGACGACCCCGTTGGACGACCAGCCGGTCAAGTTGACAATGTCGACAAACACGTACTTATCACTCTCCTTGGGATATGCCCGGGCCAGCAGGGCAACCATAACAAAGAGCGCACCCGCATTGATGTAGACGACAAATCCTTTAAGCATGTATGGATACCAGCTGAAGAGCGGGCCGTTGATTAGCAGGCTGAGAAGGCCGATGGCCAGATACAGCACGTAAAAGTGCCACAGGTGTGTCTCAAAGGCACTGTGGCAGATCTGCACCAGCGCCCAGATCAGCTGCGATGTGATGAGAAAGGTCGCTGCCGTCCAAAAAAAGTACCCGGCCGCCGTCAGCCAGCCGACGGTGTAGCTCAGTCCCCGGGCGTATTTTCTGGGCGCCAGCACGGCTGTCCAGTGGACTTGACCTGATAGGTGACAATGTCAGACACGGGGTATCGAACAGTAAAGGGGGACGAAAGGTCTTCACCACAGGGTTGATGACTAACCGGACGAGTGCGGCAAGACAGCGGCCATCTCGGCCAACGAGGCACAGACGCAGAGATCCATGATGACAGACAGGATGTAACCAAAGAAGAAGACGGGGCTACCACCGACGCCGATGCTGACAGAGAGGTACGTGCCTATGGTGATGGGCGTCGACGTGAGCGAGAAAGATATGCCTAGCGTGCTCCATAGGTTGAAGTTCTTCTTGACCTGAGTGTTCTGGACGTCGCCTGTGCCCACATCGACCACGGTCGTGGCAAGTGATCCGACTTGCTTATCTATGGTCTTTTCGTCCAGTTGGGAAGACATGGCGGCAGCTGGGCAAAGGAGAGGAGATGAAGTTACACGACTGATGGCTCATCTACCAGAAAGCATCGACAACGGCCATGGGTACCCGCCAAGAGATATACGAGATGGTGGAAGCCCATAATCCACGTAGAGCATTGCCTATCTGGCTGTCTGACCATCGGCCAGCTCTGACTGGTCTCGAAGGATCGGAACAGGGATGTGGTAAGGATGGGAAAGAGACAGCGAAAGATACAGAGACCAGATCCACATTTAGCGTGACAAAATCTCTGAGGAACTCCGTACAGCCTTCCTTATCTGTGCCTTACGCCTCTACATATCTGGAGGCAAATTCCAACAGTAGCACTTTTTTAGTCGGTACTCTGTAGATCCCTGCTTATCCTGATTTTTGTATCAATAATACGAGTTTATAGATTGCAAAGACGCGTCGTGAAATTCGATAATATGCACATTGATTGTGGAAGATCGCTATGTGTAAGGCACGGGATAAAAATCACAGATGTGTAAAAATAAGCGGAGCAACGACTAAGTTAACATAAAAGACGTAGATACACCCAATGGCATGTGCAGTAAGTATCCTAGAACATCGGGAGGCACCATGAATTGAACAATGCACAATCAATTGAAAATGAGACTATGTACGAAAGACAACTAAAGATTATAGAGCAAGTAAATAAAATAAAGCAAAGGGCGACCAACAGCAAACGTGAAGACGTGTCTCATAGCGCGATGCTATCCCCGCACAGGATGTACCGCCTCAGTCCAGCTCCTGGCCCATTCACAGGCCAATGTAGTCGGCAATCTCCTTGTAGTCGGACTGCCACAGGCCGGGCGAGCCCTTGGGGAACTGGGAGCGGAAGCCAATCATGCGCTGGGCCCGGGTGGACATCTGTTTGACCGTCTTTAGGTCGACGAGGAAGGGGTAGGCCTCTTCGGGCGTGAGGAAGCTGGGCTGGAAGGTGAAGGCAAGGCCGCGGCGGCGCCGATCAGCAGTGACGTTGGCGCCGCCACCGTGGACGACCTTGCCACAGATGAAGAGCACGTCGCCGGCGTCCATCTCGGCGGGAATGGTCTGGTCCAGGGTACCGCGATCGTTGAAGTCGGGCCAGTGGTTGCTCTTGGGAATCACCCGCGTGGCCCCGTTCGCCTCCGTGAAGTCGGACAGGGCGATGAGGAAGTTGATCATGGCCTCGGGCCCGTTGGGGCCCATGTCGACGTACGGCCGTGTGTTCTCGAGGTCACGGTGCAGGATTTGCGCCTTATTTCCGGGTCCGATCTCAATGACCTGTGCCGTCGTCATCCAGTACGAGCCCGATTCCTCTTCGAACACGGTCGTGGCCAGGTCGTGCACCAGGTCCATATCGAGGATCTGCTCGCGGAAAGTCTTGCTGTGCGTGACCAGGTTGGTGAGCCGCTTGGTCTCGTTACCGTGGAAGTCGGAGATGAACTGATTGTCCTTGTACATGGACCCTGGCACCACCTGTGCCATGGCCGGCTCGAGCTCGCTGTTGAAGTCGCGCACCTGCTCGGGCGTTAGGAAGCCCTTGATGATCACGCCGCCATCCTCGCGGACGATCTCGAGGATTCGCTCGACACCGACGTCGGCCTTGACGCGCTGCAGCTCGACCTTGGAGATGGCAGAAGGCATCGTGGAAGTTTCAGAGTGTGGGATAGTGTTGGGAAGAATAGGAGAATTGGATCAATTTTTTGCGATCAGAGACGGCAATGCAAAGACTATTCGCTGGCGGCGAATTGACTGGAGGGAACTGCAGAATCGTGGTCAAGAAATCAAAAGGTCAGGGGACTAGAGGCCAAATATGGCTCCAGATCGCTAGACTTTTGCCTCCCGGCCAGCCACTCTCGCTATCTCTTGCCAGCCGTACCACCGACGGATTGCAGGGAAGTCGAGCAGTCGTACGAACATGACCTAATGGGAGGATGGCGCACCAAGACAGAGCTCGCTGTCTCCTGCCTCTAGCCAGCTGTTGCGAATTCAGCTGACGCTAAGCCAGGTTCCGCACCCCGCCGACTTTGCGGGGCTGATACTCATGAAAGAAAAGCATCGGATTTTCTGAAAAGAAGCTAAAGCTAGTGGATGCACTGCGGCAGTGAAAAGTCTGCACAGTGACCCACAAGGTCACGTGCAACAGATACTCGCAGTCTCCTGCTCCACTACGGGGACGGTATCATTGCCGCTGCGGTCTTATAATCTGGGAGCCCGCGGCTCCTTGTGGAGGAGATGGACCATACCGAAACGCATTCGATCCTTGAGTTCTGATATTCACCCAGCCTTTTTTACTATTTTCATCAAACTTCGCATCTCTGTCCAGTCATGTCCCAGACCATTGTTGCTCCTGTCCAGGCTCTCACCATCACAGCCGAGCCTGAGCTGTCAGCCGTGCCGGAGGTGCCTGTGTTTAACAATGCCACGGCTACGGTTGACGAGGTTATCCAGGGCCTGATCATGGCTGGCGGTGTCGTGATCAAAAATGCCGTCACGGCTGAGGACCTGGCTGCCATCGAGAAAGACACTCGGCCCTTTCTCGATGCCGACACGGAGTGGAATGGCGAGTTCTTCCCCAAGGAGACCCGCCGGGTCAATGGGCTGGCCGAGAAGTCGGCCGTGTTCATGAACAGCATCGTGCGCAACAAGCTGTATCAGGAGGTCTGCAAGACTCTGCTCTCCAGCAGCCACCGCAGCTGGCTGGGCGACGAGCAGATCACCAGCGTGTCTACACCACAGCTCAACAACACCATCATCTTCTCCATCGGCCCCGGTGCCCGTGCCCAAGGCTTACACCGTGACGACATGATCCACCACAATGTCACCCACAGCATGGAGCCCAAGGACTACAAGATCGGCCAGGACACCGGCATCGGCTTCTTTGTCGGCGCCAAGAAGACGACCAAGCAGAACGGCGCCACTCGCTTCATCCCTGGCTCGCATCTTTGGGACACCGACCGGCGGCCGCAGGAGAGCCAGGCCGTCTTTGCCGAGCTCAACCCCGGCGACGGCTTCATCATGCTGGCGTCCTGTCTGCACGGCGGTTCGGCCAACACGACCACAGACGAAGAGCGCCTGGTTTACAGCTGCTTCATGACCAAGGGCTTTCTGCGCCAGGTTCGTACTCTTTCTCGATGTCTGCTGCATTTCGCCCGATTCTGCCTATTGTCGTCTAATTGCTGCTCTAGGAGGAGAACCAGTACATAAACAACAGCCGCGAGAAGCTCAAGACACTGTACGCAGAGGACATGAACATGCTGAAGCTGATCGGTTATGATCTCAGCGCTCCTTTCCTTGGTTGGGTAGAGGGCGGCCATCCTCTGCGGAAATTGTACCCAGAGTACGCTGGGAACGAGGACATGTACTAAACTTGAAGCCGGGACGATTGTACGAAGTAAAATGACATCTATAGGAGGAGGAAGAGACACGGAAAGCTCCATATATTCTTTCTCTGAAAGAAATCTATCTAACTTTATATTCTCATCCAATATATCCAGTGACAGTCCTGTAAAAACCTCTAGCGCAAAGTTGACCCCCTGTTTTAAGTTTCTCCTGTTCTATCTTTGTTATCCAGCAGTAACCCCCGTTTGCTTAATAAGTGATTCATGCACATCCAACGTCTCTTCTTTCCCACATATCTATTTTCCCATTTCCACGCATCATTACGTAAGCAGTAAATCCAAGCCCAGGTCTGTCATTACCTGTTGCCAGCTCTCGTTGGCTTGGTCTTCTCTCGACTGATTCCTCCGCCTCCTCCAGACCTCGGAGAGGACGAGATAGGCGGAAGAGATGCTCCAGATGCCGTACTTCTGACCCTTGTCAAAGTACCAGCCAAACCGTTTCTGCAAAACAGGATCATCGGCCTCACAGGCGACGACAAACACTGGCCATGTGAGGCCAGCAACGTTCGTGTTTGTCTCGAGGCTAGCGATGGCCTCAAGGTGGTCCAGAGCGCAGCGGACGAGGTTCTGGATAGCGTGCGGAGTGGCACGAAACAGCACGCGCTCGTAGTGGATGCGGCACGCGAAGTAGAAGACGTAGGCGTGATGGCGCACGAAGCGATGCTCGGTGTCATCAGCGTTGTCGAGTGCGCTGATGCGCAGAGCACGCGGATCATTGAGCAAGATCTTGACCCGCAGGTTTTCGAGCTCCTGCTGGGATGGTGAGACAGAGCGGGCGCCGAGCCGGTCAATGTGGACGATGGCCTCGAAAATGGGCTGAGTGATGCCGTAAAGGCTGTCGAGCTGGTAGTCGTGGTAGAGGGCGGTACAGGAGAGGCCAAAAATACTGTTGTAGGTGTAGTCGTGACCATGGCTGGCGCCATCGGAACCATCAGCGGTGTCGAGCAGGTCGGACATGTTGGCCGACGTTCCGATAGCCTCGAGGATGAGGAAGATATGGTAGAGAGTGCAGGCGGCGTGCTGGGTGCGCCAAGGGGCCTTTACGGACGAGAGCAGCCACTGGCGGCCGAGGCGGATGTGCGAGCGCCAAGCAGTCGAGTTTCCGGTGATGCAGTTGGTAGTGATGAGGAGTATGATAGTGGCAAGAATTGCCTCGGGATTGGAGGTATGGTCGAAGCCAAGGCTGAGGCTGCTGAGGCTGCGCTGCAAATGGGCGAGGCTGACCTGGTGATGACTCATGCCGAGGCTGTTGTAGGCGCCGCTGTTGGTGATGGACTGCTGCTGGGCGCAGTTGAAAGCGGCCATGGCGTAGATGCCGTGAAGCAGGGCCGTGTGCTCATCGGAAGGGAAAAGCTGGCTCTGCGCAACGAGGGCCATGGGCACGAAGATGGAGCGGAACGGGTTGTCGCGCCGGGGGATCGAGACCATGATGCTGCTCGTGTGGGCAATCCAGTAGTCCAGCAGACGACTTTCCTTGGTCGGACGAGGCGACAGACAGAGCTCGAGTGTGGCCGTGTTGTCGTTGGGAATCAGGCGCTGGTCGTCTTGGGATGTCGATGTCGGCGTGGTCACCCACCACTGTTCGAGTGACAGGTTGTAGATACTGTGAAGATCATTTGGGACGTGGCCGTGCAGGTTACCGAAGTGGTGGGTGTCGTGCATGTTGTAGATGTCGTCGAGCTCGCCGAGCTCGTTGAGATGGCCGAGATTGTGAAAGTCGAGGTCGTGGACGGCGAGCACGTCGTCCAGCGAGGCTAACGGCAGAGGCGAGGGTACCGGTGGCGTGACCATCAAGACGGTGAACAAGCGTGCGTGGGGGTGTGGATGGGCCTGGGCGTGAGCATAGGGATCCAGAGGATAATGGCCCCGATCCTCTGGCAGGGCTGCGATGACGGCGTCCAAGTCCGCATCTCTGAGCGCAGGGACCTCCGTATGGTCCCCAGTTTCGTAACCATAGGCCCACGGAAGCGGCCGTCGCTCGCTCCGCAGGCCCGACTCGGCTCTTTTATCGCGGTCTTCCCAGATGAGCCGTACGCCGTAGCCGGCACACATCCGTTTGGCCTTTACGCAGCGCTGGCAGGCCGGCCGCTGCTCGTCGCACTTGACGCCGCGTGCCCGACACGTAAAGCATCCACTAAAGGTCATCGACCGCCGCGTCGGCCGCTTCTGTTTCTGTTTTCCCTTCTGCATCGGTGCCATACTTCAGTCCTCTTGGTTGTCGTGAAAGAGAGGAACCGGCGGAGATGTTTGACGAAGGAAGGACCCACCCGACGTGAATAAAGCCTCGCTGTCTCCTTCCTCTTAACAATTTGCTATCTAAACGAGATGACAGATCCACACCAGCCAATCAGATGGCCACAATAGTCGCCCACGGCTCGTCCCTCATTGGTTAGCCTTGTCACTTATGTCTTGTAGTTTGTAAGTCACGGGTCCATCTCCACGGCAGCCGCCTGATACCATAAGGTACTTTGTACACCGTACGGAGTAGATAACTCGGGAGGTGTCTTATATTAACATAGTCTTAGGGCAATTAACATAAAACCAAACGCACAGCAATTACCATCGCAAGTCCTCTATAGTGTGCCCTCTCCTCCTAGTTAATCTGCACCCCGGCCATGTAAATTGCTTCGACGGCCTTTAAACCTGTGATAACCTGCAGATGCCTTCCCGCCCTAACTTGCCAGCTTACATTACTACCCTTAACTGTTCCAGCCTAGGCTTCCACTTTAGCCGTCTTCCCTGAATATGCCAATTTTCGCCTATCGTGTGGTTAGGTACTCCGTGCTCCGTACTTCCGAGATAAGCCAACGTGTACAGACCCTTACTAAATAGGCGGATCTAGGGCACTACATGCCCCAGAGTACATGAGTACATGAATCTTCCCATCCTGAGCCACAATACGTTACTTCCAGCCCATTTCGGCCTGATTGATTCAACAGCATCTCTTATACGCGGCCCGTGCCTTAGCTGTTGCCTGACTTATGAAGTAGTCAGTTTTATTTCGCTCATATAAGGTGTATCATTTCCCCCGTCTCATGCACGATGTACGGAGTACCGTATGGTACAAATAGTGGCCAGATGCCACTCCGATTGTCCTTGTCTGTTCGCCCTATCTTAGGCCTTTCCTGTGTCTTTCCCTTGTCTTGTCGTGTCAAATTATGGGTGCCCAGTGAGCTTGTGTGTATTGTTATGGTTGGTTACTTCCGAGATATGCCGACGTGCATGAGATCCCATACTAGATAGCGCCCTGCGCCACACAGTACATGTATTCTTCCATTACACGGAACGACCGCGTACGCCCCTCCCATGTCGCTCTTGATGTATTCCTCTTGGTCTTCTGTTCTCGGCACCACTTTCTACTCGCTACTTCACCCTTCTGTCCTTCTCCCATTCACCCCCCGTTTTCAACTGTCAACTCAATAGCTTCCAAATCCCTGGGCGCTCGTAATGCCATCGTCACTGGTGCATCTCGAGGCCTTGACGCCGGTATTGCGCTCCAGCTAGCCAAGCGTGGCGCCAACGTTCTTCTGACTTACAATGCCTCGAGCACGCAGGCAGGCTCTAGCTACAACGCTGCACGCCGACCATGACATCGATACCTTTGCTGTGCGGGCTGACGGCGCCGACTGCGACTCGCCAAAGCGCATCGTCGATGCTGCCGTCAAGCGCTGGGGCCACATTGACATCATTATCAACAATGCCGGTACCTGCGACGACAGCCTGCTGGCTGACCTCGCCCACGATCTGTGGGACAAAATCATGGACTGCAACCTGCGTTTTCCTGTCTTCCTCATCAAGGAGGCCATCCCATACTTTGGCACGGCCCTGCGCATCGTCAACATTTCCAGCGTGCTCGCTCGCATGGGCAGCGCCTCCACGACCGCTTGCTTGGCTAGCAAGGCTGCTCTCGAGGGCGTCACCCGTGTCTTGGCCACGGAGCTGAACCAGAAGTACAACGTCGCCATCAATTGCGTCAATCCCGACCCTGTCGCCACCGACATGTGGCTGCGCGACACCAGCCCTCCGTGCCGAGGTAGATGACATGGCGAAGAATACTCCAGCTGCGGCTCACTTCGCCATCCCCGATGACATCGCTCAGATCGTCGCCTTCCTGTCTAAGAAGGCTAGCCGCTGGCCCACATGAAACACCGTCAATGCAAACGGTGGCCTTGATTTTGTGTAGAGGATAGTTCACGTTCATGTCTTACACGTCACGTCAATAGATTAAAAAATTAGATGAGAAATTTTCGAAAAGAAGTGATATGTGCTCAGCATTGCATTGTGCCTAGGGTATTTCGACTTGTAACGGTACAGGGTCCTCGTTGCTCGGTGCTTGGTCTCCATGAATTCTTCGTAGTCGAAACAAGTTCATATAAACGACGGGGTAGGCAGCATATCTACTTCTCGCTGCTCGGTTCTGGTGCCAATGATATGTCAGAGATTGCTTCAAGGATTCTCAAAAGTCTGCAGTTCTATCGGGAGCCTCTGGATGGTACGTGCACTGTCAAATACGAATGCGTAACCAAGGAGTCCGACCAGGCATGCCACCTGATTTCTCATGACATGTACACGGGCTGTCCCCCAGGAGTATGTAGAAGTGAGCGAAGCTGCAGGGAATTCCATATCCTTTGCAACAGATATGCGATAATGACTGGAATGTAAGATATGATGAAAATGACCACGAACATGGTAAAATATAACTTGAAGGCAGTCAGGACGTGTTTTTTCGTTAGACTAAGAATGATTTCCTGCGCAACAGAAATAGACACAATGAGGAAGAAAATGGAAAGTCGGATGACCAGAACGATGCAACACCCATATCTATGACATCCGTAGAAGCCCGTACATGCTTGTCAATCGGAAAAACTCAGCTGCTAGGGAGCATAGAACAGACGTGCTTGGCTGGGGGGGCACAAGTGATCACGATCACAGGACAAAGGATTTGAATCTAACCACGAGAATTATCATTTATTCGTTTTTTCGGTTTATCGATTGCCGAAGTTTTTATCAGCTTTCCCCAAGGCTAAATCAGGGAGTATAAATCGAACCTCAACCGCCCGGGTTAATGAGCCTGTTGTCTCTTGCATAGCAGCTAAAATCTGGCTTTACTCAGTCCGCTTATTGTCTCAAAAAACCAACATGTCTCTTCCGTCTCAGCCGCCATTTAAAGCCATTATCATTGGTGCCGGGTTCTCCGGTCTAGCCATGGCTTGCAAACTCAAACGCTCATTGGGCATCGATGACTACTGTGTTTATGATCGCAATGACGGAATTGGGGGGGCTTGGTGGACAAACACTTGTGAGTTTTTTAGCTAGCTGCTTGCGTATCACATCTGACAAAGTCTTATGGGCAGATCCCGGATGCGGCGTGGATATTCCTGCTGTCTGTTACAGCCTTTCATTTGCCCCGAACCCTGGTTTTACGCAAGTCTTTCCGCGCCAAGCCGAGATTCTGAACTACATTGCAAAGGTCGCATCGGACTACGGAGTAGACAAACACGTAGTCGGACGAACCGAATGGAAGGGTGCGACTTGGCAAGAGCACACTAGCACATGGCTAGTCTCTTTGGAAAATCTGACGACTGGCCGATCCTTCGTCCGAGAGTGTTGCATTCTCATATCGGCCGTTGGTGGGTTTGTGAACCCAAACGAATCTTCTCTTCCGAATATGCATACGTTCCAAGGACAAGTCATGCACACGGCAAAGTGGGACTGGAATATCGAGCTGCAAAACAAGAACGTTGCAGTCATCGGAAATGGAGGCTAGTCACTTCTGGCGTGGATGTGCCAATCGAGGACATGGGCAGCTGACTTTTCAGCCTCGGCCACACAACTCATTCCGGCTATTGCAGGAAAGCCTAGGCGACTGACACAATTTATGAGGGTAAGGCAGCAATTGCAAGAGTCGAGAATTGAGCATACACGAAAATTAACAGGATACATCTCGTGGTAGACTCCACACCACATCGTCCCAAGCACCAATTATGGCATATCTCTACACCTGAAGCTCGCCTTCCGATTTATTCCCGGACTTTTATTCCTCGTCAGGATTCTGACTTTCGTCTACATGGAAGTCACCTTCTTTTATTTCCGGACGACCGAAGTGGGCCATCGGAAACGGGTACAAGCACGAAAACTAAGCACCGAGTACTTGCAGAGTAAAGCGCCTGGTATGCCTAGACCTAGAACCTCGCTTATCGCTACTCAAACTAGTAATATATACAACTAACCTTGTTAGGAAAATATTGGCAGCTTTTGACTCCGACGTTCGAGTTTGGATGCAAGGTGTGCATACGTGTTGCCTCAAAATCAACTGGCCTTATCATCACTGCTGACGCCAGTTTCAGAGACGCGTGTTTGACCAAGGCTATGTGGACACACTCAACAGACATGACGTCCGTCTGACAGATGAGCGTATTGTCAGAGTGAAAGAGCACTCCCTTGTTACAAATTCGGGAGAGGAAGTTCGGGCCGATATTATTGTGAGTTAGAAATAGCTTTTAGAAGCATTGCTACTGCTGACTGCTGCAGATCCTTGCCACGGGCTTCTCCCTGACACAGTACAACGTACACGTGCAAGGACGAAACGGAAAGACTCGGGATCAGCACTGGCAAGAATACGGCTGCAAGGCAACTTTCAAGTCTGTCGCCATGCACGACTTCCCCAACTTCTTTTACGTTTTGGGACCCAACTCCGGCCGACTGCATACCTCAGCTTTGCTCTCTATCGAAAGGTTGCAACCATTACAGCTGTCACAATCAATAACTAGCAGCGCTGACGTGTCGTGAGTTAGCTTTGTGGACTTGATTGCCGCCGTCATTAGGCCAGTTCTCGAACAGCGAGCATCATGTGTACAGGTCATGCACACCAGCGAACAGGCTTACACCAAGGCTCTCCATTTGGCCCTTAGTGAAACGGTTCACGACAGTTCTTGTTCTAGCGTAAGTCCAGATTAGCGCCCCAAACCTGAAGACGGATGTAACGAGCAATCTGACCATCATGCCCTGCAGTACCTTATCGACAAGCAGAGCGGCAAGAATTGGTTCGTTTACCCGTGGGACACCTTGCAGCTGTGGCTGACGACGCATTGGAGAGTTCTGCGTGACTGGGAATATGAGCCTGCGGGACTGTGACAAATAGACGGGTGATAAGACAAGATGTGATGTGGCGAGCTGCGTGATTTGAAGTGATGTGATGGGAAACACTATTGGATTGTCGGTCTTAGGATCCCTCCCGGGACCATGCACTTTTTAGTTGGTTTATGAAATTTGTAGCTTTCCCGATAACTAAAACTACAATTCAGCCTAACTTTGGCATAAGCACTAGTTTTGTTCCCGCTGTTGCAACGCTAAATCTTTGCGCCCCAATCCTGCGTTCTGGGCTGAGCCGAGGGCAATCCAGCCAGCCTCCCGCTTTCCTTAGCATGCATGAGCTGATCCATTCGGAGTACAGCGTCTCTTTTGGCCACCAATTGACTAATACCGCGTCCGGTCAGCAGTTCTCCAGGCATACATGTGCCACACCACTCATATCGCGAATGCAATCTCTAACACAACGTGTCTCATGTCGCTTCACACTGCTTTTGACAAGGCTAGTCGTCTAAGCTTTTTCGCGTCAGCCGTTCGTTTGAGTGTCTGACATTTGAGGGGGTAATCGTAATCTTTGCTCTGTTTTACAATCACCACTAATGCTATGTCTCGCTCTTGTAAGGGATACAGACCCGATACGTCCCGACTTATGCTCCCACGAGACCATTAATGACGCTTCGTAATTCAAAGAAATTTGGCGGTGCCCGTACGCTTTCTACTTTCTCATGCTACCCGCTTCAATTCCTGTCAAAAATGTATTTTGCATCCGGTGCCTCAATTTTACGCGAGCTGGGCTTGCTAAGCCTATGCCTGTCGCTAAGCTCGTGGACTTTTACAATATGGGTCAAGTTAGTTGCCGGCATCATCATCGTTACTCTTGCAGCCTCGGTCTTTTTATTTCTAGTACTTGCTATCCGTGTTTTGATGAAACCTCGTACACTTACTTGTCTGCCAGACAGCAACCAAACTGTCCTGGGTCGCCCTCTCTTTTTTACGGCTACGATGACCCACACACGGGTTTCGCCTATCAAGAATCAATTTAAGCATCGTATCTTGTTCGTTGGTATACCTGTTGGACTTCGTGGCCGAATTGGGGACTTGCTCTCGGTGGACGAGCAATGCCTTGCGGAAACCCCTGAGTGCTCCGACGCCTTTCCAACTTGGAAATCTATTTGTTCCTGGTTCAGTGCATGGTTCAGCTTCGATACTCAGCGCTATCTACATCTTGGAGATAATCACTTGGGACTACAGGAAAAGCTTCATCGGTTTCTAAAAGAACATGTATGAAAAGGCAGTTCCATCAAATATATTCCAATGATTTGCTAACATAAATACAGAACGAGGACCCAGGACAGTGGCCGTATGCTTACCTTCTAAGTGCTCCCAAGTTTATGTGGTGGTCTCGTAGCGTGGTTTCATGGTGGTATCTATACTCGCCCGACCGAGAGTTGACTGCAGTCATCACAGAAATCAACAACTCTTTTGGCGAGAAAAGAAACTTTCTATACCCCGTCGAGAAGATTTCCGCGGCTCGGCCTATCAGCGAAGAAGGCATAATCGATCGCGCATCGAGCACGATATTTCTATCGTCATCGCCAACGACCACAGCATATAAAAACTCCTTTCCGAAAATTCTTTTTGCCACTCCATTTGACAAGGTGGAAGGTTCGATTACGGCACGGTTCAAAGACCCCTTGCAAAGAAGCTCGTGGTCACCTACCACATCAATCTCAATAACTACGGCCACTGGGCCCTCAGGAGACCCTAGGCTTGTGACGAGAATTTCGTGTCAAGGAGAACCCATTGATCCGATGAAGGCCACCTGGAAAGAGATGATAAGGCTTTTTCTTTGCTGGACTTGGCCTGGACTTTTGGCTACACCTCGGATTCTTTATGAAGCCCTTAGACTTCAGAACTGGCTTCGACTGATGAGAATGATGGATAAGCCCGAAATCCGAGCTGGAAGCATCCCCCGTCATGCAAGCAGGACAGAAATGTACAGGCAACTCTTTCTTTCAGCCTCTATCTGAAAGAAAATCATGCTGACTTTGTTCTGTAGGAATTTTGAATCAGTTTTCATGAAATACGTGGAGGCTTGCGTCAACTCTTATCCTGAACATGTAAATCTGACATACGTTCCGTCAAAATCCATTTCGAACAATTCCGTCTTTTTTGTCCAGCCAGCAAGTCCTGAAAGAGATACTAAAGGGGCTCAATGTCTGACCATACAGCCTTTGGATCCTGGGTTTTACTCTCGTTTTATGAACTACACCGATCCCTGGGTGGGATTATCGAAAGAGCTGAAACCAGCTGGTGCCGAAGCAGATGAGAGTGCGTCTCCATTACTAGTATCCAACCCTGACCTCTTGAGAAGGCTCGTGGTATCTCAAACCAATCAAATCAGAAAGAGGGTTTCGGTACCAAAAACGTTTGCTAGACGGTTTATATCCTGGATACGGGGCCCCCGTTTTATGGACTCATTTGTCTTTACAATAGATTCCTCCTCCCTTCAGTCCGTTTATTTCTTGTCTTTGATTCGCAACTGGTTCTTTAAGCACTTCTCGTTGAGCGGTTTCGGTCTTTTGGGCTTTTACACATTTATGGGGGCGGTGGTTGTCCGACTGGTTTCCATAAGACTGGTCGTGTTCATCTCCAAAAACATTGCGGATACCTATCTGAGAGGACTGATCACCGCAAGTCTGTATCTCGTAGCTTTGGCTTGTTTAGGCCTGGGCGCTTGGAAATTTTAGATCAGAGTAGTATCGATGAAACGCTAAATCATCAAAACTCCCCTAGTCCCCTGAAGTCTCCGCCGGCAGACAGCAAAGATTATAATACGATCCGTACAAAGTACGTACACTGCTCGCTTGCGCGTAATACGCTTGCTTTCCCTAATGTGACCCTAAAATGGAGAATGAAAGATGCGGTACTTTTGTGCCACCACTTTCGCCAGCCGCTCCCGAAAGAAGAAAAAAGAACATCATGGAATGATTTAGAGAAGTAAAAAGTGAGCCCACTAATAACCACAATTTGACAAAAAGTTGGTCGGTTTCAAGTCGCTTCGACCCGCTACTATGTATCCCTCAAAGTCGACGCCACTTTTTCTTTTTCGGCATTATTCCTTTGCACAACTCACGCCAACTTATACATATTACGAGTGCAGAGTACTTTACTCGTATGTCTATTTTCCTTTTACATATGTAGTAGTACTCCGTATCTGATTATTCATCCCGAGTGGCGATTTCTGCGTAGTATCGGATTATTCATCTAGATCGAGCCTGGTCCGGTGTCGTACTCGATTATTCATCACAAGTCGACATAACGCTGATTCTCTACAGAGCTCCCGTTCTCGTGACGTTGTCGTCCCAGGTGCGAGAATACATGGAGATCTACAAAAGTCAGACACAAGCCGCAGTTCTACCGGAAAGATGACCTTCACCTTGTGCGTGCATAGCAATTCGCAATTCCCATTATAGCAAATCATCACCACCACATCTCAGCATGAGCATCACATTTGACGTTTTCCGCGCTTCGAAGGAGGGAAAAGTTGTTGCCGACAAAACGACCCGTCCTCTACGGCATAGCGAAGTTCACATTGAGATCACCCACTCCGGCATTTGCGGGACAGATGAGCTCTACCTGCATTCGGAGATGGTCCTGGGACACGAGGGTGTCGGGATTGTGAAGCAGATTGGCGACAGTGTCACGTCCGTCAAAGTCGGAGACCGTGTCGGATTTGGATATTTCCGCAAAGTGTGCGGCTTATGCGACAACTGCTGCACAGGTAAACCTGAAATTGAAGCTACAGAGCCGATGCAGGTGGCAATGGGTGTTCTGACTGTTTTCCGTAGGCTGGGACCAATTCTGCAGATCTGTTCGTTTTTACGGCACGAGCGACTACGATATCGGTACATTTGCCTACGGTACTATCTGGGATGAGAGCTGTGTCTTTCGCATTCCCGACGGCTACAGTTCCGAGGATGCCGCGCCCATGATGTGTGCCGGCTCCACAGTTTGGAACTGCCTCCAGCAATACGGTGCCAAGCCGGGCGATCGTGTTGGTGTGATGGGTCTCGGTGGACTGGGTCACCTCGCCATCAAGCTGGCCGCGGCCATTGGCTGCCAGGTTGTCGTCCTTTCTCGCACCGAGGAAAAGAGACAAGATGCCATGGAGCTTGGGGCACATGAGTTCTATGTTGTCAGCTCGTCTGAGGGAATGGAGAATATCAAACCCTTGAAGCATCTTCTTCTCTGCGGCACCTCGGATATTGACTATGCCGCGTAAGTCAACATCAAAGACACGTGGCCTGTATAACGCTAACAACCCTGTCAGTTACGTGAAGATCATGGACACAAACAGCATTATCTTCCCCATATCGGTGACATTCAAAAACCCACCGATGCCAATTCTTGCCATGAACATGAAAGGCGTTCGCCTTCAGGGTGCGCTGGTTGCATCTCGGCAAAACCTTCGTGAACTTTTGGAGTTTGCAGCTCAACACAAAATCTCCGCTACTGTAATGAAGTACCCTTTCACGGAAGACGGGATTGAAACTGCCATGACAGAGCTCCGAGAAGGAAAGGTTCGATACAGAGCAGTTTTGGTGAGGGATACGGGGTCTGAAACTTAAGCTCCTTTGATCGAGCATTATATGACCTTGTAGGCGCAGTACACTAAAGTGGATTAGTAATCTAGCATGTATATAAAGGTACGGCACTTGAAAGTGCCGCACGTCGTATATGCACAAACTTTGGCAGACCCTTACATTTCTTCAACACGATTGAGATCGTTTTCGATGGAGTACGAAAGCGGGGTGAGGGCATAATTTATACAAGTTCTAGGCGAAGACTTTCGGAATCTGGGCTCTGTCCCGGCTCTTGCCGAAAATGTATCTACATTTCTCAGGGCAGTCGTGTAGTGCCGAAACACTTATCTACGAAGCATCGTAGTAATCTCGACCTCTTTCGTGGAACTGTGCTGTCGCTTTCGTACGTCGATTAGGCGTGTCAAATTCGTGTCTTAGCGTATATTTTCTACTTAGGATCCCTTGCTGCTTTGACCTATAGAGTAAGTGGGACCATAGGGATTTAGGCCACCCCCCCCATTTGGGCCACCCAAAAATCGTGATAATTTAATAGCATCAAAAAAAACAAAACAAAAAAAACAATTATAGCAATTGAAATACCTGACCAAATCATGCAAATTATATATCATTTAGAAGCTCTCCTTTAAAGCTATCGCCTACTTTAATTACTTCTCTTCCTGCGGCGGCCTAGCTATTTTATATGTTCTTAATTATAGCGTATTTTAAATTTAAGCTTATAACTATAGCCTTTCTTTTCTAAAGCTGTAGGCTTTTAATCGTTGCCTTTAATACTTTTATTTTTCGCTTAAATAAAGTGCTTTTAACTATTTTTTTGTTAAATGCTTTATAAATAAGGCTTTTAAAATAAAAGCTGCCTTAAAGATAATATAGAATGTAACTATTAAAGGTGTACTTAGGTAGGCCAGGTAAGTTAGGCAGGCAAGAAGGTATCTTCTTAACAGGAGGAAGCAGCCGTATATTCAATAGCTAATTCTTGCCTCCTGCACTCTAAGGGAGTGCGGGAGGCGCTCTTTATCGTAGGCGCACCTCTGGCGCACCAAGTGCGCAGGGCAGGCGCGACCCCGTTTCTACTTGGCCCGTGCGCTAGCACGTGCTGTGGCCTGTGCGCAGACTGCGCCACGCAGCCTGCGCCACTAGCACCGCTTCTAGTTTACAATGTGCATCTAATACGCTGTGCGCATACTGCGTACGGCTTGCGCGTGGCCTGCGTCGGTCTCCTTCCTAGGGCGGCGTTACAATTGCTCCCCTTCTGTGCCTAACTCCTCTAAGGTAGGTCTTAACGAAAGGCTTGCAGCCTTTGTTCCTAGTAGTAGTAGTGCTTGTCCGTTTGCAGCGGCCTCTTTATGCTTGCTAAGATTGCTATTAAAGGCGACTTAAGGCGCCTTTAGTTCCCTTTATTTAAGAGGTTAGTCCTAATAGTTAAATTAGATTATTATAGGGTCTAGCATCCGGTTACTTCTTCTAGAAACAACAAATTCGTCTTCTAGTAACAACATAGCTACTCTTAATTCTAACGCTTCTATGCCTATAGTAAGCGCCTTTAGCACTCTAGTACCCGCTACAGCCCTAGCCCTTACTCCTTAACACTCTCTACTCTCTAGCTAAGGTGCTAGTTCTAGCCGCGTGCAACGTGCGCGCAAGGCTTACGCTAGCCTAATTTGTTGTTCTGCGCGGATGTAAGGGTATTCCTATAAAGGGCTAGTGTGCAATGCGTAGTTACAAAGGCTTAACTAGTTTATACTGTTGTATTAAGACTTTAACTTAACGAACTATAGGAGACTAATAGGCAAAGGCCTGCCAGCTAATATATACGTAGCTAGAAGATGCGGTATAGCGCAAACCTAGTAAGGCGTAGCGCAGCTAAGTAGCTATGCTAGTTCTATATAACGTATTAAGATAGTTCGTTAAGTCTGCCGCTTAGTAAGCAACTAGTTGCTAAACCGGTGCGTGGAGACGCGTGTATAGAATACCCTTATACTATCCCCCCCCTCCCTAAGTAACGCCCTCGTTAGCCTAAAGGTGTATACGCGGCAGCCACTTGCTTGTTAAAAAACCTCCCCTTATAAAGTTAGGAAAAAGAGTTAAGCGCTCTAGGTTATTAGCTATCGCTAAGCGGTCGCGGACTGCTTGCTTATACGACTACATTTAAGTAACGTAGAAGCGCATATGTACTGCTTAGTCTATAGCGGCAGTAAACGCTAGATCTTACTTAATGCATAGGTTGTCCTGTTTGTTAAAGCTTCTTAAAAGGCGTGCAGCTTAGATTCTAGTTAGAGAACGCTTAGGTTGCTGCTAATAGGTGTTGTAAGAGGGCTAGCCTTAGACACTAGGTGTATAGGGGTGTAGTATACGCTAACTAAAAACGGCGGCGTAGGGCTTGCGACTTCTAACTACTAGCAGGGTAGGATAAAGGCAATAGCGGCCGTTTGTTGCCTGCTAATTGTAGAACTATCGCCTACTAGACAGCAAAGGCGGTCTGCCGCTAGGACGTCCCTTTATTTAATTTTAAACGTTTCTTACCTTGCTGTTAAAGCAAGGTTAGGCGAGTTCTTAAGACGTATTTAAACGTCTAAGAACGCGGCTTCTTTGTTACTTTAAGGTATAAAAGAGCGGGTGTATTCTATAATTTAAGACGAATTCGTCTGCACTTATAAGATTGCTTTTACCTCTTTAGCCCTTTTTTCTTTAATCTTACTTACGTAGTAGGTTAATATAATAGTTTACAACTTTACAAAGTAGCTAGCTAACGATTGCTTATAGACAATGTCTAACTAAAGCCGCTTTTAAGTTCTAATAGACTTTTTTATAAATATAAACCTTATAAAACGCCCTTCTTAGGCACACGCACTATCTCTTAAGAGTGTAGGTCTTTACTAGCACAGCGTTTGCTAAGCGATAGCTAACCTTATAGTAGGCTTTATATCTAAACTACGTTCTTAAAGCCTATCTAGACGTCTACTACAAATTCTTATGTATAGCTACGCTAAAGAACCTAGCGCGCTACGTTAGTTATATAGCTAACAATACATTATACTTACTAGTAAGTGTATTAACTTGTGTGCGCTAGTAGCCGATTGCTAACTAATAGCTTCTTAAAGAGATTAAAGGCTTAGCCTAATACATTTAAGAATTTCTAGCCGGCACGAACAAGTTGCTACTTTAGCGGATAACGGTTATTAATATTGTTATAGCGCTAGGCGATTGCGCGGTAATCGCCTAAAGGTTAATAGCCTTAACGGCGGTAACTAAGAAACTTGGCCGCGCCTTATAGAAAGATAAGTTAAAGCCCCTAGCGACCGACTAGCGCTCTTAGCGCGAACGTTTTAAGACGGCATAATAGGCTGCATTACGCCTTAGTGTTCTTTACTAGTACTAGCGAGAGCTAAAGCTTACCTTAACGCTTGCATAGCGGTTGGCAAAGGTAGCCTAGCTCTTACTACTAACGTCCCTAGACGTAGGCATACTATTATAGGCGTAAACCTAAGTTGCCACTACCTTTAAAGTAATAGTAAGTCCTTTAATCCTTATTATTAAGTTATTACTAACTTGTTACCTAGGCCAATCCTTATTCTATTATACTTAGCCCGGCCTAGCGCGCTATAGCTATCTAAGCCGGCTATAGCGGCACGCTTTACTATACTATAGGAGCAAAGGGGCTGCCTAAGCGGATCCTATAGACTATAGCGGCCCTAGTTAAGCTAGCCTAGATTAACTAGGTAGTAGTCTTTCTTTAGCCGCTGTCTTTAGCAGCGCTTAGCAAGCAATAGTCTTACGCTAAGTTACTAACCTTAGCTAAGCGCTAGCGTAGCGCTAAAACTATTCCTAGTGCTATAGCTAGCAGTAGTAGGGCAGTCGCGGCAGCTAGTAGTAGTAGTAAAGCAGCATCTAGTAGGAGTGCGCTAGCAGGTAGCTAGTTAGCAGCTAGTAGTAGCTATATGCCGGCTAGCAAAGGCTTGCCTAGCAGCAAAGAGAGGGTTAAGGAGAACGGTATTAAGGAGAAGGATAAGAGGGTAAAAGGGACGTCTATAAAGAAGGATAGTAACAAGTAGCTAGTAGCTAAGCAATAGCCTACTAATAGTATGTTTTAGGTTTATAGCTCTAGAGGGCGCCCTTAAAGCTAAAACAAGTAGTTTATAGTGCGCAATTATATAAGAAATAGCTAGAGTAGTTAACTAACAATTAGTTAGTATATAGCTAGCCGTTACTTTATAGTCTTTCTATTTCTTATAAGTGCGTTTTGTAGTCTTTTAATAAGACTACAACTTATAGCTAGCGTACGTTAAGTGCTCTTTAAGTTTCTAAGTATTATACTTAGCCGGCTAGCCTTTCTATTTTACTAAGAACTAAGTCTGCAAGCCCTTACTAAGGTAAGTAATAATGTCTTTAACCTTATACTCCTCTTAGTCTTCTACTATTTCTAAGAATAGAAGCTTTTTCTTATCTTTTACTATAGCAGTCTATAGCTTAAGGTAAAAGACGTAAAACACGTTGTGTTAGCGTGCGTACTACGATAGTAAGGCAACCTAATATATAACTAGGCCTAGCTTCTTTATAATATAGACGTGTAGAAAGGTTAGGTTTAGCTTCTTTAAGCCGGCTAGGTTTAGGTGCTTTATTAATAAACTTATAAATTCGCCTTTAACAAAGTCTTTATATAGGCGTTGCTTATTATAGCTCTTCTTTTGTTAGCAAATTGCTTTTTCTTACAACACTTCTAGCTTTTTCTAGACGGCCTATAGCTAACTAATACGCTCTTGCACGCCCTTTACCGCAGCCTTAGTAAAGAGGAAGTTGTTTATAAAACAAGGGTAGTATGCATACAACGTATAGAATAAAGAGGTTTTTGTTATAGTATAGCGGGCGTTATTATACGCAAACTCTGCTATACTTAACACTTGCGTCTACTAGTGTTGTAAACGACTATAGAACGTTTGTAGGAAGCGCTTTAAGGTTTAGTTAAGGATCTTAGTGCTACTGTCTATCTATAGGTAGTATGCTATTAATATTATTAGCTAAACCTCTTA